GCCGGCGCGGCGTGCTTCGCTTTTACGACCCAACAGCTCCACCGGAGCGAGACTCATTTTCGGCCTCGGAAAGGAGGAGAAGAAGGAGAAGAAGCGGTGAAAAGGGAAATCCCTGCCGCGACCCTCAGCCTCATTTCGGAGGCGTGATTTTGGCTTTGGCCCCCGCGGCCCGCGGGTTGGACGGCGGCGGCGCAGCGGCGGGTCCACCACACCGCGAACACCGCGCGCCGCCGCGCGCACAGATGGGGCTCCGCGCGCCGCCAGATGGGACTTCGCGCCGCCACGCCGCGCCACCCCCAGCCAGCCACCCCCGCAGCCTACGACGTCTACTTGCGCCCCTCCGCGGGCCTAAGGCAGCCCCGGCAGCCCCGGCCCGGCCGCCCCACCCCGTCGCACCTGGATCAATAGCGCGCCGGCCGCGCCGCTCCGCGCCTCCAGCGGGGCTCCAGCGCCTCTCCAGCAGCGGGCCGTACCGGACCGGGTCTGCGGGCTTCCGCCGCCGGGCCGCGCCGCGCCAAGCCGCACACACGCCGAGCACTACATCACCTTTAATTGGCCCAGGCAGTGCTGCCCGGGCCGCGCCAGTGGCGGTGGCAGTGGCTCGCGCACTTTTCCACCCCCGCGGCGCCGCCTTGCGCTGTGCCCCCTCCACGACGGGGGCCTCAGGGGGCAGTGGACGCCGCGGGGCCGCGCCGGATGCCCGCCTGTTGCTAATCACGAAGGAGAGTCTCGGACACCGGCCGACCATGCGGCACGCGGCGACCTGGCCGAACCAAACACGCCGCGCCACCCTGTCACTCTGTCTCTCTCGCTCTCGCGGGGTGTCCCGAAAGGCCGCACGGGCGCGAGAGAGACAGAGAGAGAGCGCCACCCGCGCGCGGAATCACTGCGCGGGCCGCAGAGCCTCCCAGGCGCACATTCGGATTCATATTCATGCTCGGATTGAATATAAACGCGGCTCTGCCTGCGCGCTGCGCCTGCACTGCCAGCACAGCACACTGCCAGCACCGCCGCGGCATGGCGGCGCGGCAAAAACGGGATGGGGAACGTACCGCATGGCCGCAGTGAAATCGCACGCGACAAATAAATGCACGCCGGAGCCTGCGGGCCACGCTACACTCAAAAGCAGCTCGAAACAATAAATATTTCCCTCTGCAATATTTTTTTGTTCTTTCCTTCCCTGCCTGTCTGTCTGCCTTCCTGCCTGTCTGTCTGCCTTCCTGCCTGTCTGTCTGCCTTCCTGCCTGCCTGTCTGCCTTCCCGCCTGTCTCTTTTTCTCCTGCGAAGGGCCCGAAGGGGAGGGCAGGGAGAGGTAAAAGTTTTGTTGCGCGCGGGGCTGCGGGGCTCTCTGTCAGGCCGCTCACACGCTCCGCGAAGGCTCCGAAGGCAGGGCGAAGGGCTGCCGTGGCTCACGCTATGCAAGGGCCTGGGCCGGAGGGAGCAGGGCAGGAGCATCGCGGCACCGCGGCACGTCGCCGCAATGGCACGCCAACACGCGGTGGCGTGGCACGCGCAGAGGCCCGCAAATTATTTCCAACTATTTGTACCCAAAACACGTCTTGTTTTATTTCCAGTTCGAATTCTGCTCCTTGGCCTCTCTCTCTTTTCTCTGCTCTCGGCCTGTCGGCCCGGGCGTAGGCGTGGGCTGGGCGGCGAGGCGGGCCCGGCCGGCGCGGCTTCGACTCGCGACACCGCCAGACACCACGCGGCGGCGGCGCGGCGGTCGAATCAAAAGCTCGGGAAACGCGAAGGCGGTGACTCGGCACGGCAAGGCTGGGCGGCTGGGCAAGGCGCGATCCAAGATGGCGCCGCCGTGCGTGACGACGCGGCCGCCACGCCATGCCGCGGCGCGAGGCGTTGTCTCGGCTGGAAGGACAGGACACCTTCCTCCACGGCCAGTCATCGCCCCCGGGCACCGGCAGTGCTGTGCGCCGCGCCCATGCGCGGCACGACCACGACGACCACGACGACGATGAAGGCCTCGCCTGGGAAAGGCGCAGCTCGCGCGGCGGTCCCCGCGGCCACGACCGGGTCGCCGTCAGCGACTGTCAACCACACCGCCGCCAGGCCGCCAGGCGGGCAGGCGGGCAGGCAGGCATCACCCTCAAAGGGGTGGACGGGCGCACGCCGCCTGCCAGGCGCAGCCTAGCACAGTGTAGCAGCGCGACCACGCTCCACGTTCCGAGAGCCTGATTCCGAGAGCCGTCTTCGTCGCTCTGCCTCTCTCGCACTCGCGGGGCGTGCTCGTGGGTGCGAGAGCGACGAAGACGACTCTCGGAATCGGTCTGCCGAGCTGCCGGAGCCGCGGCCGCAACCGGACGTGTGCGGTGAGGGACGCCAGGGACGGCCATCGATTTCCCATTCCCCGTAAAAATCGCGCGCAACTCGAAGCGCTCCCCTCGGCCCCCGGCTGCCTCCGCCCCGCCCCGCCCCGCACCGCACGCCCCTATACGGACTGGACGAGTGGACCGTCGGGCCGTCCCCGTGCGCAGTACACTGCAGTACACCTCCCTTCCGCCGCGCCAGTTCTGCGGGCGAGAAAAAGGGCGAAAAAGAAGAGGACAGCGGCGCGCGCGATTTGAACCTCGTCGTGCTGGGGGCGGAGCGCGGCGGCGGCAAGAGCATTGTCTTTCAAGTGGTCGCCACGCGCGCAAGGTTATGTCTGCAGGAAATGTGGAAAACGGCCGGGGTAGCCGCAGGGCGCAGGGGAGACACGCCACGGGGCGGGGCGGGGCACGTCCACCCACGACAGCACCAAGACGACGACGATGACGACGTCGACGACGACGCCCGGCCGTACGGCGCAACGACTCACAAGGTCTAAAAGAAGTGCAGCTTAGCCGACATCATGCCGCCGTGACATTGAGGGAGAAAAAAACGGAGACGGTGGAGAAGGGCACCGCACCGTCAGGGCACGGCACCGTGGGGCACGGCAGGACATGACGGCACCCCGTCGCCCCTCCCTTTCCCCTGCACTGTACAGACGGTCTGTACACTGTTGGCCACTCGCGCCGATCCATTTCCCTGGCTGGCTTTCTCGCGGCGACCTTGGCGCTGCCTCGCGCCTTCGTCGGACACTTTCCCAATTTTTCTCCCCTGGAAACCCTCCAAACTAAACTGAATAAAAACCGAAAGACGACTCAGGAAGTCCGGCTCCTTCGCTGAGGCGCGCCCGCCCCCTTACCCTTTTTTTCGCCCTCTGCTCTCCCTTCTCTTTTCCTTTCGTCTCGTTGCCCACCTTATTTTCTTGTCAACAAAGCCCGCCGCCGCCGCCGCGACGTCGTCGCCGCCGACGCTCCGTCTCTCTCGCACCGCTGCGGCCCTGAGCCACGCCCCGTGAGTGCGACAGAGACGGGCGACGCCGCGACTCCTTGCGTCGTGCCGGCGTGGTGTCATTCCCCCGTACCGCCACCGCCGGCCGCCCGACCGTCCGGCCGTCCTCCGCCGCCATCTTGGGAGCCGCCTCCAACGCGGCCAACGCGGCCTGCGCCGGGTCTTCTTTCCTCGCGACGACGCTTGGAAAATCGCACACCGCCAGCCCCTCCCCCTCCCCCTGCTATGAGCCCCATGGGGGCGCTGCCTGGTGCCGCCTGCCGCCTCCGAGGGCCAAAGACATAAGCCCCGCAGCACATGAAAGCGTAATAAGTCTCTGAATAAGCCAATGCTTTGAAGAGCGATTCTCACGTTTCGGGGTAGTTTTGGCGTCTCTGATTTGCCGAAAGTGAGAAATATCCAATTAAGTTTTTCTGATTATTGGGGTCCTGGATGATACTAGAGTTATGGCAATGGTATTTATAGTAAAGACCTTGTACTACCTTCCTAAAAACATGAGCCATAAGGTATTCCCATACGTTTTAGTGGGTGTTTTGATCACGGAAATTACGTTATCACGGAAGTTACAAAGTGTGAAAATCGGCTTTAACGGCTGACCCGGGCTTGCTGTGGCTTAAAAGTCGTTCCAGGGTCAAATGATACTCTAAGCCCGACATTTAAGCGGAAAATTTTTTCACCTAGTGCTGCTGCAACATTGGGTAAAGGGTGCCACGGAAGTTACAGGTAATTGTTGATACACGCCATTTTATAATGCTCTAGACCGCTTTGAGACCGTGTACAGCATCTTAGATTTCCGCGACCCATGCAATTATATCCCAGGGACTCCACTTTGATGGCTTGTGTCATGGAAAGTTTAAAGTTTGGCTTGGGGAGAAGTCCAGAGCCGCCTTTTCGAAATTTGTGTAGTGAAATTGAATATACGGAGGACATTTTTCGTTGCAGCATAAGTACCTTTGAAAGAAGTCTGGCGTATTGGTCTTCGGTCGAAATTAGCTCGAGACATGCCAAGCTTCGAATCCCCATCGACAGTTGGCAGCATTTTCGAACCACACCGCCACACTGGGGGCGGAAAGTTCGAGTATGTTCTCTTTGGACAATCACGGAAGTTACATTTAGGGTATTCCAAACGCTACGTAGACCAAACCAACGAACGTGAACTTTTCGAAATGTGTGCTTTTAGTGGGCAATGGCCCTCCCTAACATCAGAAACAAACCCCATGTCGATATCTGCGCTCGTTTGGGCACAGGAGTCAGAAGAAACGAAACTACCCCGAAACGTGAGAATCGCTCTGAAGGCTAACAAGGGCAGTGGCGTTGGGGACCGTCGGGGACGTCGGCCAGGAGGCTCCGCGTCTTCTTTGTTGGCGGCACTGCAGACTGGTTCCGAGAGTCGTTTTCGTCGCTCTGTCTCCCTCGCACTCGTGGGGCGTCCCACATAGGTGCGAGAGAGACAGAGCGACGAAAACGTCTGCTGAGTGTCCCATGGAGGGGGAGGCCGGCCGGGACGTCCGCCGTCAAGCGACGCTGCCTCAAAGTTGCAGCTTATTGCACAGGGAGAGTGGGTGGGGCGGGGCGTCGCCGCGGGGGCGGCGGCTCGCCCGGTCGCCGCGCCGGGGAACCTGTGGAAAACCTGCACACAGCGCGACACAGAAGGAACTCGTACTCACCAGGAGCCTTGCCGTTGACGTAGTCGTCCTTGCATATGAACTTGTTGTCGTCCAGGACGTACAGCTCCTCGCCGGTGGACAGCTGCTTGCGGCACACCATGCACGTGAAGCAGTTGAGGTGGTACACCTGGTCGCGCGCTCGGCGCACCAGGTCGTTGGGCGAGATGCCCTGGCAGCAACCCCTGCACTTGGTGCCGTACCGCCTGCAACACGCAACATGCAATGCACCCGCATTAGTGCCGTCCACACCGCGAAAAAAAGAGAACAACGATACATGCCCGCTAGGGTGGGTCGAAAATCCCAGAATTAAACGGCGTATGGTTTTCTTTGCAGTTGACCATATTAGAAAAGAGATCCCACAATGCTGGGGTCTGGTGACGTCACCTTCCATCTCTTTGGAGGCTCCAAACTTGGGTCTAATAGTGAAAAATGGCACCTTTGGCCCTACAGGGACCAAACCATGGATCGCCCAGGATGCGGCTATCTCGCGATGGGTGCGGAATATGTTCCTTTATATCCCTGCAAAGTCTGGGCGATGTGGCTCGACATCTTGGTTAAGCCCGGGCACTTGTTTTAACGCTAAAACAAAGTTGCAAAACACTAAAAATTGGATTTAAGGGTCTATTGTTTGCTCAAAGGTCCCATATACTGATATGAATGGAAAGGGCTCAAAAGATACAATTTTTTGGTATATATAACTTTGTGATCGGACGAAAATTGTTGCCAGGGCGTAACTTTACACATTTCAGCAAAACCTCAAAAACACTAAAAAGTGATCTTTACGAGAATATGTATTGCCTGTGGATCCAATACGATCATACCGTTCGAAAGATCTATAAAAATGCAAAATTTTGGTATATAAAGTTTTGTGATTGGACAAAAACTCGACTTGTTGTTAGTTATAGAAGAAAGTGTAAGCGTTCGTCGGGCCATCTCCTGCCTAACAAGGGCTTTGCTTCGCTTTGCTTGTGACTTATTTTGCAACAATTCGAGTTTTTGTCCAATCACAAAACTTTATATACCAAAATTTTGCATTTTTTTAGATCTTTCGACCAGTATGATCATATTGGATCCACTGGCAATACATATTCTCGTAAAAATCACTTTTTAGTGTTTTTGAGCTTTTGCTGAAAGGTGTAAAGTTTCGCCCTGGCAACAATTTTCGTCCAATCAAAAAATTATATATACCAAAAAATTGCATTTTTTGAGCCCTTTCCATTCATATCAGTATATGGGACCTTTGAGCAAACAATAGACCCTTAAATCCAATTTTTAGTGTTTTGCAACTTTGTTTTAGCGTTAAAACAAGTGCCCGGGCTTAACCAAGATGTCGAGCCACATCGCCCAGACTTTGCAGGGATATAAAGGAACATATTCCGCACCCATCGCGAGATAGCCGCATCCTGGGCGATCCATGGTTTGGTCCCTGTAGGGCCGAAAGTGCCATTTTTCACTATTAGACCCAAGTTTGGAGCCTCCAAAGAGATGGAAGGTGACGTCACCAGACCCCAGCATTGTGGGATCTCTTTTCTAATATGGTCAACTGCAAAGAAAACCATACGCCGTTTAATTCTGGGATTTTCGACCCACCCTAATGCCCGCGCGTTTGCGCCACTGTGTGCTGTGCTGCCCTGCGGACGACACGGCTCGACCTCTTGCCACACCGCGGCGACCGACCCGGCCCAACCCCACCCCACCCCAACCCTCCCCGCCTCGCCGCAGCACGACGGCGCGGTGGCGACCCTCCTGCCCGGCACCACGCGCACCGCGACACCAGGAGGAGGCACTCGGCGGCGAGGAAGATGAGCGCGCGGCGAGACCGCGCGAAATCTGGCGGAACCGATCCAAACCGCGAGATCCTGGCCCAGGCGGGGCGTGGCGGGGCGTGGCCAGGTAGTGCTCTGTGCGGTGTGAATCTCATTTGCTGCGGTATTTGTATGGAACGCAAGTAATTATCCGGCGTCAACACTCCGCCCCCGCCACGCCCCGCCCCGCCCTGCCCTGCCACGCCTCCCCTCGCCGAGCGGGGCGGGGCGGGGCGCAGCGCCCCCGCGTGCCCACTACTCACAGCCACCTATTTTTTATTTCCTTTTATCGCCAGCACTCCCCGCGCGCGGCACCGCGGCACTACACTGCCGTGGCACTGGCCGCCTCCACGCACCGACGTCGTTGTCTTTTATTCGCTTCCTTTCTTTTTCTGTCCCTCTCTCTCTCTCTCTGTCTTTCTTTATTTTTCTCTGTTTTGGTCCGGCCGCCGCATGTTTCGGAGGCGCCTCGGCGCGATTGTTTTTTACGCACCGGGGAGTAATAAAGTGTCGAGGCGAGGGGCCTAGGTCGCCATTGTCCGGCCAGTGTCCGGCCGGGCACACGTGCAGCAGACGACGCTGATGACCGACCGCGGCACGGCCCGGCACGCATCCATTGTAGGCCTCCCGCGCCCGCCCTGGAGGCCCCGGAGGCCCTGGAGCTGGACGAGCCGAGCCACTCCAGAACGGATCGCTTCACGCCCGGCCAATGTGGTTCATGTTTTCTCTGATTTGGTTTCTTGTTTTTTTGTTTCAGGAGATGCACTCGCGACTGATTCCGAGAGTCGTTTTCGTCGCTCTGTCTCTCTCGCACTGATAGGGAATGCCCCATGAGTGCGAGAGAGACAGCGACGAAGATGACTCTCGGAATGAGTCTGTCGCCGACGTCGTCCACCACATTATTTCTCACGCGGCACGTCGGTCTGTCGCTGCAGCAGTGTTTTGCCCGCCGTGCCCGCGGCTCTGGAGTCTGGAATGCGCGATGCTGCCATGCCGCGGCCATGTCATCCGCTGGAGAAGAAGGAGGAGGGGCGGGGCGTGGCGTACTGGAAGCAGATAGCCGGAGGTGCTTATGGTTACGGTTCAACGCTCCCCCTTGACGCGTGCATGAGAGATGCGAGAGGGAAGGAGAGCGACGACGGGGCCCGAGGGAGAGCGAGCGAGAGAGGATTTAAAAGGGAACGAGCGAGACGGTAGCAGATCATCGGGCGGGACGCGCGCGAGAGAGAAAGAAGGAGAGAGACAGAGGGCCAAAAAACTCCCTTCATAAATCGTTGATCCACGCCACGAAGCAACGCGCCGCGGCCGCAAGGCGTGCTCCGGGCGATAGTAGAAACAAAAAAAACATTAAAATCCCCAGAAACACTAATTTTATTTTATTTTTTCGACGCCGTGATTAGAAGCACCTAGTAAAGAAGCCCACAGTGGTGGACCATTGTCCAAAGTTTCAAGAGCTCCTCAAGTCCAATTTTTTCTTCTTTCGAATTTTTTTCTATTTTTGTATTTTTTTTTAATGAGAGGAGGGGGTCCTTTGTAGCGCCGTGGGTGATCTGCTCCAGTTGGCCGCGCTAAGTGTTACCAGTGGTGTGACCGGGCCGCGACGCAGTGGCAGCAGCACGCCCTGTTGTGATTGGTCGTCCGACCGGCACGCCATGCCTCGCCTTGCCTCCCGTTGCCGCTCCAGTAGGCGCCAGGACTCTGTCAGGGCGATGCCACCACTCCGCTGCCGACCCCGGGAGGACCCCCGACCTCCACAAAGGTGTGCTAGCGCGGCCACACACACACACGCACGCACACATCCAAACCACCCCGCACCACGACACCACACCGCGGTGCGGTTGCGCAACACAAAAGACTTGCCGACTCGCCTGTCAACGGAATCAAATCAAATCGCCACCAGCGCGGCCTGCCAGCTTGCCTGCCAGCCTGCCAGCCCCGCCAGGCTCGCCTGTCCGCCTGCACCCGGGCCGGGGGTTGGTTACAGTGTTGCACCGGATCGCCTTACCGATCATCCCTACGCGCAGGCAGCGCTCGCAGCGCCGATCCCGCCGGCCGGCTCAAGCAAAACAAAACCAACTCGTCCCGGCCTAACCCAGGCGGCAAATAGGGGAGGCTCGCTAGGCAGCCAGTCTTTTATGAAAGAATAATCCAGCCTCCACCCCCTGGGCCTGGGCCTGGGCCTGGGCCGCCCAGGGCTGCCCCGCCTCGCCGCGCCGCGCCGCGCTCCGCACACAGCGCGGCCCGCCCGGCGCACACAAACGCTCCTATTAGTATTCAAATCCTAATTGTTTTCAATTTGAGGAAACCGCAAGCACTCATAAGCCAGGCTCCCGGATCCTCCGGTCCGGATCGGGCAAGGGCTGCGCCGGACTCATTCCGCGTCTCTCTCGCACCTACACGCGACGCCCCACCGGCGCGAGAGAGACAGAGCGACGACTTCTCGGAACGAGTCTGCTGCGGCGCTGCTCCAGGACGACGCCGTCGTCGTGACCTCCGCGTCGTCTCTCGCGCCCCGGCCCCCGTTGACCCCCAGCAACCCCGGCAGAGTAAACGCCCCGGGTAAAACATGCATGAGGGGAAAACCGGGGCGGCATAGGCATACACACGCACACACACACGCACGCACACACACACACGGGTCGAGATTGCCGCCCATAGTGTCTCTGGGGGGTCATGCGGCGGGGGAGGACGACACACGCGCGGGCATGGAGGGGCCCTTCGTGGCCACGGCGAGCCCCGAGGCCACGCCGCCGGCAGCACCACCGGCACGCACCTTTGGCCTCCCGGCCTCCCCCATGATGTGCCCACCCGACAAAATGGGTTTGTTTCGCACGGTTTGAAAAAAAACGCGGTAAAAACGAGCAGGGCGACAGAGCGATGACGAATACCTTGTCATTAGGTCGGAGGTGGCAAGACGGCACTTATTAATCGGTGGTCATGAGGGCGGCCGGGAAGGGTCGTGCTTGATGAAGAAGGTCTTGAAGGGGCCCAGGGCGAGTCCGGGGCCCGGCCAGACAGGTGTCTGCAGCGCCCCCTCCGTCTCCCTCTTCCTGCCGGGGGCCAGTGACCCCCCCCCCCCCCTGCCTCCGTCTCTCTCCCACCGCACCTTCCGGCCGCAGCCATTGGACAAGGCCTATTAATTAGGGATGCAACTGTTTCTTGATCATATCGCGAGGCGGCGGGCGGGGCGGGGAGGGGGGGGGGGATGGGAGGGGTCTGGCGCGGCGGAGGGGGGAAATTTGATCCGCCAGGTGACAATCCTTCAAAATGGCGGCCTGGCCTCCCCCTGCCTGGCCGCTCTGCTCGGCCGCGCGGTGGCCGCGGGGAACACGATTCCCGTCTTCGTCGTCGGCTCGCGGTGACTGTCGTCCATCGCGGCCGTCGAGAGCAGCCAGCAGGCCAGGGAGATGACAGTTACGCCCGGGCCGTTCGCACACACTTGGCACGCGGCACACGCCGAGAGATGTTGAAGTGCACTCAAACCGCCAGGCCTAATAACAGGCATCGCCAAAATGACTGCAAACGGCGACAGAGCCGTCAGGCGCGGGGCGTGGCCGCGGCCGCGGCGGCCTTGCACAGTGGGCCAGAAGGCCTGTTCAGCGACTCTGGCGCTCCAAATGCGTCTAGAGTTTCGGCCTCCTCCACCGGCCTTCTGGCCCACTGTGTGGCCGTCACTCGGAGCAGCGCGTCGCGGCTTGTCCGTCCAGCAGGCCGGCCACTTCCGGAATGCAACCCGAGCCGCTTGTTAACGCGCGCAATGGGGCTGTAAATGCACGGCGCCTCGCGGCCATGGCGCGCCGTGGCGTGCCGCGGCGGCGGCCGGATTCCCCGAACAAAAACAACAGCAGCAAGCAAAACAACATCAAGAGCGCGAATCCGGACGGCGGCCGGCCGACGCCTCTCGCAGAATTCGCGCCAATTAGACAAATTGCCGCGCTAATTGCCCCTCGGTGCGTCCGGCGCTCGCGGAGTCCGCGGGAAGGAAGTCGGGAAACGCGCGCAGGAACGACGAGGAGGAGAAGGAGCGCTTTTCCGGGGCCCAGGAAAACGGCCGGGGTGGGCAGCAGGGCAGCGCGCGGGGCCGGGGCCTCGGAGTTATGCATACGAGACTGCAGCGGGATGGTTTATGCCCTGTCCAAGAGTTATGGGTGGCGGCCCGGGCCGGCCTTCTCTCGGACGCGGGCGGGGCGGGGCGGGGCGGGGCGGGGCGGGGCGGGTGTCAGCCGGGGAGCCCGCCGCGCCTCCTCCTCCAAATTGAAGCCGGCCTGTTTAATTTAGTTTGGAGGTTCGCTCCGAAGCGGGGCAGGGCCGGCGGCCAGGGCAGGCCGGGGCCCCGCCCGGTGGTACCCGTCTACGTCCAGCTGCCCTCGCGCTGCTCGACCTGCCTGCCATGCACTCTCCACTCTCGGCCGTGGTCGGCCCTGGTTGGCCCGCGGCCAAAAAGCAACGACGCACTAATCCAATTGTTCCCCCAATCGCCTGCTGGCCACGACAGAGCGGGCAGAGCCGGCAGGGCCACGGGGCACTGGGCTATGGAGCGAATAAAACGAGGTAGCACGAGGTGCAGGCATCGACGGTCAATACCAAATCGCCCGCCGATCGAGCTTGTCTTATTCGAGTCCCCGTTTGCTCAGCAAAGCCTCAAAACCAGCGCTCGTACACCACTTCAGCAGTTCGGCGTGCTGGGCGTCCATCCCGCTGGACGCTGCCGACAAGAGCCTCTCGGGCGGCAAACTGGTATATAAAAATTCGGCGCGTGTGGCGGCGCCTGCCCCGAGAAACAAAAACCGAAATAAAAACTAGAAAGCGGACGAGGTGCCACTTGGGTGAGCTTTTGATACATCGGCAGGTGGCGGGGTGGCGGCCGGCGGCCAGCGGCCTAATGGAGACGTCCGCGGCGACACCCGGCCCCGGCGGCCCCTAGACTCATTCCGAGAGCTCTGCCTCTCTCGCACCTACACGGGACGCCGCACGAGTGCGAGAGAGACAGAGCGACGAAAACGGCTCTTGGTCCTGCTGGGCCCGGTGGGCCGCCGCGGCAATTTATTGCTTTTATTCGGGAGACACGAATGAAATGTAATGGGAGCTGCTAGGGCAGTGTGGCGGCGGGGCAGTGTAGCGCCTCGGGGAGACGGCGCGCCGTGGCGGCCATGGCGGCGTGGCGGCGAATCGACAGCAGAGTCGTTTTCTTCGCTCTGTCTCTCTCGCACTCACGGCGCGTTCCGTGTGGGTGCGAGAGAGACAGAGCGAAGAAAACGACCCTCGGAATCGAGTCTACAGCAGCGACACGACACTGCGATGCTGGCGCCAGATAAAGTCCCCCGCCCCCTCCCAAATCCCGAGTCCGAGCACCGCCACCACCGCTGCACAGCTGCACACCTCATTTCAGACCAAGTTGGTGGTCGCTTTGGACGCGCGCCAGATGCGGGGGCATTTCGCGGTCCAGACGGAATGGGGACAATAAGTGGCAAGTCGACGGGGTATTAATGGGCCACTACTTTTACCTACAAAGATTTTCCAAAAAAAAAAAAGGGTTGCTTAAGTTTTTGGACTTGAGAGTAAAATCTAGCTAATTTCTTGAGGCACTTACACTTTTCTAGGTATGTTTTACCGCTGAAACCAACATTGACAAGACGGAAACTCACCTGAAGAAGTCGTTTCTGCAGAAGAGCTTCTCGTCGCGGACGTAGCATTTGTCGGCCAGGACGGCGGAGCACTCGTAGCACCGCACGCAGTCGGCGTGCCACTTGCGCTCCAGCACGCTCATCAGGAACTTGTCCAGGATGGGCTTGTCGCACGCGGCGCACGAGTTGCGCATGCTGCTGGGCGCCGAGGGCAGGCCGGAGCCCGGCGCGCGACCTGCAGCAAAGAGAGGCAGGGGTCAGTTGGCCACCTCGACCGACGACAAGTAAAGGTACAGCAACGTAGAAATGCGCGGAGGAGTGTGGAATTTGCAGTCGCCGCACTTGGAAAAGTGCAGAGTTTGCAGTCTCCCGCACAGTTCAAGTGGAGTTCTCCACGTTTGCACCGTGCCAACAGATAGGGGCTCTGCGGGCCACTCCACACGTCTGAGAATCATTCTCCGCACCAGGAAGTGAGGAGCTCTCCCCACACTCGGTTTGACAGTGAGGGCAAAATGTTTAATCAACAGGTGTGAGGGTCGGACCAGCGGGTCGAACCAGGTCGATCGCTCGAACCTGGCCGCCCAATGAGGCAATCTATATTAATAGCGGTGTGCCTCGCCGGTAGCCCGCCAGCCCCGCCAGCCCGGGTAGCCAATAATAGCCAAGCTCCAGGCGAAGACGCCGGCCGGCAGCAGATCCGTCATCATTGGTCGACGGTCCGCGCGGCGCGGCGGCCAAAATGGAGCGACTTGGGAGAAAGGCAGTTACGCCCTTCGCAGCCATTAGCATACTGCCCGCGATCCGATCGCCTCGTCATCCTCAGATCCAACATCATTACGCGCCGCTCGGCCCGCATGGCTCCGGGCGGCGTGGCGCGCCACGCGGGCAGCGGCAACAGTAGCTGTCGATTAGGCAGATGAATCGCGCTACTTTGTCAGCGACCACACCTCGGGCAGCAGCCCGCGACCCGACACGAGTCACACTCAGAGGTTAGGTTGGGCCTGTGGGTCTCCCTCCGAGGGACACTGGATTTTAGGTTGGGTTTCTGAGAGGCTAGAGTCACCCAAAGTCACTGCGGCGGCCGGCGGCCAATCCAGAGGCCCGGACGCAAACCTCCCCTCCTCCCACTTCCAGTGGGCCCATCCTCCCTGCTTGCGCCCCAAAGTCTCCCCCGCCTGTCCGAGCGAAGCGCGCGCGCGGGAATATTCAAATGGCCGCGCGTCGTAAACGCGATGAATGCCAAACGAAACGGGTGGAAAAAATGCAGCAGACTTCCCTGCTGGCGTCGCCCGGCATCGCCTGCCGTGCTCATGCCCTTCCGGAGGTGCAGATGGAGCGAGGTGCGAGCGCTGCAGCAGACAGACGCATAAAAAGGTGTGGCCGCCTTTGACCGCCACGGCGGTGCCAAGCCGTGGTGGCCGCCGTGGCCAGCCACAACGTGCGAGTGTAAGGCTGTAAGGTTGTAATTATGCCCCAGAGTACTTCCAGTTTTTGCGGTGCAGCAGCAGAGGTCGACGACGGCGGCCGTTTTTGCGCCGTCATTCGCACACGGAGCGCGAGAAGCGCGCCGCCGAGGGGGCGGGGCGGGGCGGGGCGGGGCGGGCGGGGGGGGGCGGGCGGGGAGGGGCCGCCGACGTGGAGTAGGCAAAAATGCGGCGGCAACAACGACGGCCACGTCAACGCTCGGCGGCCACGAGGATTACATGACCAGTCGTCCACGAGGGGGACGAACTTGGTCTTGAAAGGGACCCGCGCGGCGCGGCGGCGCGGCGGCGCACGGGAGCATGACGGCGAGGAGGCGGTGGTGGGGGGAGGGGCGCGTTGGCGGCGGTAGCGGCGCGGCGTCCGCCCAGACACGTCCGAGTGCATTTGCATAGATACGATCCAAGTTCAGCCGAGGCCGCCAAGGCGCTTCCCCGGCCGGCGCGCCATCTTCCCAGGGCGACGTCGGCGTCGTCGGGGAGTCCGCGAGGACGGCGATGCTGGCCTCTTCAATTAGGACGTCGCTAAGGCCCTCCGCGTCGTAAGGCGGCCGTATAACCCGTCCAAGTGTCCTTTACGATCAACGCGACGTGTCCACGACGCATACGTCCGCCTGGCCGAGTCGAGAAGAGAGTCCCCTCTGTCGCGACAGCGGAGGGTCGCTCTGTCTCTCTCGCACCTATTCGGGACGCCCCATGAGAGCGAGAGAGACGCAGCGACGTCGCCTCCGCCCCTCGGCCCCGGCGTAGCGGCCCCAGCCCCCACTCTTAGACAAACATCCCTTCCAGACGCGCTGGCACCGGCCCGGCACCGACGGGCATGGGGCGGGCACCACCCACCGGGCAAACAAGCAGGATGCGCCACGCCACGCCGCCACGCGACACGTCCGTCTCGAGACAAGATGGCCGCCCCTCGGGCCGAGGCCGGGATGGCGCCGCGCGCGGGAAAAAAAAGGGCGTGACAATTGGAAAACAAAAACAACCAAATTGGCGCGGGAAAATGCGAGAGGCCGGCTGTGAAAACACTTGACGTGTGTTTCTGCGCCCCGCGGCCTCCGCGTGTTGAAGCAGTCCATTAGCGTCATTGCCGGCGTCATCGCCGTGGTCGTGGAAGGGAAGGGTTTGGTCCCGCGCCGCGCCGGGCCGCGCCTCCACTGCTATGATTAATGAAAGGGCATGATGTCGGGCCGTCACCGACGGTTAGCGAGCCGCGCGCGGCCAAGCGACGCCACTGGGAAAACTGAGGCGACGCGCCCTTCGGCCTTCGACCGCCACACTGCTAACGAGACTCTACACTGCAGGGCGACAAATTAATCAGTCGATAGGGCTCGGCGGGGTGACGGGGTCAGGCAGCGCGCAAAGGCTCTAACGCCTGCAGCGCCGCAGTGGGCTTATTCCGAGAGTCTTTTCCGTCGCCCTGTTTCTCCCGACGCTCCATACGAGTGCGAGAGAGACAGAGCCTCGAAAACGACCTTTGGCGTCGCAGTCCGCACAGCACGGACCGGGAAATTCAAAATGGCGCGGGCGGGTGAGCTGGGGGGCCAGCAGCAGCAGCAAGAGCAGCGCGGCCCGCACGGCGCACCCGCCATGCCGCCGCCGCGAAAAACAAAACGAAACCAAAGAGCACGCCGTGCAACAGTTGAGCATCTCGGGGCGGGGCGGGGCGGGGCGGGGCGGGGCGGGGCGGGGGGGGGGGCGGGGCGGCGGGCGGCTGGCGGCTCGGCGTCGTGACCGGTCGCGGGGCAACCGCGAACAGCAGCCTATGCAAGCCGCAGGAGTTCCTGAATAAGCTGCTGCAGCCGCGGGGCGGCGTGCGGCGCGGCGCAGCGGACCCCGCCGAGTAGTGGTGCACTCCCAAAAAAAACAAAACGAGAGAGGAGGCAGAAACAACAACAACAACGCTCCGGGTGAACAAACGGGCGGCGCCATTTTGGCCGTGAACTTGCGGCCGCGGCGTCCCACGCGCGCTGATAAGCATCTCCCGGAGCGGCACGGCCAAGCGCGGCGTGGCACGGCGAGGCGTTTGCGTTGCGTAACGCGACGCTCGCCGTGACGCTCGCCGTGACGCGCTGTGACTGTGACTGTGACGACCGCCATTAGGGGCACCGAAACGCGGCTCGGTTTCCGCGGGGCCGGCCGAGCAGAGAGAGAGAGAGGCAGAGATGCTCGCTGTGCGCGTCACATTTTGTACAGATGCAGTCGATAGAGCGCGCAGCCGAGCATCGCGGCGCTGCTATCTCTGGACTAGAATCACGGCGCCTCGCCCCTCCTCGTCCCGCCCCGCACTATCCGACCGAAACGCCTTGAGAAGCCCCGCCCCGCCCCGCCCCGGCCCGGGTTCAACTCCCGCCGCCGCTCCCACAGCACGGCGAGCACAGCCAGGCCGCGCCTCCAATCTGGCGGCCGCCATCAGTCTGCCACCGCAATCGCAATGTGAATGTGAATCCGGCAGATCAAAGTCGCGCGCGTTCGTTCGCACGGTTTCCCATTTGCTAGATTCCCGGGCCGGGCGGGCTATGCCCTGGCCATGCCACACCGCGCCGCCACGCCGCCAAGGACTCGTCGGCTTCGTTATCGGCTTCCGTTATCACCCCGGTGTGTCCGTCCAGGGCCGGGCCCCGGGGCCGGCTAGGACGATGACAATGACACACAGGCAGAGGGCATCAGCGCGCCCATCTCCGCCTCGGCCAGGACGTAATATTCATTTCAAGGGCGGCGAGGCGCGCGGCGCATACCCTGCCCGTCGACCGTTACCACCACGGCCTGCAGTCGCCCGCCGTGGATTAGCAGGCGAAGACCACCCTAAAGACGCACGACGCACAATGCTGTCATTAGACAGAGCCTCCAGCACAATGGGCAGCGCGGCCAGGCAGCACGCGCAGGCGCCGCGGCTCCAACGCCCACCCAGCAGGTGGTTCGCGCCTCTCGCCTCGCGCCGCCCAGGCCTACGAGGCCCACCCCTTGCCGGCCGCCGCCGAAATCCGCGCTGCAAACGCTGCAAACCGACACCGAGCCAGCGTCTTCATCATACAACAATGGCAGGAAGCTTCCGGTGGCGGAAACCGCGGTAACGGGACGACACCTGTGCGCGCTGCGCCGGCTGCGCCGTCATGCCGGTCCTAAAGTGCACCCGGGCCACAGTCGCGGCGACGGCCTTCGAGTGCCTTCGCGGCCGTACGCTTGCTTATTGTGATTCGGTGAAGAAAGAAACGTGATCGCCGAATAAAAACAAACACACACGGGCCGTGCGGCGCGGGGCGGGGCGCGCCGCGTGCAGCGAACGGCCATCCATGTGCTGCGCCGCCGCGCCGTGGCGGACGGAGCGTCGGAGCCTCGGCGCGGCCGAGCCAGGGCCATGCCGCCAAGCCACCCCCGCGAGGGCCCAGCCAGCCCGGCTTGCAGGGGGTGGGGCGCGCGCAGGCGCGGAGAGGCGCCCCCGCCGCCATCGCCCGCAGCAGGGCAAGCCCGGCAAGCCCGGCAAGCCCCGGGTGGCGTACGGCGACGCCGCCACCGCCAGCGCGCCGCACAGCCGGCCGGGACGCCCTGGTGGGGTGGCGGTGGCGCGGCCCGCGGCACGCCCCCGCGGCGGCGTGGACGCCGCCGCCCTGCCCGAAGATGGGCGGCGACGGTAGACTCCCTGTTGGCCCGGGCGCCCCACACTGCCCCTGGCGACGTCATCGAAGGCTCCACAGGGTGACTCCGAAGGATCGTCTCGACAGAGACAGAGCGACCGAGCGATCCTTTCGGAACCGCTCGGCAGTCGGCGTGCGCGATCAACAGCGAAGTTTAGGTGCGTCGTGCATCACGATGCGCGCGGTGCGGCGCGGTGCGCGGCCCCGATCGGCCATCGCACCCCACAGTGGCGTGCCCGGCAACACCACTCGGCCCCGCCACGCAACTCGCACGACGCCGACGTGCAGTTACCGCCCTTCGGCGCGGCGGGCACGTGCGGCACGACGCGGCGCGTAGCGATGTGGCGTAGCGACATGCGCGCGTCCAACTCGAACCGCCGCCAAACCGCGTCAAACACACGGATCGAAGGCCGGCTCACACTAGGCTCACACTTCCACTGCGGCAAGTCGGCGGCTGCCTAGTGTGAGCCGGCCTGCAGGTCCCCAACACGCAACTGCATGTGCCGTCGACGGCAGCCTGCAGCGTGGTGTATATGCAGTCAGTGTAGTGTAGGTACTCGCACTCGCAGTGGGTCGGCAAAAAGGCGAAAGGCGGCCAGCAAAAGGACAAGCGAGACGGACCCGTATCGTTGCCTTGCCGCCTCGCCTATGCGGTGCACGCGGCCAGCCAGCCAGCCGGCCGGCCGGGGCTCCCTCACATACTTCTTCCCCTTCAAGCTTCGAGCTCTTGGAGCTTCGCGCCGCTGCCAAGCCGAGCGGCCTGCCGTGCCGTGCAGTGCCTTGCAGTGCCTTGCCTTGCAGTGCCTTGCAGTGGCGTGCACACCCCGCGCCCCGCCGCCCTTCATGCCAAGGGCCGCTTGCACAAAATAAAAGTTAAGTGCGGCGCCTTGGCCTGCCTGCCTGCCTGCCTGCCTGCCTGCCTGCCTGCCTGCCTGCCGAGCTGCCCTGCTCCACGCCCGGCCAGAGGGGTTTGCGGCTCCTTTGGTTCGCGGTGCAAGCAAGGCAGGCAACGAGATACGGCCGGGGCGACGCGGCGACGGTCCAAGTCCCATGGCGGCACGCTCGGCACGCTACGGCACGGCAGCGTGCGACCGAACCACTCCACTGCAATAACGATAACAACAATAACAATAAGGGCCCAAGTGCAGCGCGGACCGCCGCGGACCGCGGCGCGGGAAGGGACGTCATCGCCTCGGCTGTTAGCCCGGACAGCTTTCAATTTTAATGCGGGGGCACAATTTACGATCAGGTAACCACACACACACACACACACACACACACACTCTCTCTCTCACAGACACGCGCTGCACTGTGTGCCGCAGCGACGCGGCTGGGCGACCGACAAGAGAGGGACGTCGTCGTCGACGCCGTCCTCGGGGACCTCCAGGAAGACGCGCGGGCACTCACTGCGCGCCAACAGGTGCGCGGCGACGCCCCAGCCAGCGGCCCAGCGCCAGCGGTCCATCGCGGACGTCGGCGGCGAGGTTCGGGAAGGTCTTCTCCTTGCTCGCGACGCGGTTGCGACGCGGTGCGGCACGCGACACGGCACGACGCCATCCCACTGGGCGCTCCCATGGGGCGTCGCGACGCCCAGAGCAAAAGCTGACCTCCCCCCCCCCTCCCCTCCCTCTCCCATTTCGCAACGCCCTCCCCCTCCCCCGCCAGGCGCGGCGGTCGGATCGGATCGGACCCTTCTATACGTGTTCTGTTCACAGCCGGCGGGTTCAAGTCAGCATGGCGCAGAGCAACAGTCGGTACACCGCACAAAAAGTTTCACACACACTGCCGAACGATCCGGTTTCTCTTTGAAATCAACGTCTGTTTTACAAAACTTTATTTGTTTATTCATCGCGGCTGTCTTGGATACTGAACGCGACGGAATCTGCGTGTACTGTGTCTCTGCCTCGCCGCGGCTGTGTTTCGGCTCGGCTCACCACTCCGTGCCCCATGGCGCACCATGGCATAATCGCAGACCTTCAAGCCGCCTGCCTTGCCTGTCCTGCCCGGCGCGGTTGGGCCGCGCTGCTTCCGCGGTCGCGGGAGTGCGACAACCGACGTGAACCCAGCGCGCCACGCCACTGAAGGTAGGCACACCGCCAGAGACGCTACCGTGCATTGTGCGTCATGATGCACGAAAACCGTTTCCTCGTCGCGGGTACACACTGGCAGCGGCAGGGCAATCGGAGAGTGAAGCCGTCCGAACCGACGGTCTGGCAAGGACTTGGTTTCGAGACAGTTTTTGACTGACATTATACATAGCGCGAACAATTTTTTTGAGAATATAACTCAACCCGGCACGGTGTTGTTTTGTTTTTCGCTACTACCGTACCACGACCACGGAACCCGCGATCAAACCTCTCTTTTCTCCCTTTGGCACTACAGCGCGCTGCGCGCTACGGCGTCTCTAAATCGCGATGCACCTGAGCCACCTGAGCCCCAACCGGAGCGATACCGGAGGCGTGGCAAAACCGGGCAAAACGAGCGGGGATCGATTCGTCCCGGGGCCGAGCAGGCGAGCAAGCGAGCGGCAGCAGAAGGGACCCTACCCGGCGGAGAGGATCCCGACGGCCCAGACGGCCACACGTGTGCAGCAGGGCGTCCAGGGCCTCGCTGCCTCCACGGTGAACATCATCATTTCCCTCCCTTTACCTTTTCCCTTTTTGCATTCCCCCTGCATCGCTGTGCATCGCTCCCTGAGCGCTGCTTTTCCCCCTCGCCTCCTTTTTCACTTTTGTTTCGAATAAACGCCCCGCGCGCCTTGGAAAACAAGTACGGCGGCAGGCACGTCTGTCTCCGCCGCCCCGCCACGCCCCGCCACGCCCCGCCACGCCCCGCCCCGCCACCGCGTAGCCGCGCGCACTTGAGTCTGATTGCTACTTTGGGGACGGAGATAATTTCCAACTTCCTCGAGAGAAATATCCCCACGCTGCTCCGCGCTGCTCCGCGCTGCTCCCAGCCGGCAGCGCCGCAGCGCGGCGGGACAGCGCCCCACAGCTTCGCGAGCTTCGCCTCCGCCGACACGACGAGGCATTCCGTCTGCCGAGGCTTGTTTGCCGAATCACAACAACAGTGCAGCCGCGCGGCCAAGTCCGCCATGCAAATCCAAACCACACAGCGGCAGAGCACGCGGAGCACGCCGAGCAGGGCGATACGGGGTACCGCGTCGCGGGGCCGCGGCCACGGCCTCCACCAGTCGCACCAGCAGAGGGCTGCCGCCGAACCTCGCTCCGTCTCCCTCGCACCCCTTGGGGCCTATTGGGTCGCCCCATGAGTGCGAGAGAGACGGAGCGACGAAGGTTCGGAAGCAGCCTGCGCAGCGAGATAGAGGCGTCCCCGGGGACGGCGGCGGCGCACGGCAGCGCTGGCAGCGCGAGGGGACATTATACTGAGAAAACACCGTGTCATCCACACACACACACACACACACACAGGACGCCCTCCGCCACCAGCTCGGCGGAAAACAGGCGTTCCGGCACCGAGTCGGGTTAATCAATCATTTGTCAGAGAATTATGCACTCTATTAGCATACAATGAGTGAACGGGACGCGCACTGCCGCCGTGTCGTCACCGCGTGGCGTGCCACACCGTCGCAGCGCGTGCAGGTGGCCGCGGTTCGAGTCCCGGCGCGGTCCACGCTTTTTTTTTTCGCGCGCTATTTACACGAAGGAGATGTACGGCTGGTTTTCCGGCAGCAAGGGGTGCCGACGGGATGACGGACGCAACCAGCGCGTGTCGCGCGGCGTGTCACTTGGCGTGACGACGGCGTCACGCGCACGGGACGTGTCTGCAACTACGGCGTGGCGTGAAAACAACGCCCGCACTGCTACAGCGTACAGCGTATACAGCAACAAGAAAGCACGCGAGAGAGAGAGAGAGAAAGACCAAACGGGATAGGTAAACGTCCCGGGCAGAAGCGGTGCTATATCTCAAGTGGTACTCCAACGCCGCTTCGCCGCTTCGCACCTCGCCGTTTATCGAAGCCACTGGTAGGCGCACCGCACGCCGTCCCGGCGACAACAGCACTTCAACTCGGGCGCCAGGATGTGGAGCGACATTCCGGACGCGGAGACTTGAAAGCGGGTGGCGTTTCCGGCCTATGGTGCATCTGCGCTACGCTACGCTCGGCTACGCTATAAAAAACACCGAGTACTACGGTCACTACAGCGAGCTAGGCTCGGCTACGCTCCGTACCTATGTTGTGACTGGCTACGACAGACAGCGGGCCGCAGCACGCGCCGCCCACACCATGGCCTAGAGGGCCTAGAGGGCCGCCCAGCGGACCTCCTTGCCCCTGCAGCGGGCCCACGCCCACCCCCAGCCCCCCGATGACGCCCCCGACGCCGCCCCCGGCCGAGCCTGGCGGTCCGGCGGGCTGCTGGGCGCGGCCGAGGGCGCCCGGCCCGAAGTTGGCCACCGCCGCGCCCGCTACGCCCGCGGCTGCCAGGATACAGATGGGTGGGGGCGACGGCGTCTTGGCGGTCTTGGGGCACCGCTTGGACGAAGAGCCGTACCGGCTGCGGCCGCCCTTGGCGGGGGGCGGCGGGGGCGGCGGGGGCGGCAGTGCGGGGGCGTACAGGGCACCCTGCGCGCGCGGCGAGTAGTCGTCCTCGCAGGACTCCTGCTTGACCTGCAGCAGCTGCAGGATACTGTCCGGCGGCGTGCGGCCGCGGGGGTAGTGCCCGCCTTGGTGGCCGCCCTGGTGGACGCCCTGGTGGCCGAGCTTGAAGCCGTTGTTGGAGGCGACCTTGGCGCACGCGGACGACGAGGACGACGAGGGGTAGGCGGCCGTCGTGGCGTCTGGCCCCTGCACGGGCTGCTCGGCAAGGGGTACTGCTCGGCCGGCGAGGCCCGCTACACCCTGCACGCTGGCGTCCACGTCGAAGATGTCCTTCCGGATGGACAGCAAGTTTCTCAGATTGGTCCCCAGAGTGGTGTCGTCGGCGCCCTTGGCTCGCAGCCTGGACTAGAGCGACTGCTCTTCACTGAAACATGTCCGCCCACCACCAGACTGTCGGACTGTCGCCGGACGGTTTACCTAGCAGCAAGCAGGGAGGGGCCAGGGCCTCGGTGACAAGGCCGGTTGGCCTTCCCTTGGTTCCCTTGGCAACGTGGACTCCACGTCGTGGAGCTTGGCGGGGCAAAGGTTTGCTTCGCTTGCCCGTCGTGCGAGGCACGGAGCAAGGCACAGTCGCGGCGTGGCACCAGGTCCGCTAGGTTTGCATCCTGACCACAGCCACCGTCACACGCGGGGCACGCGGCGATGCACACGCAGTGACACACACACGGGGCACACACTCACATCCATGTCGCTGCCGGACCACTTTGGGACACATCCACTTAGCACACGCACAACACTCGGCACTCGCGACGCACTCGCGTCACGCAACGGCACCTCGCGCACGCGAAGCGCGAAGCACGGAGCCGCGCGGTCGGATCGGGTGAGCACGGAGACGCGCGCGCGTCGGGCCGTCGGGCACAGGCCGTGCTTGCAGCGGGACGGGCGAGCGCGTACTGCCGTGCCGGTGGCGGCGCGCTGCGTTAGCGCTGCGCTGCTGCCCGGCCCCCGGGTCACGTGACGGCCCCTCCCCGGCCCCCATTGGCGGAGCCGGCCGCGAGGGGCGCGCCCACCGGCTGCGCAGAGCCGCGCACGCAGCGCCGCCGCCGGCCGCGGTTGGTCCGGACTTCCCCCCACCCTCGCGCGCCGCCCGCGCCCGGCTCGGCCCCGCCGCAGCGCGCCGCCACGGCTGCGCTCGATCCGGCCCCGCGCCGCTCGGGGCTCGCGGGCCTAGTGGGCCTAGTGGGCCCCACTCGACGGCGCGCCCCGGGCCTCTCGCGCCTCTCATACCCCGCAGTCGCACTCGCAGCACACGCAGCGTGCCACGCACGGCGCACCAAGGACTTGGCGCACTTCAAGGAGGGAAGGATTCTCTTTTTATTTTGCGCGGCGCGGCCTGGCGACGCGCAGCGCCCCGCCACCGTGTGACGTGACGACGCCCTGCCACGCCGCCACGCCCCGCCACGCAAGGGGCTGTTGTGGGGCACAAAGTCCCTCCCCTCCCGTCCGCCTTGTCTCTGTCTTTCATTAGTGTCGGCCTTCCCTCGTATTTTCCTCTCTTTTCCGCGCTAAGTTTTCTTTTGATTTACTTTTGTCTTGCAAACTAGACAGCAGCGGGACAGTCTCTCTGTTTTACGTCGCTGGGCCCCTCGCCCCCTCACCCCAAGCCCGCTCGTCCCTTTCTTCATTTGCCATTCTGCACTCCTATTTACATGCAAAGTTTCCAAAAATTGTATTTCGCGCGACTGCGCAAGCCGAGCCTCCGCGAGGTGGCATCGGCGACACAAGAACGGACGCGGGAAGCACTGGTGGAGTTGGAATGACGAGCTCGGTCAAATGCCTCAAACAGTTTGTTGTTGTTTTTCGGCCTAGGCGCCATGCCATGCCTGCGGCCATGCCGGGTGGGCCGATCTGAGAGATAAGAGCGCATTCCTGGTCTGGTTCACGCCACCCTGGCTGCCATTGGTCGCACGTGACAACAAAACAGCCGGACAAACAGATAAACAGAAAAGGGGAAATGACACACTGCCGTCCGGCCGCGTTTGACCGTGGGTGCACCTATATGGCGTGGACACACACAGACGCACACAGACCTCAATGTAAACCGATAGAAACTGAATACCACTACACACACCGTTGCGATTCGAAGCGCACTGCACCGAGCGGCAATAAATTACTTGCGCGTTTATCTAAAGGGGAAAAATGCAGCGCGTGCTGCTTCACGCTGCAGCGACGCAGACTCATGCATCATGTCGCCGCTCTCCTGCCATTCTCTTATCGTATCGGCCGAAATGATCAGAAATACTACGAGAGCCACTACATAGGCCAAAGAAACGTAGAAAAAAAATTTCAATTCATTTTTTAAATGAAAAATTTATTAAGCGGGGCGTCTATACAGCGGCCGGATTCAGAGGGTTGGTCTCAGCACAGCGTTCGAAGAGGGTGAACAGGACCGGGGACGTACTACAAGCGTGGGAGTCTAAAAGTGCCGGCCGCGCTCGCGCCCCGTCAAATGCCCCGTCGCCGCGTCGCCCTCCGCGTCCCCGCCGCATACCACGGCGAAAGCACGCTGCGCGCTGTCATGGCGCTGCACGTGTGGAGCGGCTCGACCTCGGCGACGCGACGAACGCAAAGAATGTCCCTCAATTTGTTTCACACATTCTTGAGCAGGAACAGGGGCACCCTTCCGAAATTCCAGCGGGGCGTCAGTCACACGCCGGCCGAACCCTTCCCACGGACGGCTTGCCGGGGCACTGCCGGGGCTATGCCGGGGCCTTGGGCGGAACTGTGTGCCGAAGAGAGGTTTCCGCCGCTCTGTCTCTGTCGCACTCACCGGGCCTGCCATGAGGGTGCGACAGAGGCACAGTGACGAAAACGCCTCTTCGGCATCGCTCGGCTGGGGGCACGGCGCACGGCACTCGGAGCGATGGCTTGGGGCGGCCTGGGGGTGGCAAGGCAGAACACGGGTGACAGCCCCGGCATTTGTCAGTCCCGTGCCCTCTCGTTTTCACCCTCGCCTTCGGTACACCTTCGGCAACCTTCGGGTGTTCGTTGCGGCTCCCGAATGTCATCCCAATAAACCCGTGGAGTCCCCGCGGCGGGGTGTCTTAGGGTCGTTTTGGTCGCTCTGTCTCTCTATCCTGAACGCCCTATGAGTGCGGGAGAGACGGAGCGACAAAAGCAACTCTCGGAATCAGTGTGCTGGGCATGGCAGGGCTGCGCGCTTCCTTTGAGTAACGACCCCGGTGCCGCGCGACGCCCGGCCTGACGGCCCCAACACCGATCACCGCCAAATTAGCACCTCATTATGAGAAACAGATGTGGCCGTTCGGGAACTCGGGACGTGCGCTGTGCTGCGCCTTGCTGCGCCTTGCTGCGCGTCGCGGCCGTCCACACAGGAACCTCGCGTCATACCAGGGAGTACGGGGTGGGGGAGGGGGAGGCAGAAGACTGATTCGAAGAGTCGTTGTCGTCGGTCTGTCTCTCTCGCACTTATAATGCCCCATCAGGGTGAGAGAGATAGAAACAACTTTCGGAATCAGTCGGCAGCCGAGCCGGACACGGGAATCGCGGTGGGAGAGCTCTGCCGAGCTCTGCGCTAGCGACGCGATGACTCGCCGTGCAACCTCTTCGCTCGCTGCTATGTACGTGCAATAAGCCGCATCTGCATTTGTGCGGTACGTATGCGGAAAATTCTAAAAGAATATGGGAACCTTTTTCGCCTCGCATGACGCATGGTCTTTGGTGTTTGTGGCAGGGTAGCTCAAGCCGCGTCGCGTCGCCGGCCTGGCGTGTCACAGTGTCACAGCAGACGGAGTGAGGCGTGGCGTGGCGTGCCAGCATGGCGTGTGACATGACTTATGAGTTATGCGCTGTCATGACAGCCGGCGTAAGGTTCACACAAGGATGTGGCTGGTGGGGGAAGGACGCAGACCCGGCTGGACGAATCCGATGGATTTGCACTTTCAGCTCTCAAACCTTTCCTATGAAAAATGATAGAAAGAGAAACAAAGTACATTTTCTTCTGCCGTTCGAACTCTTATCGAGAGCCACATTGATTGAGTTATGATATTAACTGCTAGTTCAAGCCCAACTGGCCCGGATAGGGACCCTGGCACGGACCTGAAGTATGCACCCCGGGTCACCCCACCCTCGGTCTGTCTATTATTTGCTGGAATAAACGGTGTAATTGTCGCAACACATTAAAATTTCGATAGCCGAGCCGAGTTGTATCGGTACACCGCTCCGTAGCTGGGAATGTGGTGGAGCGTGGAGTATTGCCTGCCTCCGCCCGCCGCGGATCGAGGACGCACACTAGCGCCACCCAGCGGCAGCACTCTGTACTTGGACGGCACCCCGTCCACTTCCGCCTGCGCGCGCGGGAAATAGAAACCGGTGTGGGTCGTGCGGGTGCGTTCAAGTGAATGATTTTTGGTCAAACAATGTTTTCTTTACAGATTTTACTTTTAAAAGGAAATTCTATAAAACAACTATCACTAAAAATAGATAGAAACACTGTACAAAGGTAAGCTGGAGCTTTACATTTAGTACATAGTTTAAGGCAGTGTTATCAAAGACTATAAATCAATGAATAAATATACAGTAACACATAAGCATAACAATAATTTTTAAAACTGTAACAAAAAATTAACAGTTTTGGGACAGTTATGATTCAGTATGATAATCTCAAATATAGGCAATGTAAAAAAACGCGAGGCTCTTTTCTGAGAAAACTTAACACTCTTTAAAATAATGTGAGAACAACAAAACATTCATTAAATTAATTTAAAACGTAAAAACAGTTATAATATAGGCCAACTTAACAACATCGATAGAAAGACTGATAGGTACCAAACACTAAAATAATAATAATTTTCTGATTGAGTATGGCACCTTTCCTACACAGTTAAATCTTCAGTTTCTCTGAAAATTTTGTTTAACAAAGCTTATGAAAGTAAAAAAGAAATGGCACCTAACGATTGCTTTTACTCTTTTGTCGTGTCAGAGAGTGAGAAGAAGTGGAGGGTCGGCTGCGTCCACTTGACCCTGAATAGCCGGCATGCTGTTCCCTCCATTCTGCCTCAATCCGAACATAAGTTCCACCTGGAAAAAGTACAAAAATCCATACATGGTTAAGAATTAGTTTAGCAAAGGAAGAGTCAATCAGAACTTTTGAAGTTTTACCTGGAGGTGTGTAATGACCATTCCACATGCTGTGGTGGTGCGGGTGGTGGTGGTGGTGATGGTGGTGGTGGTGGCCATGGTGATGGTGGTGATGGTGGTGGTGACTAGAGCGGTGCTGTCCTCCGGCAGTGGGCCCAGATCCAGGTACTCCACTGGTGCGCCTAGTTAACAGAGCAGCCATGTGGCGCACAGCTCTCTCCTCATACTCTCTCTGGTTGTCTTGATTATTTCTTGTTGATAATTTGGATATCCATTGCGGTCCCATATCAACAGGCCTGTAATAAGGATAAAGAAAAAGTTTCATTTTCAGAATGTTCCCATTTAAATACAATGTAAAGGTTTTAAAATTACCTGCTTGAAACCACTCTGGATCGTCGAGTGCCTGTTTTCCTACGCCTGTGTCTTATGGGGCGAAACCTAGTGTGACATGATTCCTCTGAATTTTCCTCTGAAACCTCTTCACTCTCAGAACTTGATATGTCCGAACTGGTGTCATGTTCTAGGGAGCTCCCAATGCCAGTGCTCCCAGAGACTGCTCCGTTTGTTGAGCCTGAGGCTGGCTCAACAACAGACATCTGTTTCTTTAGATTGGGTGCCTTTGTGTTTGGACCACTGCTGCTTGTGTCAGTAGAAACCGGACCTTGAGAAAATAAACTTTATTACACACAATATCAGAGAAAGCAAATAATTAGAAAATCTAAAGGTATTGTACTGACTTGAAGCACGAGTGAGTCTTTGTTGGTAGCTGTCCCATACTCGTCCTAAAAGTCCATGTTTTGTCCTGGCTGGAGCCAACTCCAAACCATCCCACCAATGTGAATCACGCTCTTTATTTCTATTGTGATTACCAGTTCCCAAACCTATACCTTCATCAGGATCTGAAAAAAAAAATTATTATTTTAAATAAGCAAAGAGTGAGTAGAATGCAGGTTGAGACTACGTACCTCTAGAACTTGATGCAACAAGTCTGCTCAGGCGATCAGACAAAGATACAGGGGGAGGATCAACAGCTATAACATTATTATTAGCTTGAAATATGCGCTCTACTTCAGACTCTGCAGCAGACTGCAGAAGTGGCTGATGTGCCCGGAAGTTACAACCCTACAAGAAAGCCACACATGGTTTCAACAAAATATATAGAACTAATATTATGGTATCTTCTTTGTTTTCAGACACTTACTGTTGAGCTCCGAACAACTTCAAAGCGGTAGACCCGTTCTCCACAGCATGGGTAACGTCCAATAGGGTAAGAGAGAGTTCTTTGATTTTCCATTGAAAAAAATTGAGGAGGATCCACATGGTGTAAACACCAGTTTCGCTGATAAATTGGATAATGTGAGTGACAAAGAGAGCAAAATTGGAAATGGCAATCTCCCCACAGACGCCAGTAAACCCTCCTCCAGGACTTTAATTCAGTCTTGAGCGTTTTAATGTACTCGCTGAGGTTCCAGGTAGGTTCTCTGAAACAAATCAAAAATAAATCAATGAAAGTAGACTAAGACAAAGTGCTTTCACTAAAACATTATTTAATGAATAAATAATACCTGGAATGATTCCCATGGAGTACACCATTCCTATCAAGCCTTGAACTGCCAGGTTTACAAGCTATTCGACCACCCAACTGTCTTAGTATTAGTTTACCACAACGACTGCATTTAAACAGAGCAGCTAGACTAGCATAGTGGCCTCGTCGTGGATCTGCCTTGGGTTCAGCTAAAACACTGATAAGCTTGCAAAAAATTCTGGACTGCACTCGGTCTTTTTTGTCTCGTAGCTGCTCAACGTCAGTATTGCTGTATAAATTGGCTAGCCTATTTTTAATTTGGAGGAAGAAACAAGATTTGTTTTAGATAAATAATTAATGCTGCAGTTGTTACAAAATATAATTGTTACTCACTTTGTTAAAATGCTGTCATTCAAGCAGGCTAAATTTGTAGAAGTTCTTAAAATATTATTCATATTTTTGTGACAATAACGCAAGCAGTCCTGCATTAGAGGTTCCATTTGAAGGAAAGCTGCTGAGACAAGAATAGGAACAACATTGCTTGCATCTGAAAATTTTTAGAAAGAAGCTTTATTATCACTATTGACAATTAAGAACTATGGAAAAACTAGATAAGCTACGAAACAAAGCTGACCTAATGTTGGTGGACTTTCATGAGGAGTTAGATCCTTTTTGACCCAACGCATTAACCAGTCAAAAATATTCAAATCACAATGAACTGAAATGTCCATATCCTCCAGCTTTTGACCTGAAAATGTGAGATAAAACATTTGAAAAGGGCTGTACATTAAGCCAAGCAATATAATAAAGATTAAATTTTACCTGTGGTGACCTCAGCAAAGTAACCCATTTTAGAAACCAGCAATTTTTGAGGGCAGCGAAAATCTTTCTTAAGATTCTTTACTTCATCACATACATGGATTTCTACCTCCAAGCTTAAAAATTAAAACATGAGTTCAACAGTTATACACCTAGTAAACAACCCTAAAATTGAAACTTTCATCTATCTAGGTACTCACTCTGGCTTGGACCCATCAACTGCTTGTGTCGGTGGTACAATGCGGTTTCTTCCTTTGTCCCCACTGTCATTTGTTTGACTGTCTTGATTCAAGCTACCTTTCTTGGTCTCTGTGCTAGATGTAGAGCTTTTGCTGAGAAGCATTGACATTGGCATATTTGAAGAAATAATAGGCTTTGGAACCAGATAGGGTAACACAGAGTCCAATATCCCTTCTTGAAGAACATCATTTAATTTTTGTTTCATTAAAGAATCCACTGTGACTGGTTGTGGAGGTGGTTGAGGAGAGGCAGATGAGGCATTGTTTTTGCTTTCCACGATTGGAGTCTTCAAGACAAAGTCATTTTCTAGGGCAACAGATCCAGTCGACAGCCTTCTTTCTAAGGGCATGGAAATTTTAGGAACTACAGTATCATCAACATTTCTTAGGCAATCTATGGAAATACTTTGCATCCTTTGAAACATCAGGAAGTTCTTCCTTTTATCGCTATTCCCATTTTTAGGGAAGCCTAAGAGGTTGTCAGCCATTGCATCAGAGAAGGGAATCGCTTCTTCAACAGTTGGTTGAGCTTCAGATTGAATTTTTCCCATCTCTTCAAGCTCATAGAGGTGGGAAATCAGCTGATTTTGGGTCAAATTATTCCAATCCACTCCTGCCTTGTTGCTAACATCATTGGGGGTCCCTTCTATAGCTTCAGCAATCTGAAAAAAAAATCAGATATTTTTAAGTAAGGAGACAAATATAAAATCCGAATGTGCTAAACCACTACTTACTTGATATGCAGTGCACAGAAAATCAAGAAAATCTTTGAGAGAAATTTCTGTACAAGGGTCTGAATTTTTTTCTACACCAACAGAGCCACACATTTTGGTAGTATCTTGCGGGGCAGAGGTTCTTGAAGGTTGCACAGCCATTCCCGCTTACTTTACTTCTGTGCACAAGTAGAATTCCTGAAAATCAAGAGTGACAATACATGTAAAACATCTATGCACAAAATGAAGACATCATAATTGCAAGAGACAACACAACACCAAACAAAATTACTTCTCCAAATGAAACATTTTTATGAAAATAGAAAGTGTAACTTGACCATTGAGGCAAAAATAATGAAAAACAGTTCTATGGTGCCTGTCACATTGAGTTCATGGTACTTTGATCAGAAAATAAACGAGAGCATTGGTTTAAAGTTATTGACTCACAATGTCATCGACTCAACGTGCACTTCATATTGGGAACAAGACTAAATAATCAGTCAAATAGTCTTAGAGAGTAACAGTTTTTCCCATTTCTAAACTTCTTTCGCACATGCCGTAGATACTCGCTAGCAGAACACACTCTAGCAGACAACTCACAAACAAGTTCGTATCCATCAAGTGCACCAACTGTTGACTAAAATAAAAAAAAGACCGTAGCTACCCCTTTTACGATTTAATTCACTGAAGCATCAGAATCAGTTTAAACGGACACATACAATCAATCTGATTCATAGGGCTGAGATTGAAACTAAAAATTATCAAAAGAAGAAACATTGCAATGTTGGTGTTGGTACAACACCCGCCTTGTCTTTGTGGTCTGGTCGTTTGACGACGGTGGGAGTGGGAGAGAGACGGACGACAAAAGGCGAAACGAGATGACTGATGACTGAACACAAATTTTCACTAGATATCAGCTGATTCTAATTTGGTTCGCACAAATTAGCTCTAATTATCTGTTCTAAACTAAGGCGGGCTTTCGTTGAAGGCCAGCCTATGTGATGTCAACTATAGCAGGAGAGGGTCTTTTCAACACATCTGTTGTGTTTATGGACGCGCTCTTGTCTGGCTTTTCTTACATTGTGCTCTATGCTATTGGCTTAACCTCAAACGCCAGCGAAGGGTTGTTCCATCTTTCAACCCTGTCACTTCTCGACTGGCAGGCTTTCTTTTCATACAACGAGTTCCAAGTAGCTCTGTTGAAGATCTTCCTTTTTACCCTGACTTTTAATTTGTTGTGTATTTTCATTGCCTGGAAATGGTATGGAAAGAACATTTATGATACTTTTATGAAACCTGGTTAGTTTATCTTATCTTGTACACTCTGCCCTTTTAGCAAAATGCCATACACCTCAATGTTTAGTGTATCTCTTTCTGTTCTTTTTCCAGTTACGCCAAAAATCATTGAAGACTTGAAGAAGAGTGTGTCTCGTCTGAACTTGCCAAAGGAGCATTCTCCTAGAGTTTAATTTTACTATTGAAATTTCTATCAATCTATCCATCCCACTGCTGGATTTCAAGAACACACAATGGCAGACAAAATTAAGAAATTCTTTCAAAAGAAGAAGATGGAAGCTAATTTTAAAAGGGCTGGCCCAGGACATAAGTTAACTGAAAATACATCCTCATCAAGATCACTATCTGTTGCTGAAACTCCTGCTGCACCCCGTGCTCCAATGTCTGATGAAGCTCGTCAGGCAGCGGAAGCTGCCATGGCAAGAATAAACACTGGTAAAAGACCGGACCAGGCAGCATTCCAAACGTAAGTTTTATCAGCATTCAAATTATGGATTGGATTGTGGTTAATCTTACACTAAGTGTTTTTATTCATAGATCCCTAGCAGCTATCCAGTCCCAAGTACGTCGAGAACTGGAGGCAGAAAAGAAACAAGCTGCCTTAGCGTCAGGCACTGCTTCGTCATCCCAGGAATCTGTATCAAAGTCTGCGACACCCGTAGAGGTTGAGGCTAGCCCACACCTAGCAGTGCAAGGAGTGTTCTTCCGCTGTCCACTAATCAGTAAGGCTTCTCTTACATGATACATTAATGATTAATTTGAGAACAGTTTATTTATTTCTGGTCTTTCTTTTCCAATAACTAAGGTAATGAAGTCCTATCAAAAGATGAATGGACACCAAAAATTCGTGAATTTCTTTTTGAAAACTTAGAGGCAGAAAAGGGGCTTACAGCTTGTCTTATCATTCACTCGTGTAATAAGGGCCGAGAAAAGGTAAACCTTATTTAGCTTTTAGACTTGCAATTATTCTTTGAGTAAACTATTGGTTAAAATATGATGTTAATATGTTTGAATTAAATTTTAGGTCAATAATTGTGTTACAACCATTCAAAAATATCTGGATAACATCATTAGGAATCCAAATGATGAAAAGTATCGGCGCATTAAGCTGAACAACAGAGTCTTTCAAGAAAAAGTCTCACCTCTTGAAGGCACCACAGAATTTCTAGAAGCTGCTGGATTTGTGAAACAAAAGCTCACTGTAAATGACACAGAAGAAGAGTTTTTTGTCATCTCTGATGTGTGTGATGATGTCCTAGAAAACCTCCAGGTTAGTCAATACTTTTTTCTTTTCTTTTCATGTGCAGTTCACAGGGTTTTCTTCCTCTTTTTTTTTTCTGTTTTGGCATCTCCTTTTCATACCTGTTCTTTGCAGATGTTATATGATGCATTAGGAAGTGCTGAACCAGTTCAGCTTGAACTTGACCGCAATCTCTCAGTTTTATATCCATCGCAAGCTGCAAAACGAGTTGAATTGCCTCCAGTATTTTTCAATATTACAGCAGAGGAACTTAAGAGGGAACAACAACTCAAGTGTGTAAATTTTTAATAGAACTCTATTTTTTGAGATGCTAAAATTGAAGACTACTGCATAATTTTTTCTGTTTTAATTCACCAGGTCTGAAGGAATGGAACGTAGCATGATGCTGAGAACGAAGGCAATGAGAGAAAAAGAGGAAATGAGAGAAATGAAAAAATACCGATTTGCTCTAATTCGAGTAAGGTTTCCTAATGGTATCCTTCTCCAGGTAAATATTGCTCGTCCCACTACACCAACCTTCTCTCATGTGTAGCAGGAGTACTAAATTGTACATGCTGTTTTAGGGTACTTTTGGAGTTCATGAAAAGATTTCCTCAATCTTGGAGTTTGTCCGAGAAAACTTAGAGGATGAAGAATTGAAGTTTTCTCTCACAACACCTTCCGGCCACAGACTGACAGCTGAGGATGAGCAGTGTTCTTTGGTTGATCTTCGACTCGTTCCTGCAACTATCCTAATTTTTTCTGCTGACTCAGATGGTCAGTCTGACCGAAACAAAATGTTTTTAAAAGAAGATGTCATGATTCTTGTGCAACCAATTAGTTAAACACACAAATGATAGACAATTTTTAACATAACATGTGTAACTACTTTGAATTTTAAAATTTTCGGGCTCTGTCACTTTAAGTATTTGCAAGCTGCATTTTGTTTGGTTGTCATTGTCATTTTATTTGCATCTTGATTTGCATTTATTTATCTTCCAATCGGGTAAATATCAATTGCTACCCATGTAATATTGTTTGATCATATTTTTATCCTGCACTCTTAGTTAGAAATTCCCAATGTTATGCTGTGCTTTTATGTGCTATTTAAGCATCAAGCTTGCTCTCATGATGAGATTTTTTTTGTAAGTAACATAGAGTCTATCTCTACTTTTAATGCAGCCATAAATTTTGAGGCAGTTGATCTCATCATTGCATGGTATAATACCTCACTAAAGAGTTACATGTAATACATGAATTTCAATAATTAATCTCTGTGATTTTTCCAAAGTTCAAAGTAAATTCGAAATTAAAGTACTGTAACTTCTTTTACACTGTGTCAAACTTTGATATTGATCACACATGTTATATTTTCTGCACAATTTTATTTATTTCTGAGGGTTTAGTTTTTTTTTTTTTTTTCTATCAAATGATGTGACTGCAGTAGTATTTGTATTGAGCCTAATCTAGTGGACATTCCTGCTTGTCCCATGTATTTGTTCTGAGTTGTTAACAGTGAAGAACCTCACTGCAAATGAATTCACTTTTGATTATGAATAAAGTAATTACCAGTAATTGTGGTATGTTTCTTTCAAATACAAACAACTTACCCTAAGCACAATGGAGGGCTGAATATCCTCCGCGTCATCTCACGTATCCGAGTAAACAAGTCGAACTGTTGCAGTTGAGAGTGGACAGATTGGTTTGTTTACATGCCTTCAGGACCAAGGTGGCTTATCGTTCGCACCGCCATGCTGGTGGAGTGGGGGTGCCCGTTCGGTCGTCCGGGCGTCTTTTTTCGCCACAGCTTCGACGCGGAATGTTCCGTGCGGCTCTCGTACCCACTCATTACCTCCATTACGGTCACACGCGGTACTGCGCGGGCAGATTTCATGAAACGCTTTGGCCTGGGCGTTCCCCAGTCCCAGACAAGGCCTTGTGAGCACAGCTGCTGCGCAGGGTTCGCGGGGACGGAAATCAGACACATAGTTTTGGAAAAGATATCGAAAGCATTCATTTATTCTGTGTTAAGACTTTTACAGCGGAAACATTATGGGCTACGGGTCACTATACAGGGACAGGGAAGAACAAGGGGGGGTCGGCGGTGGGCCGGTTGCTGCTCATGACGTCTAGTCGCCGTTCATCATCATGCCCATGCCGCCGTTCATGCCGCCGTTCATGCGGCCCATGGGCCTCATGGGCATACCGCCGAAGCCGCCGTTCATGCCGCGGTTCATGCCGCCCTGGCCCCAGCCCTGGCCGCCGTTGTATCCGCCGTTCATGCCGCCTCTGCCGAAGCCGCCGTTCATGCCACCCTGGCCCCAGCCCTGGCCGCCCCTGCCGCCGCCGAAACCGCCGTTCATGCCGCCGCCGTTCATGCCGCCCCACTGGGCCGACACCACCACGGCGAGCACGACCACCAACGCGAACAAAACCTGGAACAGAAACAAAAGGCATGTAACTGGCGGTACCGGTGCCCAAGCGCCTTACAGACCGAGGGTAGGCCTCCCGCCGACAGGGCTGCGCCACGGGACTGCCTACCCTGCCTCCACAAGGGGCCATGGCGCCTCCGGGACGCAGGCCTGTCGGCGGGAGGCGCCATGGCCCCTTGAACTTGAGGGGTGGCTGGATCAGCTGGATATAGGATGCTAGAGAGACAGAGCGACGAAGGCGACTCTCGGAATCAGTCTGCAAGTAAGGCCAGCCAAGCTATGGCCGAGTGCTGAATCCCGAGCCCGCCGCGACACGAGCAAGACCAGGCAACACGGAGCACGGCCTCGGTGCCATGCGTGCTACACTGTAACACTCGCCCGGATTCGCTCCGCACGGAGACGTTCCTGACGGACACGTTGATGGACCGCGACGCTCGGTGAAGACGAAGACGCGGCACTGTGGAAACATTCGGCCGCACGAATGTGGATCCGACCGGGCTAATGACAGGCTGCCACTCCGTGCAGCAGTGCCACAAGCAGTGCACCAGAGCGTCGCTCCGTCTCTCTCGCACTCACGGGCCGCCCCGCTTGGGTGCGAGAGAGACGGATGAGGCTGCAGCGGAGCACGAGCTAGGGGGCCTCGGCGGGGCACAAGTTCGGAGGAGTACTCACCACGAGACGAGACATGTTGTTGGAGCAAAGAGGGATTTCTCTGTGTGCCTCTGGGAAGGCGGCTCGCGTCTTTTATAGGAGCGTTGTCTGCCGTGGGGGCCCACTCCAGGCCCTCCTGGCCCGCCCCGCCCCGCCCCGCGACGCCCCGCGTCGCCCCCCGCCTCCGGCGAATGCGCCAATTCACCATCCGCGAATTTTGGCAGCGTAGTTATAAGAGTGGACAGACATCAACGTCATGGTAATTGTCCTTGGAGTTCCGGGAGCAAGCGGCTTGGAAGCAGGTGCAGCAGGGAGGCTTTGTACACAGCATCAGCCGCGCGCTCATACGCGCGTCTGGATGCAAATTTATTATGTCCTCAGTACTGCACCAACCAGCAAATACCTGATTGGCAAAAACTGACTTAAAATTTACAGTTGAGTCGGCATTTTAGCATGATTTCAGAGATGTCGAGTCGACTCAGAAACGCTAAAGGGACGGCAACTTCCAAATAATTCCGTTTGGTTGACCCAGCTGGAGAGAGGCACTCGATCAGTGGGTCTTCCGTGTCAAAATTAAAATTAACAAGAACAATGTAAACCTACGTGCACCTTCTTTTACGCAGCTATGCAGTCGCGGCCAGCATGGCTGTATTCGAGTTTGTTTACTTTGCAAGTGGAGCGCCGAATCACCCTTGTCTTGACACGCGTCGGTCTAAACTTCCGAATATTTTTTTTTTCAAATCAGTGCTCGTATTGCTCGATGACGCCACCTACTTCAGAGGCACTGGAGATAAGGCGCCAGGTGCGCTCCTCCAGCAGACTGACTCCGAGAGTCGTTTTCGTCGCTCTGTCTCTCTCGCACCCATGAGGAACGCCGCACGTGTGCGAGAGAGACAGAGCGACGAAAACGATTCTCGGAATCAGTCGGCAGCTTTGTGTCGCTCTTGAGCGCGGCCGGCGCGGCAGGCGCGGCTAGCATGGGCTAGCACTGGAGAGCTAGCGCGGGGGCGGCCGCCCGTCGTCCAGAGCATCCCAGCGTGAGTCTTCAAATTCGCGGACGGAAGCGCGCAACTCTGCGTCGTGGTTCTGGCAGTTACGTGGTTTCGCGTACGCGCGCGTCCGCCGGACCCACTGGAGCTTCTTCATTCGTCGCTCTGTCTCGCTCGCAATCGTAGGGCTTCGCGTGAGGGCGCGAGAGAGACGGAGCGACGGAACGTGTGTTTGGAATGGAGCGACGCACGCCAATTCCAGGAGCGGGCCGGCCTTCTCCAGCCTCCAGCGCCTCCAGCGCCTCCAGCAGAGGCGGTGACGAGACGACAATCACTCGATAATAGAGCGTTCATGTTTGAATAGCCTCGAGCAGGGGCGCGCCGAGTGGCCTGGGCCCAGGGACACAGGGGGCACGCAGGTTCAGTCTTATCCTGCCTCATAGAGTAGACGAAAACTCGCACTAGAAGGATTGCCAACTGCTTGCCCACCATCGGGTGTGGGTGTCGTGGACGGTGCGCTGGACGGTGTGCTGGACGGTGAGGTTGGCGTTCGCAGGTCGGAGGTCGGCGGGCCGGCGCGGCGCTGGTAGGCTCGGGGCCGCGGCTGCCCTGTGCTGCCCTGCGCTGCCCGCGACGCTCGAGGCGGCTGAAGGTCAATCAGATCATGCAGGGCCGTGCAGGGCCGTGCAGGGCGGAAATAGATGTCCGAAGCCCTGGAAGAGCCGAGGGCCACCAAGATCCGCCGGCGCGCGGGTCGCAGTGCACACACAGTGCGGCGGGTGTGCGAATGTTCATCAAGGAAATGCCCCCGGCTAGACCGCTGTGTGGCGACCGGTCCGGGGCGGGCCGACGGCGTCCACGGGCCTCCGCCGAGGCATGGCGATGGCGATGCCGGGCGACGCTGGCCAGGACTGGTGTGGGCTGGACCCTGGCGGGACTCGACGGACTCGACGACGCATTCATCGTCACTGTCCACGCCGTGTTCGTGTTCGTCCACCGGCCGGGGCTGAGCCGGGGCTGCGGCGGTAGCGGCTAAGCCAGTGGTTCTCAACCTTAGGGGCGAAATTTTTTTAAGGGGTCGCGGCGATGCTGGGGTCGTGTTTTAGGCCGATTTTAAGCAGCCACTGCGTCTGATCCGAGGCGGGCATTTTGCTCCCTCAACGGGCAATCGGTCTTTGGACCTTCCTTTAGCATGCCTTTGTTACGGAGTGCAATTATCAGTCTTAGTTTGGGAGCAGTATTGTCTCAAAGTTGGCCGAAACGCTCAGAAATGTCTATGAAAAATCGTGTTTTGGGCCGATTTTAAGCAGCCACTGCGTCTGATCCGAGGCGGGCATTTTGCTCCCTCAACGGGCAGTTGGTCTTTGGACCTTCCTTTAGCATGCCTTTGTTACGGAGTGCAATTATCAGTCTTAGTTTGGGAGCAGTTTTGTCTCAAAGTTGGCCAAACGCCAGAATTGTCTGAAAAATCGTGTTTGGCCGATTTTAAGCAGCACTGCTCTATCGACGGATTTTGCATCCCTAACGGGCATGTCTTTGGGCCGATCCTTTAAGCATGCCACTGCGATCTGACGCTATTTGGGGCATTGTCTCAAATCGCTCAAACGGCGCAATTGTTTTGAAATCTTGTGACTTTTTGGCAACTTTGAGACAATACTGCTCCCAAACTAAGACTGATAATCGCACTCCGTAACAAAGGCATGCTAAAGGAAGGTCCAAAGACCAATTGCCCGTTGAGGGAGCAAATTGCCCGCCTCGGATCAGACGCAGTGGCTGCTTAAAATCGGCCCAAACACGATTTTTCATAGACATTTCTGAGCGTTTCGGCCAACTTTGAGACAATACTGCTCTCAAACTAAGACTGATAATTGCACTCCGTAACAAAGGCATGCTAAAGGAAGGTCCAAAGACCAACTGCCCGTTGAGGGAGCAAAATGCCCGCCTCGGATCAGACGCTGTGGCTGCTTAAAATCAGCCCAAAACACGATTTTTCATAGACATTTCTGAGCGTTTTGGCCAACTTTGAGACAATACTGCTCCCAAACTAAGACTGATAATTGCACTCCGTAACAAAGGCATGCTAAAGGAAGGTCCAAAGACCAATTGCCCGTTGAGGGAGCAAAATGCCCGCCTCGGATCAGACGCAGTGGCTGCTTAAAATCGGCCCAAAACACGATTTTTCATAGACATTTCTGACCGTTTCGGCCAACTTTGAGACAATACTGCTCTCAAACTAAGACTGATAATTGCACTCCGTAACAAAGGCATGCTAAAGGAAGGTCCAAAGACCAACTGCCCGTTGAGGGAGCAAAATGCCCGCCTCGGATCAGACGCTGTGGCTGCTTAAAATCAGCCCAAAACACGATTTTTCATAGACATTTCTGAGCGTTTTGGCCAACTTTGAGACAATACTGCTCCCAAACTAAGACTGATAATTGCACTCCGTAACAAAGGCATGCTAAAGGAAGGTCCAAAGACCAGTTGCCCGTTGAGGGAGCAAAATGCCCGCCTCGGATCAGACGCCGTGGCATGTTAAAGGAGGGGTCCCGTGGGGTCGCGAAATTTTTCCTGGGGGTCGCGGAAATTTTTGGCTTCAAATTTGGGGTCGCGAGCCGAGAAAGGTTGAGAACCGCTGGGCTAAGCGTGCATTTCGAAAACAAGTTCACCCTGCAGCACAAGATAAGGTGCTGCTGGGCAGCGGGTTTCGAACCTGTCGCCTCTGCAGCATGTCCACTTGTCGTCTCGACGCATGAGGATGATCAGGTGGTTCCGCCCGTGACGTGCCTACTGCCCACCTGCCCCACCTGCCCCACCTGCGCGACGGACACTCCAGAGTCGAATGGGCTGCCTACGTGCGCGGCGGGGCTCGCGCCGCAACACTTTGGTCTGGGACTTCCCTGCGGCCTTCCCGCGGCCGCGCCGGACCACTGTGGGGCGGTCTGGATCATCCGAGCGCCACGTCCGCGGCACTTCGAAGGTACCTCCGGGCGGCACCCCGAGTACCGCCAGGGTGAGGCCACTCAGCAAGAGGCTCCCCACCTTTCCTCCCAAAACGTGGAACTAGTTGTTGGAGAGAGCGTTCGCACAATCGGCACGACCTCTCGGCCCTTGGGTTCGCGCATCGCTTCGCGTGCTTCGCGCCACGCTCTTCGGGGCCCTCGCACTCGGCTCGCGCACCGCGGCCTCCCCTCCAGGGCGGCCACGACGAGGACGTCCAGGACGTCCAGGGCGTGGCGTGGCGTGACGCGGCGGGGTGGGGCGGGGAGCGCGACGTAAACTTGTTAATAAAACACGTCGCCTTGCGGAGCGTCCCGCCAGTCTGCCGATCAGGGCGCCGAGGACCTGCACGTCCAGGAGCACCACCCTCACCCCGACAGTGCCGCCAGGACTCCAGGACTCCGAACCATGGTGACGCGACTTCTGTTTGTGGTGAGTACTCGCGTACCTGCGACCAGTGGGCCAGTGGGCACGGACGCCGCGCGGGGCTGTCGCGCGAGGCTCGCGGAAAACCGGTTTTCCTACCCCCCGCAGTAGTAGGCGGAGTCCGGATTTTATTTTTCGAGCGAGATGCGATCCAGGTAATAAGAGAAGGATTAAATGAACAATTTGTGATTTCGGGTAGCTGCCTCAAATAAAATAAACAAGTGCATTTTTTTTTAAATCAACAGAAAAAGAAAACCAAGCATTCAGACATGAAAACATCATTTGACATAAAGTGTTTTCCAAAAGCAGAAATATGTTTGCTAGAAACCAGTTCCACCAGTATTCTCTGTGAAAATGTTAAGGGACAGCTCGAAGATTCCACTTCAGGCCGAGCTTCGAACCTTCGAGAGGCTTCATAAAGGGCCGTCGTACAGTACAGCCAGTGGAAAATGCCTGGACTGACGTCGACTGACGTCGGCACACCGCGACCCAGTGACATTCAGCGCTGGACTTAAGGGCGTCTTATTTAAGTGTGCGGCGTGCGATGACGTGCGGCTCGGGGCGGCAGGGCAGGATCTGCCCATTCAGTTCTTGTTCCTCTGAAATTCCGGCTTCTATTTTTTCTCTTTTTCGTGGTTTTTCATGTTTTTTTTTTTGTGCGTGTGTTTGTAAGTGAGTGTGGTAGTGTGCGTGTACGTGTGTAAGTGAGCTGCCGTGTCCGTCTCTCTCTCTCGCTGGCGGCCTGCTGACGGCGTCCCTCTGCTTGCAGGTGGCCGTCGTGGTCGTGGCGGTGGCGGTGGCCGAGTCCGACGGGGAGGCCGAGCTGGGCGGGTCCGGGGAGCGCGAGCAGGGCTGGCAGGAGGGCCGTGAGCGCGGCAGCTGGGAGGAGCGCGGCCGGGAGCGGGAGCGCGCCGAGAAGGAGCGAGGCGACTGGGAGCAGCGTGTGCGGGAGCGCGAGAGGGAGCGGGAGCTGGCCTGGCGGGAGCAGGCCGAGTCCCAGGAGGCGCGGCGCGAGGCCAAGGAGGCCAAGAAGCACAAGCACGAGCTGGAGCTGGACCGCGAGATGGACGCCGCCGTCACCGAGAAGACCTTGGCGGCCACCACCGTCCAGCTCGGCCTCACCACCGCCACGCCGCAGCCGGCGCGCACCACTGGCCCCGCCGCCGCCGCCACCACTACCATCGCCGCCTCCACCACCACCACCACCATCCACGCCACCACCGTGGAGCAGCACATCCAGACCGGCAAGCCGATCGACGACGTCCTCAAGGAGCTGCGGCGACCTAGCAGTCAGCAGCTGCGGCGGTCGTAAGCTCCTTCCCCTCCCCTCCCCTTCTCCCCTCGCCACGCCAGTCCGTCGTGCCTCCTACTGTATGGCACGGCATCGACGCCAACCCGCCACAACTACCTCACGAATCCCGACCCACCCCACCGCTCATCCCCTTCCCCCTCCCCCTTGCCTCTTGTCGCGGTTCTCACTTCCGGTGGATCTCACCTGTCAAGCTGAACTGTAAAGCTGGATGGACGGAGCGAAACGACGCCGACGACGCCGGGTTTGGGGCGCGCCGCCGGCCCGCCGGCCCCGCCTGCACGATGGGCTGCCTACCCGGCACGGCGCGCTCGCTCGCTGCAGGACGCGAAGGAGTCCGCCAGTTGTTTTCCGTCAAATAAACGCCACGCAACTGCCTGTTTCACAGCTTTGTTGTTGATCCATTCACGTGTCCAGATTATTTATTATTGTTTTTACCCGACCAATTTCTTACAGTGGTTGCGAATCAATGTGGTTACCCATCCCACGCACCCCCCACCCCTGGCTGCACGGCGGTTCCCGCGGTACCTGCCTTAATCACAAAGAACTGAAAGGAAGAAAGAATCAACGTGTGAAATTTGTACTGTTTCTATAAAAAAAGAATTTGTAAAAATAATATGGTCGTGTTATTTTATTTCTCTAATACACTGCCACATAATTTATTTATTATTGTCATAATGTAATAAAGTAAGGAATCGAGAGAGAGAAAAAAAAGAGAAATACTGTAACTCGTCGTTTTGTTTCGGATCATGATACCAGAAGCATCCACAAACTTTCACAGACCATAAGAACCCAGGGGGGATTGAGGAACTAGCCATCGAACGCCAGAATTTCCAGGAACTCATTTTTGACAGTTCTTCTCGTTTTTGAACGGAGTCGTGACACGTCCCGTCCGCGACGGATGACGTCACAACGCGAAGTTGGCGGTGAACCGGCGGCATGGGACCGCGCGCACCGCCGCACCGCGCGTCTGATGAGACAAAGGCAGTTCCCCAGCGGACTGATTCCGAGAGTCGTTTTCGTCGCGCTGTCTCTCTCGCACCTATGGGAGACATCCCATGAGTGCGAGAGAGACAGCGCGACGGAAACGACTCTCGGAATCAGTCTGCAGGATGAGGCTGCGACGCCGACAAACACCGCTTAGCCAGAACAGTCTCTACGGTCGCACGACCATTGAACACATGAGTAGAACGAAGCGCGCATTATAACCCAATTACTAATCCCAACCAACGTCGCCCCAGAGGATGACAACGACGGGGGTGCGTTCGTGATGCCCCCGCCGGCCGCCCGGGCCACACGAGCCCCGTGGGAAATGGTCTGAAACGGTCATAAAACATGGAACTGCAGCCGTGCGTCGCTGCCAACGCCCCTCGTCACGAAGTACGAAGCACCGCGACGCTCCGCGAAGCACCCCCACGGCAAGGTGCGGGCTGCGGGGCTGCAGGGCGCACGCAACAGGCACGCGGCCCCACGCCGCCCCACGCACACACGCCAGCGGGGCAGGGCCGGCAGGGCCGGCAGGGCGGGGCCCTGGCGGAGTCCAAGGACGGGCAGGGTGGCCAACCCAAAAAGCTAAATAGTGCCGGGCGTGCCGGGCCACAGGATCAATACACCTGCACCAAAAGGGTTGGACGCTGACCGAAGCCATATTCTCTCGCTCCGCCGTGCCGATGAATAAATTTACTCGATGTTTTCTGCCGAGTGCATTTTCCGAGTTGCAATCCGCGGACTTCCCTCTCCGCCTCTCCGGCACGCGCGTAGACGGGCCTAGCCGAAGCAGTGCGCCCGTCTGGCCGCCAACCTTCCCGCCCGTCCGTCTCCGCCTGCCCGCCCGTCTGCCCGTTCCTGTCCGCCCGGCCGGCCGCGCTCCCACCCAAGCAGCCCAGGCAGGGCAGCCAGCCTCGCGGCGCCGCTGGCCGCTGGTTCAGTTGGTTCAGTTAGCGCAGGGAGTGTTCCGAGTGCGCACACTCCGCGACCGTCGCGGCAAACCTCTGTGTGCTTCTGTCGCTCCGCAAACATGAAGCTGTGTTTTGTTTTGGTAAGTGGCAGGCCGGCAGGCTGGCTTTGCTTTTCCACGTCGTCGTCATCGTCGTCGTCGCCCGCCGAGGGAATGGGCCCGCGCCGCGCAGTGGCCGCCAGAAGGAATGACGTCTAGTGTGTAAAGTGAGGTTATGTGCGTCTGGACTTTGTTTGTGGTGCGACGTCACAGCAGCGGACTGGCCCAGCCTTCTCCCCAGCCTCAGGCCGCGGCCGGGCGATGCCGTGAGGGTCAAGGCCAGGACCGTCCTCGCCGCGAGCGACAACGCCGAGGGGCGCCCTGGGGGCTGTGCGCGCCTCGGAGACTCGGAGGGCGCGCTGTGCGACGCCGTGGAGTTGGCAGCCCTTTCGGCGCCAAGGCGGCGGCCCTTCAAACGGCCTCGCGGTTCCGCCTTCGCCCGGAGCCAACGAATAAGGTTGCCGCCCGGCCGGCGCCTCGTCCCCGCTCGACGTTTCGTCTCGGCGAAGGCTTCTGCGGCGCCGTGTGGACACCCTATACCGCTCCGGCGTCGCGGTGCACCATTGTGCCGCATCACGACGCGCGCAGCGCGGCCAGCCACACGATTACCGATGACGCAGACCCATGGACGCCGACGCCGCTGAGTCGACTCTCAAGAATGCGCTTTTCATTGGACTTGTCTTCATTTCCCATCCTAATTTCCAATAAACGCTCACGTGTGCGTTGCTGACTGAGCAGCCGCCAGTCTGCAGTAATCTGTGGCGCGTCGCCGCTGTCCGCCTGCGTTCGCAGTGGCGCTGCATCGCGCACGTGCTGGGACTGTACCTCATTGATCCCAGAGCGCTTTGAATGGCCACGTGACCGTGGCGTACGATGCGTGCCAGCGCTGCCAGCACTGCGAGCGCGGGGGCTTGCGTGGGGGCGGGGAAGAAAACAGACCGCCACAGCAGTGACTGTCTCGGCGCGCAGACGCCGGCCGACGGACGGGAACCCCGTTTATTTCGGGTCCTTCCCCCTTCCCGCTCTCTTTCTCCCTCTCCCTTGGCGCCCTACCGTAATGACCAGTGCCTTACCCTACCGGTGACGGCCTTTACGACAGCCCCACTCTCCTCTTTTCGATTCGCCTGCCCACACCTTGCTTCCATTCGAGTTGCGCTGTTGGGAAACGCGGTGACAGCTTTCTCTGTTTTCGCGGGGAAAAAATGCCGATGTGGAGCGAAATGAGTTCGCCACGGCACGGCTCTCTCTCTCCGCGGCGCGCGGTGAGGACGCGGGCCAGGACCACCCTTTGGCACACGCCGCACCAAGACTGCACCCTCGTTGTTCCGCTTCAGGCTTCAAGCGATCTGACCTTGGTGCCTCCTTGGCGCAGACCTAGGCTCGATAAGGCCGCTTGACCACGCTGCCGGCTAGCTTGGCCTGCGCCGCGGCCGCGAGGCTGCTGGCCCTGCTGGCTGCGCTCGGCGGCCCCAAGCACCTCCTGGGCGCGTGGCTGGCTGGCCTGCCTGTTTCGTCGCTCCGCTGGCGTGCGAGAGAGACAGAGTGGCGAAACGACTCCACGCGATGGCTCGACTGGCGGGCTCCCAGCCGCGCTGATTCGCACAGTAGGGCCTCCATTGGGTGCGGGTGGACGGGGTGGACGCGCAGTTGGCTGGCGCAGGCGTGCTGGGCTCGGCGGGGAGGGCCAGGAGGACCAGGATGACCCGAGCGGCCCATACGGGACGCCCCATGAGTGCGACAGAGACAGAGCGACGAAACAGACTCTCGGAATGAGTCTGCGGGCTGCGCAGGGCTGCGGAGTAGTGGAGGCCAAACAAGGAGCGCGACGCGTCGGCCGAACCCGGTGCAGTGACCGCGGCGACCCTGGCCTTAGCCTGGGCCTTAGCCCCTGGCCGTCGATGCGGTCCGCGAACGGGGCCTGCTTGTTGGCGGAGCGGAGCAGCGGAGCGAGGAATAGGGCCTGATTAATCGCTGGCGCCGTGCCCCCTGCTGAAAGTCGTCTTCGTCGCTCTGCCTCTCTCGCTTTCACAGGGCTTCCCCTACTGCGAGAGAGAGTGACTCTCGGACACAGCCCGCTGGTGACAGAGCACTGCAAGCCTCCGCGACGCTGTACTCGTCTGTCAGTGATTCTGGCCGGGGCCCGTGGGCGCTGCGGCGCTACAAACGCGCCGTCTTGTTATTACACATGGCGATGATGGAGGTCAGCACCCGGGGCAGCGCGCCGACCGCCAACGCGGTGCTGCCCGCCCGTCCCCCGGGTCCCCGTTGACCGCCATTGACGGCTTATCGTCGCTTTGTTTGAACGGGGCCGCCTGTGGGTCGTCCGTCCGTCGCGCGCTAGGCGTTCGCGTCCGCCGCGGGACTTGCTCTCGCCGTTCGGTTTGGCGAGAGTTTTCATTTCGCGGAGCCGGGCTGCCGGGCCGGCAGTGCTCCGACGGCGGCGCCGGGTTCCGCTACGCCCGCCACGCCCCACTACGCGCCGCCACGCCGCCACGCCGCGGACCCGGTGACCTTGGGTGGACCCACGACCATACGAGCCGCGGCTCCGCGGCCGGTCTCAACTCTGCCATCCGCAGATGGCAGGTCCTTCCCTCCCCCCCTCCCCCGGTCAAGCGGGCCGCAGTACTGACATATCGGTAAATATAGAGCGGCTGCGCGACGCCACGACCGTCTTGTTGACGTTGAGGCCTTCGTTGTAGTCGTCCAGCCGCGGGCTGCAGCCCCCCACCCCCCGCGCCTTTCTGGCGGAATGTTTGGACAGACTTCCTCGCCACCGTTTACAGCCGTTTTATAGGTGGGATGAGCGTTCGAGGCGAGGCTGGCCAGGCCAGGGCGCTGCCCGCGAAACCCAATCCACGGCGAGCTGTCTTGTCTAGCGCCCGCAGCGCGGCGCCTTCGTTTCCGAGTAAAGAAAACATCCTGCGAAGATAGCGGGCTTCGGAAAACCTTGCTAAAAAGAGTCTGCGTGCGAGGCGGCGAGGCACCGACGCCGCGGCAGATCAAGTAGGCACGCACGGCGGCGCGGCGGCGCGGTCACGACCTCCTCCTCCAGGACGCCGCAGCCCACGGCCTTGGCGGCGTGTCCGCGTCGGCGTGTCGATGGCGAAATCAAACTGGCCGATCATTGCTCGCTAATCATGCGCTTCTCCGCGTCGCCGCGGCGTGTTTCGGGCAGCCGCCGTGTTTCGCAGTGGCGCTGCAGTCGCAGACCTGGCGGGCCGGCGGGGCGGCCAGGTGCCCCCGTTGGCCCTCGGCCAAGTCTCGTCCCGAGATGCCCGAGATTGTGAGACTGTCGCCGGGGGTTGGTTTTCGCCGCGCAGGCTGACGGACGGGGCAAACAAACGGCGTGGAAACGGCGCACGGTCGGTTTGCCCGCGCCGCCCAAGCTGGCCTCCAAATTGGCCGATCCAAAGCTGGTCCCCGTCCAGGCCAAGTCCGCGGCGAAGTCGGGTTAATCGCCTCCCAATGAGAGAGGCAAGCTTGTCCACCTGCGGGGCCGTCTCTGGCGTCTTTCCGCAGCAGAGTGATTCCGGTACTCTCTGCCACTCTGTGTGTGCAGGGGAGACACAGCGACGAAAAGTCCGCGGTGCTGCGGTGTCGTCCGCGGTTCGGACACCCCTAATCTCGCCGGCCTGGCCTCCTCTCGCTTATCTGGCCTGCTTCTCGGACGTCTTGGCGTGCAGTGCGTGGCGCGTTGCGTGGGTTTGGCCGGCCTGGTGGCTGCGGCTCGCTCTGGACCGCCCCGCCGTGCCGCGCGTTTCCCCAACGCGTCAGCGGGAACTCGCATTCTCACATGACGCATGACTCTGTCGCCGTGGTCCCCTCCCGGCGCGGGCCGAAGCCCCCACCTGGGCCCCGGGCTGCCCCGGACGCGGACCGACGTGGGCGTCAACCGGAGCGCCACCTCGAGGACACTGACCGTGCCCAACATCAGCGGGCTCCATTGGTGGGCCTCGCGCGAAAAACACGAACCGTTGAAATCAGAATTAAATGTATTTTATTTTCCAGTTGGCTGCCGCGCTGCTGGCGTGGTGCGCCGTGGACGCGCGGCCCCAGCCTGGCACCACCAAGAAGGAGGACCTGGACGGCATCGGCGACGACCTGGAGGACTTCCTCAAGCACAGGGACCAGAACAATCACCGGCTGAGTGAGACGCAGAATGTGTACAACAACAACAGAAATATGTGAGTACCCCCCGCTGTATATACTTTGGTGGCGGAAGGGTGCGAAAGGGGATTCCGGCGATACCCCTCGCGCGGAGTCCACTGGCAGTCCCTCCCGCGTGGGGTAGCGACGGGCCGGTCCCTTGCCGCTGATTTCGGGCTTGTGGGAGTACACTGTACACTCCCCGCTAAAGCGACGCGTCGAGTAAATCCCCTACCCGCGCAACCGCGCTTGGGGTCGGCCTGCCTCGGACGCGGCTTCTGTCTGCTTCTTGCCAGTCAAAGCGACTCCCGAAACGCCTGTCTGTCTTACCGCCTGGCCACTTCGCCAGACTTCGCTGCCCTCTCTGTCTCTCTGCCCAGCCTGCCTGCTTACAGTGTGACTGCCTGCCGACGTAGGGGTTGCTTGGTGGGGCTGTCTGTCGGGTCTGCCTGGTGGCGGCGGTGCGCCGCGGTGGGGGTGCACGGGTCGCATGCTGACCGACCGGCGGGGTCGCGGCGTCCTCCAGCGGTTTGTCGAGACTCTCTCTCCAGGACCATGACGTGCTTGTTCCAGCTGGTCCAGCAGTCCGAAGGGCACGAATGGCTCGCGGCGTGGCGCAGCGAGCGCCCTCCAGCCCCACGCGACTGCACTGCTAGGGGCCCTGTGTGTTTGGCTGCTGGCACAGACCAGGAGCTAGTCCGCGCGCCCGCACTCTCTAGATTTTTCAATCCCCTGCAGGTAAACTAAGACTTGCATTTGATTGCAATTATTTTTTTGTTTTAGCTTTAGTTAACGTTTGTGCGTGTCTCGTTCTTATACTGTGATTTTGTTTTTTGCTTGGATAGATTTCTTATTCTGCTGTTTTGAGTTTCTTAACATTTTTGGAGAGCTTTGTTGGATTATTTTCTTCCTTTTTATTTTGGTCTGTGCCTGTACCACTCCGTGAACGATTCTCGACAGGTTTTATGGATTCGGTGACGGGCCATACGTGGATTCGTTTGTCGGACGGTTGCTCCCTGGTTCTACCGCTTTTCGGATCGCTCTCGATCGAAACATTCTGGAGAGGCTTCGATCTTCCGGGTGACTAACAGCTTTTCTAAACGCTCCCCTAATTTCTTTTCTTCCCGCGAGGTGGTTTCACTCTACTCCCACACACACCGCAAAGACGGTTGCTGGTTTTCCCAAGGGACGCCCTGGAAACCACCTATGTCTTTACTATAGACTCCCTGGAAGAACCGGAACCATTTTTACCCGCTGCATCTCGTTTGCATGTCCCGACTAGTTTGAGCATCTTTCCTGGCTTGGAACGGCATGCGCTTATCAAATCCATAAGACGGACCTGTCAGGCCTTTTCTGTTGTTTGCTTTCGTTCGTCTTGGCTGGAACTTCTGTCCCAGTGACTGACTAACCCCCACTCGTCGTGTTCCAGGAAAAAGCCAACGTCCGGGGGCTCCGACATCCTCGGCGACCTGCTCAACGGGTTCCGAGGCAGCCAGGGAGGATCCGGCGGCCTGGGCGGCCTGGGCAGCCTGGGCGGGTTCGGCGGCCTCAACACCAGGCCCTCCAACCCGCCCTCCAGCGTGCAGTACCCGTCCAGGCCCGCCAGCCCACCCTCGGGCTCGCGCTACCCGGCCCTGCCCGCCGACCCCGCCCCCTCCCGGCCGGCCAGCTCCCAGTACCCCAGCCGGCCTGCGTCGCCTGCGTCCAACGTGCCATCTTACCCCAGCTACCCCAGCGGCGGCTCCGGCAGCCCCGCGGGCGGCGGCTGGGTCGTCCCCGGCAACACCGCCACCGCCCCCAAGGCTGGGGCCTCCTACCCGAACTACCCGTCCAGCTACCCGTCCAACTACCCCAGCTACCCTTCGTACACCAACTACCAGCGCGGCAACCCCAACCCCTACCCGGGTTACCCCGCCTACCAACAGCCCTCCTACCAGCAGCCAGCCTACCAGCAGCCCGCCTACCAGCAGCCCGCCAGCTACCCCGGCTACCAGCCGACGTACGCCGGGCCTCAGTCGGTGCAGCGCTACGACCCCCGCAACCCGCCGCCACCCCCAACCAAGAGCACCGGCTCCAGCATCTCCAAGTTCTTCAAGAAGATCTTCTCCTAAGCTGGCGTTTGACCGTCTGTCTAAAATTGTTACCAGTGATTTCTTTAGTCTTGTGATTTGGGGGCCAATACTATTATCAGCAGGGTCGAAAAGGAAATACTAGCCTCTGCCTCCGCCGACGGGGCCAATGCACGCTCTCTTGCCAAAGACTCTACGGTGATTCGTGATTCCGGCGCTGGGAACTAGTTGAGATTTTCTTCCAAAGTTCCTCTTGTAATTTGTTTTGTTCTTTTCTCCTTTTTTTTGTTATTGATGGACATACCTACATACGTTCCATGTCGTGATTGCCCATGTGACTGCAAGAGAAACGTTTTTCACGCCGCTTCAGTTCACATGGTTTGTTTCTGTTTTTTACCAAAAAATATTTGCGTAAGTGTGCTGCTTGGGTTTTGAATCTCATCTTGCCTCAGAAGTCTCTCTTACGAAAAAAATAATAAATTTATTGCATTTAAGAGAGTAATCTTCCACTTTGCAATATACACAGCAATCATGCTTTAATTTTTTAAATATTAATAATTCGATTTGAGCGTTTTTTGTGATATTTGAATAATCAAAACGTATATCGTTGAAAGATGTAACACATCTGTGACAGTGGACAAGCAGATGTGTTTAGGCCGTAAGGAATTGTCAGTACGCGGCAGTGTACACACTGATTGTAATATACTGTATTTTACTTTGTACACAAATAAAAGTTAAAGACGCTATTTTAGAAAATGTTTTACTTTCTACACCCGAAAGATACCATCCCACATGACAGCGATGTAGAGCATTCAACACTCCAGAGCAATTTCAAAACAATAATAAGAACAGCATCAATTAAAAAATAAAAGTCACATTGATTGGGAATTTTGCAGTTTTTTAAAAGCTCGATGCTGCGCTGCATCAGAGAGGATGCCGCCACTACACTATTCGCCAGCTTTGACAATGGCGGCACCGCGTCGTTGCGCATCCGACGGCAACAAGAGATGAGTTTCGAACAGGAAATTAGTCACGTGGCGGTGCAGATATGAGCCGGGTCGCCAATTGGCCGTCAAGTCCTGATGATTCGGTTCCTCGGGGCGTTCCGAGAAGGCGTTCCGAAGGACGCGGGCGTTCCCCCGGTGGGGCGGGGTGGGGGCGGAGGTCGTTCGCACGCGACTCATCGCCGAGGTGTCCGGCAGCTCGACGGCCAAACGGGGTGCTAATTGACTTTGCAAACGGCGGACGATTCTAGGAGCACATGAAGTGGCGGACACCGCGGCAAAAGACAAAAACTGTTTCCCCTCGGGTCCGGAAACATTCCGTTGGGTCACTGAACAAACCGGCCGTGCCCCCAGACTGCGGGGGCCGTCGGGAAGCACGCTGACGCCGGGACACGCCGCGCACGCGGGAAACACCTCGAGGATGTCGCCGAAGCGTCCGCCGCGCCGCCGCGTCGCCGCCGGCCGTTCACAGTACGCCGCCAAAAGGAGGGGGTTGGGGCGGCCCGCGGCCCGGCCTGTGCATACACATGGGAGACTGCTATAAGTGGGTACTCGCGGCGAGTCGGACCAGACAGTCCTTTCGCAGCGAGGCGACATGGCCAAGACCGTGGTCCAGGTGAGAGTGCGACTAGTGCGACCAGTGCGAGAACAGTGCAGTGCCGCGACGCTGGCCGACGCGTGGCGAGGCGCGAGGCGCGTGTCCTGGGGCGCCCCGGCCGCCTCGTCGCCCCAAAGGCCGAAATCTCCGATGGGCCATTCCTCAACTCCTCCGCGCCCGGGCCGCCGCGCGCTCCGCTCCGCTCTCCGCGGCGTGGCGGCTTGGCTGGCCTTCCCGGCGGAGCGTAGATCGAGACGCGGGACGCGGGCCGCGACGGCGACGCCCACGGGTCGGGAAGCCAGCAGGCAGCCCGGGGAATTACATTGTGTGGCCGGTCGGAACTGGCCTGGACTGATCCGGCTCGGCTCGGCTTGGCGTTGCTCGGCTCGACTCAGTTAATTGTGCCAGTACACTGTGATCGCCGGCTACAAGCCGCGCACGCAGAGCGACCGGAATGGCTGGCTTAGAGAGCGCCGTGTAGGCGGGCAGGCCCGCAACACGCCGGTGCGTGGCGGGGCAGGCTACCCCGAGATCCGCAGGCTGAGAGGCGCGAGGCGGCCGCGCCGCGCCGCGCGTGGGGTATCGCCGCTAGTCTCTCCGCAGCGAGGGGTATTGCCGAAGTGTGTAGTCGGTCGGTGTTAAGCTCCGCCAAGGCTGAGCAGACCCAAGCAGACCTCCCGCCGCGCGGGGGACCGGTTTCAGTTGCCTTCGGCAGTACCGCACGGTGGCGGCGGTGCATTTGTGCATTTGAATGGACGTCAATGAGACTCCCACGTAATCACGATTTTGTGTCGTGTTTCCTCTTCGCAGACCGCGCTGGCGGCCTTGCTGGCCTGCTCGGTGCTCGTCCCGGCGCGCTGCGCCGTCGTGTCCCTGGTGGACGTGACGGGCACCACCCCGCGGACGCTGGCCGACGAGCCGGGCGTGTCCTTCGTCGGCTACCAGGAGCCCCAAGCACCTGCCCGTCGACCCGGCGTCGTCAGCCTGAGCGACGTGACGGGGCTGACGCCGGAGCAGCACGCCGCGCTGGGCGGCAACGCGTACACTGGCCTGCAGCAGCCCGGGTACACCGGGTACACCGGCACCGTCAACCTGGTGGACGTGAACGGCGTGCCGCGGCCGCACCAGGGCGGCGTCGTCAGCCTGACCGACGTCACCGGCGTGGCGCCGCAGTACCTCGCGCAGCCCGCGCCGCCGCCGCACCCCCAGCCTCTGCACCCTGAGCAAGGCTACGACCCCCAGCGCCCCTACTCGCCCTGCTACGTCCCGGGGGCACACGCCTACACGCAGCCCCAGCACCCGGTAAGTCTCCGACTCTGTCGACGTCGAGTTTTTCCCGCTGCCTGCGTGACGTCCGCGCTCACGCACTTGTTGGCGCAGGTGAGCGCCGTGCACCAGGGCGGCGTGCGGCTGCCGCGGTCCAAGCGCTCCCCGCAGCACGGCGTCGTCCGCCTGTCCGACGTGGCGGGCCCCGGCGCCGGGCGCTACCCTTCGTACGGCCCGCCCGCCTACGTGCGGCCCTACCCCTACTACAACTACGGCTACAGCAGCTGGTACCGGCCGCGGCCCTACTACAGCGTGCTGCCCGTGCCTTGCTTTGGTAAGATTCATCCCTACCCTCTGGACTAAAACTGTCTACCTTGGCCGGCTAACATTCTCTCGCCTTCCCTTCGCTCTTCATTTTGGAAAATATTTGGAATTTCGTTTATGCAAAATACGGCTGGGACAAGGGGAGAGAATGTTTTGCTGTGTAGATTTAACCGCTGACGGTTGGGTGGCGCGCAGGCCTGCTGTGCCTGTGACCGTGCCGCAGCGTGACCAGCGTGACCAGCGTGACCGGGAGCCCCTGCAGCCCGAGACACCCGAGTGGCCCCAGCCCGCGACCCGGCGGCCCGGCCCCAGCGAGAAGCTGGTCGAGCAGCACTCCGACGACATCCCCCCGGAGTTCATCCGCCGCCGACGTTGAGAACCCCACCGCCAAGGACCGACAACACCAATAATTTATTTCCCCAACTATTTTTGTAATAAAATAAAACTGAAAACCGCCAGAGCTTCGTTTTCATTTCCTCCCATGATGTGTTCTGTGGTCGCGCCTGGCGCGCAGGCAACCCAGCGTACGCGCACTCACACTCCCACACTGGATGTGCCTGCAGTGTAGGCAACCCATCCGGCACGGCGGCGCCAAAACTGCCCGTGTCATTCCCCTCCCTCCTCGCTCCCCTGCGAGGGATTACGTGGGGGATGTGTGCATAAGTGTGTGTGTGCGTGTGTGTGCGTCCACACTGGCGCGCTGACAGAACAACAAAAGCCACAAGCTGGGGCGCTGCGCGACCGATCAGCCGAACCAGATCCAGAATGGAGAACCGAGGCGGATATAAGTGCTCCAAAATCCATACACACACCGGCAAACTTTAGAAGAAGAAAAAAAATATTTCAAGCAGAAATTAAAAGAACAGCACACAGCCTTCGCACATGAATAAAAATTAAAATGGGAAAGCTGTATAAATTCGTCGAGAATCGAACCCGAGACACCGAGGGAGAAGCAGGTGACAGACCAGCGTCGCAACCAAGTGCGCTATTGATACCCCACTAACGGGACTCGCATGGTAGCGGTCACACGACGACCGGGGGACTCTCTCTTTCGCTCACGGGTCCGGAGTCGGAGTCGATAGGGGTGGGATTGTGGGATCCCCGGAACTACAGTCGCGGGGCCGCACGGCCGCATGATCTTGATATCAAGCGACGGCCTGCACGCCGATTCCGAGAGTCGCCTTCGTCGCCCTGTCTCTCTCGCACTCATGGGGCGTCCCGTGAAGGTGCGAGGGAGACAGAGCGACGAAAACGACTCTCGGAATCAGTCTGCTGGGTGGTCGACGCTCATATGACGCTCACATGACGGCGGACGCGCGAATCCGCGAAGCATTATCGAGACAGCGCCGAGTTTTAATCCGAATCGAGGAATGGCGACGTGGCGCGCAACACGACCGTCGCTCTGTCTCTCTCGCACTCACGGCCGGGGCGTGCCGTTCAGGTGCGAGAGAGACAGAGCGACGAAGACGACTGTCCGCAGGCTCGGACTGGCTTCTTGACCAACTTTGTGAGGCTACCGCTCCCAAACTAGTTGTGGTCAACGTCTTCCCGATACAGGGCATGAAAGAGTAGGGTCTTAAGAATACTAGGACGTCGAGGGAGGCCTTTTACGGCGACTAGATTGGACACAGTAGCCACCCAAAGTCAGCAAAACCAGCAAATTTCCGAGATTCGACCACTTTTTGACCAACTTGGTCGGAAAATCGTTGCGGTCAAAGCCAAAATCGTTGTGGTCAATAGCCTTCCCGTACAGGGCATGAAAGAGTAGGGTCTTAAGAAAATTAGGGCGTCGAGGGAGGCCTTCAACGGCAACTAGATTGGACACAGTAGCCGCCCAAAGTCAGCAAAATCAGCAAATTTCCGAGATTCGACCACTTTTTGACCAACTTAGTCGGAAAGCCGTTGCGGTCAAAGCCAAAATCGTTGTGGTCAACGTCTTCCCGATACAGGGCATGAAAGAGTAGGGTCTTAAGAATACTAGGACGTCGAGGGAGGCCTTTTACGGCGACTAGATTGGACACAGTGGCCACCCAAAGTCAGCAAAATCAGCAAATTTCCGAGATTCGACCACTTTTTGACCAACTTGGTCGGAAAATCGTTGCGGTCAAAGCCAAAATCGTTGTGGTCAACGTCTTCCCGATACAGGGCATGAAAGAGTAGGGTCTTAAGAATACTAGGGCGTCGAGGGAGGCCGTTGACCGCAATTAGATCGGACGCAGTGGCCGCCCAAAATCAGCGAAAACGGCTACTTTCGTCCTATAAGTATATACTAGGACTCTTTGACCAACTTTGTGACGTTACTGGTCCCAAACCCGAAAGGCCCCGGCAGATTTTTCTGCCTGTCTGCCCTGGCCAGTCCGAGCCTGACTGTCGGGATCAGTCTGCTGCAACGGTTAGTCGTAGCATGGGCCAGGCACGGCCAGACACACTGGGCAGGGCCAACAAGGTCCTGCCAGAGTCCCCAGAGGTCCGCCGCCGGCTGGTTCCAAAACGGTGCTGCGTCGCTCCGTCTCTCTCGCTCACATGGCGCGTTCCGTGGGGGTGCGAGGGAGACAGAGAGACACCCGCAGAGGCGCAAACAAGGCTCACTTAGTCGAGCAAACACGCGTGGAGCAACGCCTTTAGGGCCGAGCGAGCGTGGGGTGACCCGGGGCTGGGGAAGGAGAACAACAGGAGAAGTGACTCGGCCGGTGGAAACGGAACGCTAGCCGCAGACTGCTGCCGAGAGGCGTTTTCGGCGCTCTGTCTCTCTCGCTCTCACGGGGCGTCGCGGACAGGCGCGAGAGAGACAAGTCCGCCGCGCCCACCCTTTGACGGCATTGTTGCTGCCGAACGCGAAGCGCCCCGTCACTCTGCACTGCAGTCGCGGCAGTCGCACTCCGTCTCTCTCGCACTCACTCCCACGCAAGTTCACGGCCAAGGCCACCAAGGCCACAACGCCGGCCGGCTTCTGGCTCCGTGGCTCCCCCATGCTCGCCCCCATGGCGGCCGGCGTTTCGGGCGACGTGTGGAAAATCACGCGGACAGACTCGGTTATGGCGCCGCGGAGGGAATCGTTTGTCGCCGGAACGAATCATCTGCTAAAAATGTACAGGTAAAGAGAGATATAAATTCGACAGAGTGTGTTCCGACTCCGCGAAATTCCCGTGGTCGCGTAGTCTGCTCTGCATCCGGGAGCTTCTGCCGCTGGCAAGCCAAGCCGGCAAGTTGGCTCGCTAGCGCCCCGACCGGCAGTCCGTCCGCTCCAGTCACAAATGTCTTTGAAAAATCGTGTTTTGGGCCGACTTTAAGCAGCCACTGCGTCTGATCCGAGGCGGTATTTCGTCCTCCATCAGCGGGCAATTGGTCTTTGGACCTTCCATTAGCATGCCTTTGTTACGGAGTGCGATTATCGGCCTTAGTTTGGGAGCAGTATTGTGTCAAAGTTGATCAAAACACGATTTTTCAGACATTTGTGACCGTTCTGAACAACTTTGCGGCAATACTGCTCCCAAACTAAGGCAGATAATCGCACTCCGTAAGAAAGGCATGCTATAGGGAGGTCCAAAGTCCAATTGCCCGTTGAGGGAGGACGAAATACCGCCTCGAATCAGACGCAGTGGATGCTTAAAGTCAGCCCAAAACACGATTTTTCGCAGACATTTGTGACCGTTTTGATCAACTTTGCGGCATTTACGCAGGAGCATTACAGGCGTTTCTCGAATATTCGTCCAAATTCGGCTGCACCACAGTGCCCGACTGAGCTAGCTCTCCATTGAGACCGGAAAGTACCCGAGTGCTGCGGACTGGGCCTTGGGGCTCGGGGCGGCCAGGTCGGTGAAAGTACCAAACAAGGCGTGTAGTGCACATGACTCACGCACGGCAGCCCCCGCGGCAGACTCGTCTTCGTCGCTCCGTCTCTCTCGCACCAGTACGGGACGCCCCATGAGTGCGAGAGAGACTGGGTCAGTCACCCACGCCATTCAGAAGACGAGTCGCAGGCACCAGCGACCGCTTGCTTTTATTTGTGAATATTGGAAAAATGAGAGCAAGTGGCGAGGCAAGTGGCGTTGTACATACAGGGCGGTATCGGCGAATCTGCGGTGGCCCCTTCAAGGGCGCGCACTTTTCGTCTCGTTATGACAGTGCTGCGGCTTGCCGGCACTTGTTGGATGCGGCGAAAAGGGCGAGCCCCAGCCCCCCCCCCCCTAAAGCCCCGCACGTGCAGTGTGAGTGCACAGTGCAGCTTGTATAGAGCGGCGGAAGTACCGGGCCGTGGTCCAGCGAGGCAGGGGCGGGGCGGGGCGGGGCGGGGCGGGGCGTGGAGGTAGGCGGGCGGCGGCTGCATCTCCGCATATAAAAGCGATGGCCAGGTGACGGATGGGCATCAGAAAGACAGCCACCGTCTCACCAGCAACATGAAGTTCATCGTGGTAAGTACGCCGCCCGGCCTCCACCCGTCCGGCAGTGGGCCGGAAGACCCGGCGCAGGCGGCCGAAACTCTGGACGCGTTCTTAGCTCCAGAGTCGCTAAACAGGACTGGAACTGAATGTGTGACCCCACCAATGGATTCCTCGTTCGGAGAGCAATCCATTGGTTGGGTCAAACGTTCGGTTCGAGTCCCATTTAGCGACTCTGGAGCTAACGCGTCCGGAGTTTTGGCCGCCTCCGCCGGTCTTCTGGCCCACTGTGCGTCCGTCCACTGCGTCGAGTGTCTCACGCCCCGCTCCCGCTCTCCCCCGTGCAGATCGCCCTCCTGGTCGTGGCCCTGGCCTGCGCCGCCCTGTGCGTGCCCCTCGACTCCGACCCCACCAACCCCGCCAAGTCGGAGGACTACGCCTCCCCCGGCGACCCCAACGGCCTGCTGCTGCTCAAGAAGAAGCTTCTCCTGGGCAAGCTGCTGCTGCTGGGCTAGACCTCCATCGCTTCCGTTCACCCCCCGCCGGGCCCCGCCATGCTGCCCACATCGTGCACCCCCATGCCCACGGCCACCCCGTGTCAACCAGGCCGTCCTCCACGCCGGAGTGCCGCCACCCACACGCCCGGGTCCTGGAGAAGGACGCCGAGAGTGACAGTGATATAGTCCCCATTTCGTTCCATGAGAAAGTCATCGTGTCATCGAGTCGCTATCATGTTTTGTGATAAATATTTGTAAACTACTACCTTCTAACATAAAAATTTAAATAAAAATCAAAACTCAAAATCTGGCTGTTTGTTCCACTTTTCCTATTATTCCGTGCTGTGGGGTCAACGCAAAAGAATGTGTGAAGCGGATTTAGGCGGATACACCTGGACGGAAATTTACCTGTGTGGCAGTGGAAAAACATCTATCCACGCTATGAAATTTGAAAGGGAAAAGAAAAAATTTGAACTCTACACCCCCTCCCCAGTCTTAATGGGGAGGCCTCCTGCTTTACTTCGGTGTTCGGGATGGGAACCGGTGCTATCAGGTACCTGGGGTTAATCCCGTCAGCGACTCTAAGCGTTCGCCGGGGGACCCAGTAGGACCCCAAAGCTCAGGCAGCTGGGTGAGAGCACCCAGTACGAAGCTCTTAGAGGGGCGGGACGTAGAGTGAGACGACAGAGAGACAGAGAGAGACTCAGACAGAGAAGAGGTTTGGTGGGAGCTTCTTGTTTTCGTAGGGTTGGTTGTGTACCCCATGGTACCCCCACTGTCCGGCGCTCCCGTACCGAACATACAGCGTTTTAGGCCAGCTTCAAAGGACTTATCATCGCCTCCCCGACAAGTCAAGGAGGCACCACCCGCAACCACACACCGGGTGGTCTGGATTGATGGATCAAATACTCCATCGCTCCAGTGCCGAGGCCAACCCGCCGAAGCGGATTGCTTTTTAGACACCCACAGCGGAGTGGCCAGGTGAATGTGACTCTGACCACTACGCTATCACGCTTGTACGTCTGGCAGCGTGTTGGACGACGGGTTTGAGTTGCACTGGGAGGAAGGCGGTCGAAAAATGTAATGAAATGATGCGATTCGATCCCCGGACCCCGCCATCGGGATCACACGACTCTACGCTCTCGGCCACCACGGCCCATGCTGAGGGGATCGGCGTGAGGTGGGTTCTTGACGCAACAGGACTCGACCGACCCGGTCAAAATTTCGCAAGAAGTTGGGGGAGTCGAACCGCCAACCCTAGTACTGACAACCGACGCCTCTACTCCCTGGACCACCACGTCCCATGCTCGGAGTGGGCTCACGTTTACGGGTTTGAACCGCACTGGGTGAGGCAGTAAAATTAAATGGAAATATTTGTTAGGAGTCGAACCTCCGGCATGTGGTCCTGTTGCACACGGCTCCGCTCTCATGGCCTTGAACCACCACCCTTAGGATAGCAAGTCGAAAAAACTTTTGTGACGCTGGTATTCGAACGCCGACCTGCGGTAACTCGATCCCACGTCTCTAACCTCTCGGCTATCACAGCAGTTGTGAAGCGCGATGGATCATCTGCTTTCATTAACGTTCGTTGAATGAGATTTTTCCCCTCACTCGGCAAAACAACACAAGGTCCTTAAATTCAGCCCTGCACAATTGTTACCGTTCTGCTTCACCAACTTTGCTGCACAAATGCTCCCAAACAAAGGTGGATAATCGCGCCCCCTAACAAAGGCCTGCTAAAATGTGAGGTCCAAAGACCACCCACCCGTTGAGAGAGTTCGATTTCCTGCCTTGGATTGGACGCAGTGGCTGCTTGAAGTCAGCCCAAACCACGATTTCTACACATTTGTACACGCGTTGGATGGGATATGGTGGTGGAAGAAGAAGAAATAAAAATCGTGTTAAAATCAACTGATTGGTTTATTGTTGGCGCATGGCGGTGCTGACTAGACTGACGGGGGTATCACGACGTCGCCCTGGCTTCCTCGCGGGCGGGGCGGCCAGTGGCGGCTCCACGGTGCTTCTCGACGCGCTGACGGCCTCAACCAAGGCCTCAACCGAGGAGAGCGGCGCCCAGCAGCAGCTTCTTCAGTTTCTTCTTCTTGAGGAAGCCGGCGCTCGGGTCGGAGGGCGACTCCCAGTCCTCGGACTTGTCTGGGTTGGTGGGGTCTGAGTCCAGGGGCGCGCTGTGCACCACCAGCACGCAGGCGTACAGCACCACCAGCGCCAACAGCACAACCTGAGGGCGCAACCGGGATCAGTGAGGGCAGGGCAGTGTTGCCACACAAGGCAAAGCTCGACACGGTTCACCAGTGTCGAGTCGAAAGGGTTGTCAATCCCGAGCTTCGGTTGGCAACCCTTTCGACACTGGTGCATCGCCTGCTCATGCAGTAACACTGGAGCATGAGGCACGGGTCTTCAGTATCACCTCCAAACACACACCGGTACCAATACGAGAAATCGATGATTGACGACGAGAGGCTTGGGCGCACTTACCAGTGAGTACTTCATGTTGAGAGCGAGGGTTGCTGTTTTCAGTCTGCGGGACTGTGTGCCGACTCCAGCACGCGCCCGGCCTTATATACGAAGAGCACGTCGCCGACGCCGCCCCTCTCCCTCCCACTCGTTGCGAAATCCCGGTGACCGTCCCGGACCGTCGCCGTCGGCAGGGCGGCTGGGCCGCTGGGTTCAAACGGAAGGAGACCTTGCCGGCCGCGTGCCCCGCATGCCCCGCCTGCCTTGCCTGCCTTGCCGCACCGGTTGCGTTTGTCCAGGGCTGCTCCGTGCCGGCCCAGCACGCTGATTCGGAGAGGCGCTTTCGTCGCTCCGTCTCTCTCGCACCTATGCGGGACGCGCCATGAGTGCGAGAGAGACGGAGCGAAAACAACGACTCTCGGAATTAGTCTGCAGGGTCGGCGACGCGACAGCCCGGCTGGTCGGCAGTGCCCGCGGGGAGGCGGGGACGCGTGCGAGGCGACCAGGCAGCACAGCAGGGGCAAGTACACTGCACCAATGCACCACTGCACCGTCGCCACTTTCGCACGCAGCAACGCGGGGTCAGAGAAACGCGACCCCGGCCCCGGGCCGTGGCGCCAGCGAAGGCCTCCCGTTCGGGCCAAAAAACAACAAAGTCTGTTGGAAACGAACCCCCATTCACAAACAACAAAGCAACATTTGAACCCGATCCCGCATCGCGAAAAAGGACCCTGATAAGCGGTGTGTTTCAAAGGCTGGATCCGTACAGCCAGCGTTTCGAAAAGATCAAAAGACATGGTGCGACTCGAACCCTGGACCTGGAGTTCTGAATCGGCGCATTCACGCTCTGGACTGTGGCGATGGCGAATCATACCGTGTTTAATCTGCGGTAACCGGGGTGCGCATCGGATACGGAACGCACCGGGGCACAATGTGGTTCCGCCTGCGTCCGGAAATCCAACCCCCTTCCGACAGTGCGCACTACTAGACACAGCGGGGGCCTTGACCTGCCGCAACGCCGACGCAGGCCGACGGCGCGTGCCCGTGCCGCGAGACTCCTCCTCGCTCTGTCTCTCTCGCACTCACGGACAGTGCCGTAGGGGCGCGAGAGAGACAGAACGAGGAGTGTGGGCGGCGAAATGGCTCGGCGGCCCGAGCGGCACGAGTGGCCGTCCTTATCATGGGCGTCCCGGTGCCCCGGTGGGTCGGTACCCGGCCGAGGGCCGAGTCGAGGGCCCTGCACTGGCACTGACGGCACCGAGGCCTGCCACGTTATCAGCCGAGATGGCGCATGATGCCACGGCCATTGATTAACACCTGCCTCGTTTTTCGGATTATTTTTCGCGCGCCGCCAGTGGATTGGCCACCCTGCCACGGCGTTGCAGGGAGCTCTTGCCAACCTACATCGCCGGCCTCGAGTCCCGTGTCCCCGGGGTGGTCGCCACTCCGCTTGCGGCGTCCTGAGGTTGGTACTCCCGGTACTCCGTCCTGGCCTGGCCGCCGCGAAGGTCCTCGACTGATTGCGCCGGATCGGGCCGGATCGCTATCCAGCCGGGGCCCTGGCCGAGATATGTCTGGGGCGCCACCACCAGTACGACGACATGGACCCAACGGACTCCACGACGGCGGCCTCTGGCACGGTTCCCCCGACGCCGTCGCCGCACCCCAGCTCGGCGTTCACGGCGTCTTCGACGGGGAGCTCCAGCACGCCGTGGGACCCCCCCATCCTGCCCCTGCAAGAGCGGGCCGACCACACCGCGTGGTACTGGGCGCTGGGGGGCGGCGGCCTGTGCCTGGCCCTGCTGTTCGTCCTGGCCGTGCTCTACCGACGAGGACTCATATTCCAAGGGTCAGTCAACCCACCTTTTTCTTTCTCTAACAACTTTTATTGAACTCTGTGATCGTCACTGTCGGCTCCCCCCGCCCAGGTCGGCCTGGAAGCGGCGGCCCAGCCACGCCCAGCCCTGGAAGCACTGGGGGGACGCTCGCTCCAGGCTGCCGTCGCTGTTCGACCTGCTGCACGTGCCGCAGCACAGGAAGTCCACCGTCAACGCCCCCGTCTCGCTGCCGGCCGCGGAGGCGGCCTACTCCACGTCCACGCCGATGCAGCACGCCGACGCCGCCACGGTCCGCGTGCAGTTGCACGTCCCAGGTGTGTACCCACAGTGTACTGCAGCTTAAGGGATCAGTGGTCAACTGTCGTCACTCATTAAGGAAAGCTTGAAGGAAACCAGCCACCTGCTTTGACATTCATTTTTTCTTTCGGACCGATAATTACTATCACTACCAGGAACCGAAGCATCAGCAGGCAGAACTTACGCTGTTCAGCCTTTACAGTGATCAGTTACTGTCTGAGGACAATGTTAAACTCCTTTGCTCGAACGTGTTTTGCTGAATGCGAGGAATGTGGTGCGGGTGCCGACAGCTGGTGAACCTATTTCCGCGAGGCAGATGCATAGTTGTGGGCGGGTGTCTGAGATAAGGTTATGTCGAAACTCCTTCGCTAAATCCTGCCTTACTGTGTTGCCGGTGGGACTGGGGCACAGTGGGGCGGCGGTCAAAATCCCGAAAGCGTTTTGAGCTCCAGAGTCGCTAAGTGGGACTCAAACCGAACGTATGACCCCACCGATGGATTGCTCTCTGAACGAAGAATCCCTTGGTAGCGGTCACACGTTCGACTCGAGTCTTGCTTCGCGTCTAGAGTTTTTAACGCCTTCACCGATCTTCTGGCCCACTGCGCGGAGCTCTCTCGGCCATTCCTACCCGCCCACTTCTGACTTGGAAGCACGTCGCTACCCCTCGCCGTGCCGCGCGGTGTACGGACGCGCGGGGTATTGATGATCACGTCTCCACCTATTTGTGTGCGCAGCCCGGAGCTACTCCAGCGTCGTTGTGCATCTGAGGGACAGTGAGGAGCCACCGGGGCCACCCAGCCACTATCCAGGGAAGCCCCTGGGAGCCATCAACGAATGAACGCATCGATCGACCGAGGAGCGCATGAATGACTGAACGGATGACGACAGACTGAATGACTGAATGAATATTGATGGATTATGAATCAATGAATGAATGGCTAAATTCGTGGATGATTCGTTGGAGTGATGTGCACAAACTGTAATCTCATTATTTAGTCTCTCACGGAATTGCTTGCCTGTAATATTAACTATAATTTTATATTGAATAAAACACTAAAACTTTAACAAATTTTACTGTTTGGTCGTGGCATGCTACTTTTTGTTGCGGTGTCTCACGGCCGAGTGCCGAGTGGGGCGACGACATGTGACATCATGCGCCCGACAGGTCGGCCACCCAACGTACTCACAAGGCCGGTTGGCCGGTAGACACGAGGCACTCGCAGTGTCTATCAATAAATCTAACGCCTTCGGAATCCAGGTATTTTTCCTCATTCGTTTTATTTCTCCTTTTCGCCTTTTCTGTATTCCTCGCTCCAATGACCAGTGAGTTGGAGTTGGCGTGGCGTTGAGTGTCCAGATTGGCGCGAGCGATCGATCGATCGGGATTTCAAGGGAATTCAAGAGATTTCGACCTCTTTCGCGCGGCCCTTCGACACGGCGGCATCTTATCAGCCGGCGGTGCTCTCTTGGGACAAGTGCACAGAAGAGTCACTCGAGCTAGAATCATCGTGACTTGACGCTCTGTAATGCCCTCGGGTGCAGCGTGACTTAAGATATGTCAGCTACGCATTACGTCTGTCGTCCCCTTTGGTCGACCGTGTCAACCGTCCAATAAGCTTCTTTACTATCAATTCGTCCAATTTCGTGTCTTTGAATGTACTTCTGTTTGTGGGAGAGCCGTTCGGTTTGAATTTCGCGCCGCTGAGACACTGGCCGCACGGCCGCGCGGTCGCCACTCCAAGCGAGAAGTAGGAAGAAGTCTAGCAGAAAGCTGGAAAACAATGGCGTACATGTTGACTTGCTTTCTGTGAATTGACGCAAACCTTTTTTTTTTAAATCGACATCGATTTTTCGGATTGTCCCTGCGGCTTATTTGGACGAAGTATTTCAGCCAGTGTGAACTGAGGTAAGTTGATGTGTTGCTATCAGACTGGTCATTCCCACTTGCATGAACAACACAGCATATTTTGTCCGAAAGCTAGGTTAGAAATATTTGTAGGCCTACAGATTGTCATTTGCGACAGCTGTCGATGAACTAATTCATAAATTTGACAGATTTTTGAAATTTTAATTAAAATTTGGTCAAGGTAATCGCAGAGTGAGCAAGTGTTAACGAAATCGTACTGTCTTGAACCCTCAACTCATTTTACTCTATTTTCATAAATGTTTTTATTTTTTGTATTTTTACAGATTCTTGATTTGTAGGGAATTTTTAACTTTGTCCAATTAAGAACGGCTGAACTCCGGTCTCGCAAAATTACACATAGACCTTTAACAGATGTTCCCTACTGCATGCAACCTTTCTATGAAATAATATGTCAACATTGCCCATAAGAACTTAACCATTAGGATTTTAAGACACTATTTTCTAACAACTTTTGATGTTGCCTGAGTTCCAACAATATTTGTCTGAAGTTCAAATGCCAAGGGCATTGTTTTGTATGGAGTTTAGTGTCACACTTATGTAACCCAGATTATGTGTTTATTTTTCTGTTCCAGATAATCTTTTGAAGTTTCTTTCCTCATCTCATTTTGTGAAACATTTTAAACTTGTACAATGGCACACAGTGAAATTAAAAGAATAATGGAAGAAGTGTAACTCTACGGCATGCAACGAGAAGAGAATGTGGCTGATTCAGCCGAAAGGGCCAATAACATCGTGCATAATCATGAAGCACTAAATGTTGGAAATATTGCTGCTGGGTTTGCATCACCTAATGTGCCAGGACCTGCTGTTAATGTCACAGAGCGCAATACTCCCCCTGCAAGAAGGCATACCCTTGGCATACCTGAAGGAGTACATCCATGTGATACCCCTACCTCTTCCGAAGACGGGGACTCTAGTTCCACTGAATCGTCAGTCTCTTCAAGTAGCGTCTCACCCCCTCCCACTCCACCTATTCCTCTAGACTTTTCACCCCCTCACTCGCAAAGGACTGGGTCATTTCTTGCATCAGGTTCTGTAGCTGTTCTTCACATTAGAACCTCTGAAGAAGATGCAAATGCCTTGCTTCATGATATAGAAAACAACGTTGTTAGTATCTCAGATCTGCTCCAGACAGCACAGCCTTCAGCGTCGAATCAGCCTCCACCTGTAAATCAGTCTCCACCTGCAAATCAGCCTCCACCTGCAAATCAGCCTCCATCTGTAAACCAACCTCCAGCTGCAAATCCACCTCCATCTGCAAACCAACCTCCACCTGTAAACCAACCTCCAGCTGCAAATCAGCCTCCTGCTGCAAATCAGGCTCCAGCTGTAAATCAGCCTCCAGCCGCAAATCAACCTCCAGCTGCAAATCAACCTCCTGCTTCAAATCAACCTCCAGCTGCAAATCAACCTCCAGCTGCAGGACCAAGTGACAGGCCGGCAGGAAATCCTCAGGATCAACCACAGCAGCCCCGAGTCAGAAGAGGATTTTTCCCAATCATGGATAGACCAAGGACAAATAACAACAATAACAATCGTGCCAGAAATAATAATAATACAAATACTACAAATGCACTCATTACCGTGCGCAATCAACTATTCTATACCCTCTTCGTAAAGGCTGCTCTCTTTTATGCGAGAACTTTCCCCAGACCGGTGAGGAGATTCCTCGAGTTCTTTTTCCTACTACTGGTGAGTGTTTTGTTTTTAATAATGTGATATCACTAGAAAAAAGTATAAATACTTAACTCAGACAATATTTTTTGCATGCATTTCTGTTTCCTTTCAGGCCTTGGGCTCTCTGTTTGTTCTGATCTACATTCATGTAGCTTTTTCGAGGACACCCACAAACTGCCTTGAACATATTCGTAAAGATTGGCCTCGTGATGGCATTTTAAGGGTGGAAATTGTTCGAGGAGGTGTTTCAGATGATTATACGGTTGAAAAATCATATGCCAAGGAAGAGCGACTGCGTCAGGAACGAGTGGAAGACATAAGCTCTGTTTTGGGACTTCTTACAAGAGATGGGTGAGTATTTGTATTCAGCTGTTGTTCTTTGTGGCATCTTAAATGCAAAGTGCATCCTGATCAAGTCAAAATAATTTTATTTACTATGAGTGATGCTTGTTTTAATATTGCCACTTTGAAATGGTAATTACTGTTCCTACTTTTACTTTTTATCTGAAAATACATCCCTATCACTAACCTGCTGCCCCTGTGTCTTAAACCTATCCATTGCTTTTCATCCATAATTTATATTACTGGAAAATTTTCATGGTTATGTTTTGTAAGGTGAATGTTTGGACCAATTTTTTGAAATAATAAGTCTGTAACAGCTAAATGATGCCAGTTATTTTCTCTGGCTGTAAGTGGCTCTTTGTAACAGTGGTAGCAGAGATGGTGTTGGTGGATTTGGAAAACTCAGAAGTAATCAATCAAAAAATGGTTATCAGAAAATATTGCATAAAATTTTTATGCTGGATTTTTGGGTAAAAACTATCTATAATTGACCATTCTACCGTATCAACGATTTCGTCAGTGTATGTGTTTCATTTTCTCATTCTTCAAACTCTTACATCATGTCTTTTCTTGTTCAGTTGGACAATATTCAGAGCACTTCCATTCAGCCATTATTTATGGAATCCACTCAGGTACCTTTCATCAATGCCTAAAAACAATTTTTTTTTCTCTTAGTGTGTTTAAAGCTTTTTAAGTTTTTTTTGTTTGTAAACCTTTTTTTTTCTAAAGATCACAAGTTTTTATTCTATGTTGCATGCATTTGCATAAGTCTCGGAGTGACCAAACATTTCCCTTCCAAAGTAAATGGTTGACATTTATAAAAGAAAAAAAGAAGTCAATGGATTGCAATGAGTTTGTGTTAGTAGTTTGTGCTCTCTGATATGTCATAAAAGCCATTCTGTAAAGGGGCTATCTGATATATTTTTCTTTCTGTTTTACATTTGCATGTTATTCTTTTGTCTTTGTTTCTCTCTCTTTTCTATTTTCTTTCCTTGTTTTTCAGCTGGATATTAATAGTTTTGATGTGACTTTCATGACAAAATTGTATGCATAATCTACTTTCTTTATTTCCTGCATGCTGTGGAATTGTTTGAAGCCTTTTTTGAATGTATAAGAATTCAGTTTCACACTGTTTGTCTTTTTCTGTGGATGTTGCTTGATATTATCTAACATTGTAATATGCTACTTGTTCTGTGCAGCTTTATGATTGAACCATCCACAACAGAAGTTGAGGCAGATAGAAATGCAGTTCTCAATGCAGAAACGGATGTCTTAACAGCTGAAAGTGGCAATGAGCCCTCACCAAGTGAAGGATTGCAAATGTTGCATGAAAATGAAACATCTACTGAGGAAACATCAGGTAAAGGTCAAGATAATTTATCTTCATCTTCTACTTGCGGATTTTCAAAGTTACAACACATCGACAATTTTTTTTTTTTTTTTTTACAATTTTCAGAAACTTTGTTGAAACCTGAAGAAATTGCCAAACCTGAAGAGTTTACTGAGAAGTTATCTATATCTGAAGCGGCAGAAGCTGGCCTGATATCTAAAGAGGACTTGGAGGAACTTACCCAGGTAGCAAAGCATGTCTATTCACACTCTTTTTTATGATTCTTGTGATCCAGTTCAATATATTAAAGTTACTCTCTTTGCCCGGGTTGAACAGGAACTCCAATCCAGTGAAATTTTTGTCGTAATAGACAGTGAGGTATTCTCCTTTTACTAAAACTTCTTCAGTAGTCTCTCCTCACATTTTAACCTTTTGTAAGTTTTGCCTCTCGTGACACTGTTTTCTTGCAATTTCAGACTGTACTAACGGAAAACAATACTATTGATGGGGAGACCCAGGACAAGTCTGGTAAAGCATTTTCTGAAGTTGAAAAACTTGTCAGAGCAGGTCAGAGTTCAATGTTGACTGTGTTTTTAAACAGTCTTAAATGATTTTAAAATTTAGTTTTAAAAATAAAAAATGAAAAAAATAATCCATATTGTTTTATGTTGCAGTGTGGCCAGAGGATGCTTATATAGTGGAGTATTCTCTTGAGTATGGCTACTTACGCCTTGGTGCTGAAAAACGGAAACTGCTGAAAATTCCTGTGAAAATTGTTGCTTTGGACCCAACCAAAGATAAATGCTTTGGAGATAGCTTCTTGAGGTTCATTTTAGAAGAGTTCTTGGGATATGATGATGTTCTCATGGCTTCCATAAAAAATCTGGCTGAGACAGAAGATAACAAGGGATATTTGAGGTGCGTATGCTAAACTGTAGGAGAAGCGATGAATGTGTCCTGGATATTTCTACTACCACAACAGCACTGAAATTTTTCACACTTTTCAGAAATGTTGTGACCGGTGAGCACTATCGATTCGTGACCATGTGGATGGCCCACACATCCTACTTTGCTGCTCTCTTCGTTATGCTTGTGTTTGTAAGTAATGCCATACATCATTTCCAAAAGAGAAGGGTGCCGAAAAGCAAACCCCAAGGTAGAAGGGAAAGGGAGCTGGGGAAAAGCAAAGAAACGGCCAGGCAGGGCAAGCAGCAAGCAGCAAGCATTGAGCGGGAGGGGAGGGGAGGGGGTCGCTCTGGCCAAGGTCCTGGGCGAGGGAGGGGCGGGGTCCTGGTTCTAGTCCTTGGCGGCGCCGGCGCCCCTAGACCCTTGCCCTGCCGCCGCCGTCCCGGCGCCACCAGCCACACGCTGTCGAGTCGAATCCAGTCCGGCCCGGCCACGGCCCGGCCAGATGGGCGGCTCAGCCGAAAGCGCCCCGAAAACGCCAAGAGTTTGCATAAGTGGGGGAGACATGAGCGCAAAATTGTCTTGGTGTGCGCATTTTGTTGGTCGCTGCCGCCTGGCACACCGTGGGTAGGCAACTCGGCGGACAGCGGCGCGCGTCGCCCGGCTGGCATTGCCTACCCCTCGTTACCATTACCATTGCGGGCTAGACCACAACTGATCGCATGCCGGCGGTCTCAGGAAGCTCCGGCCTCCAGCTTAGAGAGACTAGAGACCAGGCGGCAGGGCTAGAGAGACTGCAGATCGGGCGGCAGGCTTCGAGAGATTAGAGACCGGGCGGCAGGGCCGGGCAGAGCTAGAGAGACTGCAGACAGGCGGCAGCGCGACAGCTGTGCCGCGTCGCCGCGACTCACTTTTGCCTAAACTATTCCCTGTTTGTTCGCGCGGGCCGGCCGGCCGGCTGGCGACTTTTGTATGTCGCTTCGTCACCCCGATAGCATCTGACTGGCGCGGCGCGACGGCGCGACGTCACCGCGGCTGTCCGCGTCGTCGTTCCCCTCGTTACCGACCCGTCCAGCCCGTCCGTCTGTGTGCTCGCGCCATGCTCGCGCACGCCTCGACTCGAGGAAATGGCGTGCGAAGTGAATGGGAATGTCGACCGCCAAAAAAGGTGTCGCCTTCAGTCCGCGGTCCGGGCGACTCGGCGGCGGCGGGGACCCGCTGGCGACGACGGTGTGCCATTTGAATTTAACATCGCGGACCTCGCGGCCCGATGCCTGCCGATGCCCGGCCGTGGCACGTGACGCACGCGAAGGACTAATGTAGGCACGCCCGACGCGGTCTGCGGCCGCGCGCCCGACTGGCAGCGAGCGCAGTGTAGCCGCGGGGCCGAAAAACAGAAAAGAGAGCAAGAAGAAATAAAAATAAAATAAAAATTGGCGCCGCGGTTGGAGTCCCTGGGATCGAGGCAGAGCCCACGACTGGCCGAACTGCATTTAAAAAATATAACTTGATGGCGACGTAATGAAAAATTGAAAGACTTGTAATCGAGTTTTATGTTTTGTGGTAACTTTAATTTTACTGACTGCTGGATGCTGTCTTTTTATAGGGACGGCCGCACGCTCGCTGACGAAAGGGACCCGGCAATTTTGAGTTTTGTGTTTCTGCCTCGCAGGGCTGCGTACTGCGCTGCGGGCCAGAAGACCGGTGGAGGCGGCCGAAATTCTAGACGCGTTTTGAGCTCCATGGTCGTCAATTAGGACTCGAACCGAACGTGTGACCCCACTAATGGATTGCTCTCCGAACGAGGAATCCATTGGTGGGGGTCACACGTTCGATTAGCTCAAAACGCGTCTGAGTTTTGGTCGCCTCCACCGGTCTTCTGGCCCACTGTGCTGCGCGTGCTGCGCGTGCTTCGGACGGTCCGCAGCTGCCCGTCCATCGAAGTCCACTTGAACTCACTAAAGTCCAGACTCGGACCCCAACCCCACCCCGACCCCAACCCAACACGATTATCGTTTTAGGGTGACGTCGTTGCATTATTGCGTGGGCAGGGGCGGCAGGGGCAGGGGAGGGGGAGGGGCACAGTGCAGTCAAGTGGAGAACACACATCCCCGCTGGCGGCCACCGCCCCCTCCCCCTCCATCTCAAAAGTGAGGGAGGGAAATTTATGCAGCGCTATGCAAACTGTCCGATGATGGCGTGCTGGTCAAATAATATGCGATCAGGTTCAGGCGATCACTAGTCAGCGGGAGCGCTGGGGTGGGGGTTGGGGGTTGGGGTGGGGGTTGATGAATTGTTTTGCCTTGGCCGTGACACAGCCGTGACTTGGGGCGAGTCGCGATTTGCTTCTCATGATGACTCATCTGTTGCAGACGGTGTCCACGTCCATGCTGCTTCGCTACTCCCACCACCAGATCTTCGTCTTCATAAGTAAGTTTTGGTTTGTGCGGACCAGCTCCCTGTTGGCGGCTCGGCCGGGCCTAGGCCGGGCTCGGCGGCGGCGTCCTCCGTGTCCTCCATGTTGGCAGTGTGCTTCACGTGCCTCACGCTGCCGCCGCCTTTCTTTTTGCTCCTTTCCCAAACCTCTTCAATTCTTCTCTCCGCTCTCCCCGTCTCCTCGTCGCCGTCCTCGACGTCCTCGACGGCGGCGGCGACGTTTCGTGGACGTTTGCTCGCTCGCACACTTTTCAATTAAGTGTCATGTTACACAAACAGCGCAACGATGGGAGGGGGTGGGGTGGGGAGGGAGGGAGGGGTGTGACCACGCTTGGGCCACGCCTGGGCCACGCCTGGGCTCGGCGGGGCTCCGTTACGCCCCACAAGGCCCTGCTCTGCTGGCAGCGCTAGCCGCGAGGCCGAGGGCGGGGGCTCCCGACGACGGACCTTCGACGGACTGCCGGCGGACTGTGCTCGAGACAGTGCCTCGCCTCGAATCCCGAGGGGGAAAACAGGACAGCCAGCGAATGGAAAATGATTTTGGCCGCGCTGCTTGGCCCCGCTGCTCGCCATGTTGACATTCGGCCCCAGCCGCCCCAGCAGGCAGCGCGCGGCCTAGCGCGGTCCCCCAGCCCCCACCGCTTGCAGTGGCGTGGCGTGGCAGCGTGCCCAGCGCCTCATTTTCGCCGCCGGCAAGTCGTCGAACACGGCGGGCTGGGCCTGGCTGGCTGGCGCCCCTCCGCGCGGCGTGGCGGCGTGGCCCCGTTTTAATGTCGTGTTATGACGGCCCGTCATGGCGCCGGCAAGCCGAGGCAAGCGCTGTCCTAATCGGCCGGCTAATTGTTCCTTGCCGGGCTCAATTTCTCAGTCACTCGCAGCGGGGCGCGAGGCGGGGCGGCGCGGGGCGGGGCGCGTCGCCACTCAGCCCACCACGCCGCGCCACTCCATTACGCCCTCGCGGAATCGGTGCTCTCTGTCGGTCTCTGTCGCGCCGGGGCTGAAGGGACTTCCCCGCGCGTGCGAGCGGCACGTCCGCGCCGAGGACGGGGCGGACGGGGCGGACGGGGCGCGGAGGACCCGGCCCAGAAGTGCCGGGGATTAAATGCTTGACGGCGGAGTGCCGGCGACGACGCCGCGCCGCGGGACGAGCGGCAGCAGCGCGCCGCCGGAACGATGCTCTTATACGGGCCGGCGTCACGCTCGCGGCGGCCTGCGACGTCTTAGCGGCGCCCCGTCGGCGGCGACCCCCTCGCTGCGCCAGGCTGCTCCCCGACGGTAGCGTGTGTCGCCACACTGTGTAAATCCGACCCCAGGCAATCACAACGCAACAATTGGCCCTCGGCGTCATTGCAGGGGCTACTAAGAAGGGCCCCGCCCCGCCCCGCCCCCCTGCTCCGGAGAGGCTGCCTGTTGCCCCTCGCGGCGGCCCCTGCCCCCCACCGGCCCCACCGGCCCCACTGCCCCCCACCGGCCGGCCCCGCGAGGCTCCGCCCCCTCTGGCTGTCCTGTCCCGCCCCCCGTGCCCACCCCACCGCGGCCCCCGCCGAGCCCACCAATAGTGGGTCCCCGTTCCCGTGTCGCATTTTGCCTTTGTGGACGCCCGGTCGTTTGGGATCATTTTTTCCTGTCTCTTCTTTCCTTTTCTTTTCGAAGATGTATTTTTACCTTCCTTGATTTGCGGCGCCGCCTTTTGCCACGTTATCGGCGGCCATGCACGCGCGGCGCTTTGACACTCCAAAGTTTTGAACGTCGGCAGTCGAGCCGACGAGCGCTTTAATCTTTTTAATTGGGCTTCGACTCAGTGCTGGACTTGACCGGGCAGACCGAGCGCGCGCCCTGCTCCTTCCCGTTTCACCTCATCGCCCCCCCCCCTCCCGAACCGCCCTCGGCCGCGGCGAAGACGGGCCGGCCCAACTTTGCGACCGCACTCCAACTTAAAACTTCCGACCGGGCGATTTGAGAGGAATCAAGTCGACGACGGCAGGGAGCGCCCGAGGCGGGGCGGGGCGGGGCGGGGCGATCTGCTGGTGAACCATCCATAAGGGCTCCCTTTTGAGGTCGACGGAGTCCGTTGTTCAAAGAAGCGCAGGCAGGCCGCAGGGTCTCGCCGTGGTTACCGCCCGCGCCGCTGGATAGGCAACCCATCGGGTCCCACGCAACTCCCCTCCGGGTGTTCTCTTCGACGGTTCTAACTGCGGTGCCCCATCGGGGTGCCCCATCGGGGTGTCGACGGGACGACGGCCTCCAGCACACCGCTCCAGTTTTTGGCCGATTTGTCGATGCGCTGGCCGGGGGCGTTTGATTGGACGGGCACATGATTAAGCGAGCCAATTGACTCGTTGGACTCCCCCACTGCCCTCCGCGCCCCGAGCAGCCCAGAGCAGCCCAGAGCTCCGCTGCCCCGACGGCCGGCGCGGCGGCCTTCTGGCTGAGTAGCAGGGCATCGGACCGATCCTTTCCCGAACTTCGAATCGACGATCGGGTAGCGCTTGAACTCTGCTCGCTCTGTGCGCGCAACAATTTTTCAAAATAATAAATAAATTCAAAAGCAAAATTTAAGAAAAAGCGTTTTGTTTTTGTTGGCGTGCGGCCGCCGAGTCGGCCTTGGCGGCGTGCTTGCGGGTTGCTTGCTGCTCGGCTGCTCGGCGGTCACCTTGTGGTGGGGGCGGCCAGGGCGGCGGCGGCGTGCCCCGCTGGACGCTCGTTACGGTCGCTTGTCGGCTGTCATTACCATCGGCCCCATCGGGGGCATCCGGGGGCCCCGCCGGCCCGGCCGCCCCGCCAAGCTCGCCCTCTTGATCGTCCTCATCAGGGCATTTTCCGCCCCGCCCCGCCCCCTCGGCCTTTTCTCGCCGCCCTGCAGGACCCCGATGAGACAAACAAGCAGGTCCTGTAGGCAGTGACGGCCCACTGCTTGATTAGACGGGGAAAGAAGGCGGGCGGGCAGACGGACAGGCCGACGGACGCACGGACACGCAAAGTGAGCAGCTTGAATGTTCGGCCAATGCGCCTGGCCGCCGCTGGCCGCTCGGTTGCGGTGGCCCTGCAGGCCCTGCAGGCCCCGGCTCTGGCCGGCGATATAATACAGCAATCAGCTGTGTGTATAGCCGGGCATCCGGGCAGCCCGCCCGGACGATTCGGTATGAGATTCATCAGTGGGAGGGGAGGGGGCTGTGGGCATGTTTGTCCGGACCGCGGTCCGCCGTGCCGTGCCGCGCCGTGCCGCGGGGGCAAAGCAGGGATTTGTAAAGCACATAGTAGGCATACAGTGGCTGTATGAATGGGAACAGGCCTCCTGAGGAACTCTGTGTGTGTGCGTGAAGCCTGTCGCCCACACGCCACCCCCTATGTACACCGCACGCGAAGCGCGAAGCCCAGCGACGCGTGCCGAGCCGAGCGGAGCAGTGCGCGGGGCCCGAAGCCACATTACCTGCGCACTGTTTCCGAGAGTCGTTTTCGCCGCTCTGTCTCTCTCGCACTCACGGGGCGTCCCCTACAGGTGCGAGAGAGACAGAGCGACGAAAACGACTCTCGGAATCAGTCTGCTGAACCAATATTGCTGTGATGCTGTGTCTGCCCGCCGGGGCCATTTTGCGCCCGGTCTCTGCATTTTGAAACACAGCGGATTGGAATCGACTTGCGCTCGCGGGTAGTCCAAGTCAAACCTGCACTGGCCGCGCAGGAAAGAGATCCCTTGCTGCCTCTTCCAGCACGAATTTCAGTCCTCTCTGGCCCGAAACACGGTATGAAAATGGCCTCGTTTTCGCCGTCTTCGCGGTCTTCGCCGTCGGATGAGGAAGTATGCCGCAGACCAAACCGGATCCGGGGCGCCACCCGGGCCATCCGGGCCACAGCCTGTCGTCCTCGCCCTGCCTGCCTCCGCCTGCCTCCGCCTGCCCCCGCCTGCCCCCGCCCCGCGCACAGCGTCCTCTTTCGCTTGGTCTGTCCGGCCGCCAGTTTGAATCTGTACGCCCGTCTGCACACGGAGTCCTTGTTGTCCTGGCTGTGCGAGGACGGAGGACGCGCCGCCGCCAGCCCGCCGCCAGCCCGCCAGGCAGCCAGCCCGCCCCCGGAGGGAGGGAAGGAACGGATGCTGCTGGGATCTGGAGCTGAATGGTTCTTAATTTCCCCACGTGTAGGTTTCCACTCGAGTGGACAGGCGTGGCTCTTACCTGTCAGCGACGCGCGCGGCGCTGCTGCAGCCCTCCGCGCCGTCATTCCCACCCCGCCGTGCCCGCCACCCTCCAGATGGCGGACGCTGATGCGATGCCATCGCGCCTCGCATTTAAATTTGACGCGCCTGACGGCGACCCGTTGGCGCCGATGGCAGCCCGATGGCAGCGCGCGCGTCGCCACACTGGCCGCCGCGGCGCCTTGCCGACTTGGTGCCTCGCCACCGCGCACCCCTGCGGCCTTTCTGGCCTTTTTAATGGTTGTCGGTGCGCCGGTTGGATTCCTTTGCGCCTCGCCGCCTCGCGCTCCCCGGAGCTCCGCGGCAATCAAAGCGATTTTGGCCGTAAAGCAGCCGACGCCCCCAATCGGGCCATCGGGCCATGGGGCCGCATGGGGCCTCTGCGCGACGAGGACGAGACGCGCCGTGGCAAGGCGTTGCCAAGGCGCGGCAAGGCGCGGCATGGCGGAGCTCGCTCAGAAGAAGCAAGGCTTGCATCACCTCCCGAATTGCCCCTTAGCCCCGCGGAATGGCCGCCCCACCCCGCCCCGCCCCGCCCCGCCCCGCGGGGCTTACACGAGAATAGCGTTTCAAAAGGGAGGGTCTGTCGCGCTGTTTCGGCACCGTTCCGGTGTGTACTGGCTAACGATGTACATGAGTTGGAGCCGGGCGTCGGCAGGCTGCCGGCGTGTCCGTGGCGTGCCGTGGCTTGGCCCCGACGACGCCCTTGCGTCCTTGTGGTCGCCGTCGTCCCCCCCGTCTGTATCGTCACGGCCGGCGATATCCGGTGATTTCCGGCGACGTCCGGCCGTGTCGTGTTCGGGGCTGCGGGGCCCTCGGCGGGGCCGCCCGGACCATCCTGGCCACGCTGACGACCGTCTGGGTAATGGCGGGGCCGTGGCGGGGCGGCCTCGGTGGATGTGCCGGGTAGCGGCTGCTGAGGGGCTGCAGGCTCCAGACCGATCCCGAACTGTCTCTCTCGCGCCCCCGCGGGACGCCGCGCGAGTGCGAGAGAGACGGCGGGCGGGCCGCCGTTAAGGGTTGGGCACTGAATGCGGGACGCGGGACGTCCCCGCGACACCCCGCATCAAAGGGGACGCAGTCGCTATTGGTTTGCGGCGAATTTCGCCGCCAATAGGAAGGCGGGACGCTCCTTTGGTGGCGGCGCGGCCACGGCGCGGCCAGACGCGTGTGTTATGACAGGGACTCTTTGAGCTCGGCGAAGGCCGTGCCGTGTGCGGCGCCCCCGTGTGTCGCGCGCCCCGTGTGCTGGGGAAGGCCGGGGAGGGCTTGGCACAGCTCGGTACAGCGTGGCACAGCGTGGCACAGCGTGGCACAGCTTGGCACCCGGTAAGAGCGGACAAAGCCGTCTCAGCCCGTTTCGTCCCGTCCCCCTTTCAGGAGTTTACTCCGCGTATTACTCCATGTATACATGCCGCCCTTGTTGTGTGCCGCAAAATCGTATATTCATTTTTCCCCTTTGCCCTCCGCCGCGCTTCGCCGTGTCGTCTGCTCCGTTCACAGAACTAGAAATCTTACAAAGCCCCGCGCGCTGCGCGTTGTGCGGTGGGCGCGCCGGCGTGCCGCGGCGTGGGCCGTGGGCCTGGGCCCCTGCTGTTGAGATCCCAGCAGGCCCTGTCCTCCCTTCGGCTGGGATATGGAACCACTGTATCTCGCCTTGTCGTTTTGAGTCTCGTGCCTTGTCACGTGGTGACGTAAGAGCCTTTCTGGGTTTTTCTTTTTCCTCTCTCCCTGCTCATGATGATGCTGATCCCTGTTGCAGTTGAGCTGCTGCAGATGTTCGAGTTCAACGTGACGGCCACCTTCCCGGCCGCGCCGCTGCTCACCGTCATCCTGGCCCTCGTGGGTAAGTCTCTCTCTCTTTCTCTCTCCACAGCCTCCAGTGTCGCGTTCGCATGCGGAGGCTGGGCAATTTTTGCTACCGCCGCCAAAACGCGCCGATTTTGGTTCTCCGCCAAGCTCCCCGCGTCCGTGGCGGCGTGGCGGCGTGGCGGCTGCCGTTTGCTGTAAGCGGCTTAGTGGCTCAGACGATCGCCGCCCCCCGGGTCACCTATAGGGCGACGTCGACAAGGCCGCCGTGCGTGGCGGTGCGTGGCGGTGCGTGGCGGTGCGTGGCGGTGCGTGGCGGTGCGTGGCGGCAGGGACGCTGCCGTTCGCTGTGTCAAAGGAGGCAACAATCCGAGAAAAAAATAAAACACGAAAGTGGCGAGTTTTGCTGAGGGCCTGCAGGCCCGTGCAACGCAATGCTGTTTTTGACGGTGGCCTGACCGGAGAGCCGCAGCCACTGCTCCCTCGATTTGGCAACACCCCTCCCCTTCCCCCCTCCCCCGAGGTCGTCGTGGTGTAGGCTACACTGTAGTGCGCGCACAGCGGCGCACAGCGCGCCGCGCGGCCTCCCCTTTCTCTCTTTCACTCAATCAAATGAAGCCCTAGCGCCGCGGGAAACCTTCGCCAGCCGGCAGGCTGATGCCGAGCAGCCGTCTCTCTCGCACCCGTGGGGAGTCGCGCCGCACCACGCCGCACTCGCCTTGCTCGCCGCGATACAGGGAATCGGCGCGGCACGGCCGACGGCCCCACGGACCCGCCCCAATGAGGCGTGCTCTCTCGACGCACTGTAAGGGCGGGGCGGGGCGAGGCTGGGTGTGAAGCGGGACAACAACACTCGGGCCGCTGAGGGGCACCGGGGCCAGCATCGCCAGCGCGGCGAGGGCCGCCCTTCGCCCTGGCCGAGGCCCTGGCCCTGGCCCTCCCCGAGCGTCGTCCAGCCCGTCGGGCAGACTGATTCCGAGAGTCGTTCTGTCTCTCTCGCACCTTCACGGGACGCCCCATGAGTGCGAGAGAGACAGAACGACGAAAACGACTTTGTGAATCAGCCTGCAGGCCGTCCACCACGTTTCATTTCCTCGAGTGAGTCCGGTCCGGCTGGAGAAACCGACTAGGCGGCTGGAGAATGTACCCCCGGGCTGGAGAATGTACCGCGCTGGAAAATGAGCCCGCCCCTGTCCCCCTTCCCCCTCGCCGGGGCGATCGTCGTGTCACTGGAGGCCGGCTGGAGAATGTAGCCGAGGCGGGCCGAGGCGGGGCGGCCGGACAGGACAATGTATTCTGGAGAGTCGAGATTCCAGGCCGCTTCCTCTCCACGGCTTCCTAGACACAGCTGGAGCGTGGCGGCAGCGCCTCAGCATGCACGGAGAGAGGGGCCCCACTCGATCTGTTGCGCAACCCTGCCGAACAATCAGCGAGCCCCTGGCAGGCTGGCAGGCTGGGTGCTGTGGACGCTGGAGACACTGGAGCGGCACCGAGAGCAGAGGGGGCGGGGCGTATGGTGGGTTTGGCCGCCGGTTTTTTGATCCCGGCGACGATGGACTCCAAATGGAGTCCAAAAATGTCGCAGTGAATGATGGGAACGATGGAAATTCGAGGCCTTTCAGGAGCCAACTCGGCTTGAAGTGGCTGGGGCTGGCTGGGGCATCCAGGTGAGGAAATTGAATTGTCTGAGTCAGGTGGAGAGGGCTGGAAAACGACACGGCGGGACTCTGGGAGGGACCCTCTCTCTCTACCTCTCTCGTATCCGCGCTGAGGAGGCGAGGGGTGGCCGTTTGTCGCGTTGCTTCAGTCATCGGTCGATTGTGAGGAATCAAGTAACCGAGGCGTCGAAAGTGTAGGCGGGGCCGCGGGGCGGCGGGGCGGCGCCGCCGGGAAAAACACATAGCTCATCGGGGAGGGAGAGCGTCGAGAGACTCGAGGCCGTTCGAGGCGGAAACAGGAAACGCCACGGAATGGTATCGAACCGGGGACGCTCGGCCCGAAGTTCCCGAAGCCCGAAGGACCTCATTCTCGGGTTTTTATTGCCTTCAAGTGGCGGGGCAGGGCGCAGGGCTGTGGAGGGCCGAGGGTCCTTGGTCCTTCGGGTCCTTCCCCGTGACCGGGAACACCCCGCCGGGCCGCGGTGGTACCTCGGCCCGCCCCGCCGCCCTGTACAGGGTAAACAAGCCAGCCAAGCAAACAGCGCCCTGCCCTCGACCCTGCCACCCCTCCCCTCCCCTCCCCTCCCCTCCCCTCCCCGCCCGGCCCACCGCGACACACTGCACGGAGACGGCCTGCGCGGCCTGCAGCGGCGACACCTTGGGCTTTGGCCGGGCCGGGCTGGGCTGGGCGGCTTGGATCCGCGTGTCGCTCCGCGTCGCTCTGCATGTAGCCTCTCATCATGGCCTGATTGCGGGGACTTGTGTGGCGACTCGCCCGGGCGGCGCCGCGCCACGCCACGCCACGCCACGCCATCAACTGCCTGAAGCAACTAATCAGGGAACGGAGAGCGGTAGGGGGCGGGTTATGAGACCGTTGTGTCGGGTAGGCAACCCGATAAACAGGCGGCCCCTGAATCATGTCGTCGTTTGTTTGTGTGCTGCAGGCATGGAGGCCATCATGTCCGAGTTCTTCAACGACACGCAGACCGCCTTCTACATCATCCTGATCGTGTGGACGGCCGACCAGTACGACGCCATCTGCAGCCACACGCTCATCACCAAGAAGCACTGGTTGAGGTAAGGCAACGATGAGGCTATGTCTCCCTCGCACCCTCATGAAGAGCCCCATGAGTGCGACAGAGACAGAGCGACGAAGTGACTCTCAGCGCGGCGCTGGCAGTGCAGGTGCAAGGCGGAGCGCGGACGGCGTCCTTCAGCGCCACCCTTCGCCAGTTTGCGGTCGCGGGGCGGGGCGGGGCGGGGCGGGGAAACACAAGTGGCGGTCTAATGGGGAGAATCAAAGGGTAATGAATGAGGCGCGGCTCACACACACAGACACAGATACACACACACACACACACACACACACACACACACACAAGCACGCACATTCGCGCCGCCCCTTCCTTCCCCGCTCACACATACGACTCGCGCGAAGCACCCCCTCCCTTGTTGCCCCCGGAAGGGCCATGCATGTTTCATGTGTCACTCCTTGCTTCGATATTCTACACCACTCTGATTTATCTTGGGGGGATGGCGGCAGGCGGCCTGAGACGCTGGGCCTCCCCCTCCCCTCCCTCTGCCCCGCCGGGCTCGTCATTCGTCCCTCGACCTGCAGACTGAGAGTCGTTTTCGTCGCTCTGTCTCACTCGCACCCACGGGGCGTTCCTTATTGGTGCGAGAGAGACAGAGCGACGAAACCGACTCTGCCTGGTGAGGAAGGAAGGGAGGGACGTCCTGCGGCATACTTCCTCATCCGACGGCGGTCCTGGCCGCGTCGAACGAGCCCCGGTCCTTGAAGGCCCCGGCTGGCACCGGTTCCGGAGAGTCGCCGCCTCGGGACTGGCGCTGGCCTCTGGCCGGGGGTCCGGCCGAGGTCTGGCCGGGTGGCCGGGCCGGGCGTCGTACCGAAACCTCGCTAGAACTCGGGTGGCCTCGGCCGGAAGCCGCACCTCGGGACGCCCTGCTCCTCTGGGGCCGGCCCTGGGCCCGGGCCGGGCTTTTTCGGGCCCCCTTGCCGGGGCCTTGCCGAGCCGCACCCCGGAGGTCCCCGCCCGCCCCCTCCGCCTTCCCCGGGAATGGGGGGTTTGGGAAACCCCGGCCATACTCCCGTTTTCCCGGGGGCCGATACACCCTGCAGGGCTTCCCCTTTACAGGCCATTGCAGCCATTGCCCCGGCCGAGGTCTGGCCCCGGCCCGGCCAGCGGTTTGCATTTTGCCTGCCAATTTGGTTAGGCCGGCTGCCGGCGCTGGAGCAGGCCGAGGCTGGAGGCACGCTGGAGGCACGCTGGAGGCTACAGGCGGCTGGAGCGCTGGAGATCGGATGTTGGCGCTGGGCCCGCCGTACCTTACCTTGCCGCGCAGCGCCGCGCGCCGCACCGTGGTCCGTGGTTAGGGGAGCATTTGTTGACTTCGGTCTCTCGCTCCCATCAAGATTAACTCTCGCTCAGCCGGCTGCCCCGCCCCGCCCCACCCCGCCCCACCCCGCCCGCCTTGGCACACCCAGCTTCCATTTAATGTGTTTCCACCAGCCCGCTCCCTGCCGTACGGCCCAGACCATTTCGCCGTGCTTCTCTACTCTGTGTGTGTGTGTGTGTGCGTGTGTGAGTACGTGCGACACACACAGACACACACGCACGGGGACGTCCCTTTGAGCGATTTGGTACTGCCGCAGCGTGACCCAGTGGCGGTGTGGTTTGCCAGCTGCCCGCAACGGACACGACGGCGTTTCCGCAAACCCGCTCTGCCTTTTTTTTTTGGTGCTGTTTTTTTTGTCCTGCTCTTTGGACAGGACAGGATCCCGCACGGCACTGTAGAATAAAATACAGTCGTAGTGGGAAAGTGAAGACCGGGGGGTTTGCGTGGGTGTTTTGGTGGCTGGATTTGTGCTGCATGGCAGAGCCGGGCCGTGGCCGGGCGTGCTGGACGCCGTGTGGACGCCGTGCTCCGTGGCGGCTGGGTGTCGCTCTGCCCGCCTCTGCCAGTGTGCCATTGCCCCGTCGCGAATCTCAATGAGAGCGTGCGGGCGCCATGCTAATCGCATTCCTCAAAAGAAGCAGCGCCGCCGACCCTCAGTGCCTCTGGCCCCTCCGACCCTCCGACCCTCCGACCCTCCGACCCTCCGAGGGGCCGAGGCGCCGAGCCTGCGGCTGCGGTGCGTCCTCTCGCAAGCAGACTGAGTCGCTCTGTCTCTCTCTCGCACCTGTGCGGGACGCCCCGTGAGTGCGAGACAGACAGCGACGAAAATCAGTCCGCCGGACACCGCCCGTCTGTCCATCACCTGGCCGCCCCGCACTGCCGTCGCGTCGCTCGCTGGCGTCGCCGGAGTGGCGGTCCTCCTGGCCACTCGGCTCCCAGCCGCGCCGTGGGGCCGTGCCGTGCCGTGCCGTGCCGCGCCCTGCTGGGCCCTCTGAGGCACATAAGACGCTGGCGTGGAGAGGAGGTGCCTTTTGTGCCACAACAAAGGTGTCCGGTCGCAAATCCCTTTATATCATATATTCCATTCCCTGGACGTCCGGGGTCTGCCTGCCTGCCTGCCTGCCTGGCTGCTCCGTCCGGCTAAGCTAGTGCGTCCTGCCCCCTCCTTTATTTCGAGCCTACCATGGCGCCGCCACTGCAGTGGTTGCACCCCGCGACACGCCAGGGCCGGGGCCAGGGCCGGGGCCAGGGCCGGGCACCGCCGCCACATCTGGCCACCGGTCGCCCCTCATGGACGGTCCCTGAGTGTGTCATTGACCTCCGGCCAGACCCTCCTGTCTGCCGAAAAGCATCAAGGGGGTCTTGTCGGCGGCGTGCGCGGTGCTATCCGTTTCCCGGCCGCGCCTGGCCGTGCCTCTTCGTCTTGCGCCTCGTTCCGGGTGACACGCCGCCGGGGCGGGGCGCGGCGGGGCGCGGCGGGGCCGGGGGGCCTGACATTTGATCCCGGCCGCTACGCCGCCACCCCACTCTGGTTGACGTCTTGCTCTGCTTTGTGATTGCAGGTTCTTCTACCTGTACCACTTCACCTTCTACGCGTACCACTACCGCTTCAACGGCCAGTACACCAGGCTGGCGCTCGTCACTTCCTGGCTCTTCACACAGGTGCGTAGGTTTTGTGTGTTGTTGTTGTTGGTTGTTGTCGTCGTTATCAGCGTCGAGACAGAAACAAAAATTGTCTCTAAACTGCTTATTTTGCCGGGCTGCCGCTTCCTCCCCCACTTGACTTGTATTGGAGTTGTTCTTGCGGGCCCCGCCACGCCGGGCACGCCCTGCCACGCCCCGCCACGCCCCGCCACGCCCCGCCACTCCGCGCTATCCCCTTATTGTGTCCACACAATAAAACAAGTTATTGTTTGTGGTCTTCTCGCTCCACCTGGCATCCGTAATAATACGCATTCCGAGCTACCCCCTCCCCTCTTTCATCCCGCCGCCATCTCTCTCTCTCTCTCTCTCTCTCTCTCTCTCTCTCGCACGCGCGCGCAAAACTGAGGTTACGTAGCGATCTCTCCCTCTGCTTCTCCTTCTTCTCGTGTGCTTTCTTCGTCTTCATTATCTGCGTCCTCTGTTCATTTCACTTTTCTCCTCGCCCCCCTCTCTTTTCCTATAAATTTGTTGGCCTTCTTGGCGGCCCGGGCGCGGCGGCGCGGCGGGGGCAGAGAGCTGTCTGCGGGGAGTCAACGCAGATTGCAGATGATGGTGCTTGTCTGTGGAGGAGGCGGGTGTGGCGGGCCGGGCGGGCCGCGGCGGGGTGAAGCGTGTCGAAATGAGACGAAAATTAGGCCGACTTCGGCCTGGCCCGGCCTGCCTGAGTGGCCTGAGGAGGCTTGTCCGTATTGTTGCGTCTGTTTGGGAACTGCTGTGGCTTTCCTGGGGGTCCCCGCCAGGCCCCCGCCAGGCCCCCGCTCCTCGGCGGCTCTCTCCCCTTTGTGCGATTCCTGCGTGTCCCCGCGTGTCGCGCGTCTCTGTGGTCGCCTTGTGGTGGGCGTAGGAACCAATATGGATACGGTGTCTGTGTGTGTGGGGGGGGGGGGCTTATTGAGCGCTTCGCGAGTATCGTCCCACGCGCGCGATGAGTGTACACTGTAGGGGTGGCAGGCACTGATGGCTGGCTGGCCAGGCCGAGCCCCGTGTGGGTAGGCAGGCCCGCCGAACCGGGCTGCGGCCGGGATGCCCACCTGGCAGGCTGGCAGGCTGGCAGGCGGCTTGGTACTTCAGCGTCAATCAGGCGCATAGTTTAGACAGCAAGTTGACTGGGGGGCCTTGTGATGACGCCATCCTGTCTCCATCTTTCTCCCTCTCCCCTCCTCCCTCTCTTCTCTCTCTCTCTCTCTCTCTCTCTGTCTCTCTCATCCCACCCGACCCGACGGCTATCGAATCCGAGCTGGATTGACTCGGAAGACCTCTCCTGCAATAAAAGTGGCAGCTTCAGGGGGGGGGGGGGGTTGGCACGTGCCTCCACTGTGGGAAACCCATGGAAAGCCCCCGTGCCGTCGTCACCCCCGCACCGGGCCGGGGCGCGTCTTGTGTTTCACGCCCCTCCAAAGAGAAATGAGAATGACTTCTCACTCGCCTTCGCTATCGCCGGGCTCGCCTTGAAATGATGTGCGCGCCTGGGCGTGGCCTCGGCGTGGCCTCGCCCCCATGGTGAGGGGAAACGGTTTTATTCGGCGGCGCGACATCCCTTTGCATTCCTCTGATTCGGAGGCCCGGAGCCGAAGGAAGGCTGGTCGGGTAATGAAGCCGTACTCCTCCCCTACACGTGGCGTGGCGTGGCTTGGCGGGGCGTGGCGTGGCGTGGCGCGCGGCATTCCAGGAGTGAGGAAAGGAAACACGGCCATCATCGGTGTCCTTTTGATATTGCTCGACGTCGCCGCGTCAGTCTCGGTCCCTCGGCACGGACGACGCCCCCTAGCAACAGGACCGCCGCTGGGATTGCTGTGGAGACCCCCCTCGACCTCGGCCTCGGCCTCGGCCGCCGCGCCGAGGTGCGCCAGCAGAACCAGGGTGGTTGCCGTACCGTACGGTGGCCGAGCACTGCAAGCACACTGCAAGCAGGGCGAAGCCAAGGCCGGGAATGCGTAACTTATGCCGCAACCGCTTCTTGCGTCCGTCGTCGTGGGGGCTGAAGTTAGCGCGCCCCGACCGAACTACCGAGCGACCCAAAGGGCCCGAACGGCCGGCCATTAGCCTTGGAATTAGGGGGTGCGTTTCTTGAGGCTGCGTTTCGTCGCCCATCCACCCCCTCTGTGCTCGTGTGTGTGTGTGTGTGTCTGTCCAGCCCTGGCGCCCTGCAGGGGGCTGCTGCAGCGTGAGCTATTGAAAGCTACGCCCCTCCCGCCGCTGTCCACCCCCAAATCCTTCCCCTCCCTTCCCCTCTGCCCTCTGCACCGGCAAGTCGGCCTGGCCGAGCAGGCAGGCAGGCAGGCCAGGCACGGGCCCAAGTAGGATTAAGAAAAGAAGATAAAGAATGATGCGCAATGCTTTGGTATGCTGCACCGCGCCTTGCAGCCTCGCTGCCTCGCTCTTTCTTTTCTCGCGCCGTGTGTGTGAGTTTGTGTGCGTTGTCTGAGTGTAGAGGGCGGGGCGTCCAGAGTTGTGCACGGCGAAATAACATCCGTGGGAATAAAAAATAAGCCCACGACCGCGTGGTCGTCCAGATATTACGTAACGCCTTCCGTCCCTCTCTCACTCACTGCGGCTCCGTGGAGAGCGTCACGCAGTGGGTCAGAAGACCGGTGGAGGCGGCGAAAACCACGAAAACTCTAGACGCGTTTTGAGCTCCAGAGTCGCTAAATTGAACTCGAACCGGACGCGTGACCCCACCAATGGATTGCTCTCCGAACGAGGAGTCCATTGTCGGGGTCACACGTTCGGTTCGAGTCCTGTTTAGCGACTCGGGAGCACAAAACGCGTCTGCGACCCAGCAGTCCGCCTGGCGGGTAGGCCGTCCCGCCACGCTGGCCTGGCGCGGGGTTGCCTACCCTCGGCTTCGCGGGCGTCAAGACGGCAGCGTGTGCAGCGGCTGACATTGTCAGTGCAGCCTCCTTGTTCTTTGTTCGCGTTGTCGCAGGCTGGCTTTGTCGGAGTAGGGCCTGTTGTTGGTGACGACCTGACGGCCCGTAATAGTGTGGCGCGCAGGCACTGCCTCGCCGGTTTACTGGGTCGCCGTTGTAACCGTCCAGGCAGGCATATGACAATTCCGGGGCAGTAGACTGATTCCGAGAGTCGTTTTCGTCGCTCTGTCTCTATCGCGCCTGCGGGAAGCACCATGAGTGCGAGGGAGACGGAGCGACGACGGAATCGGTCTGCTGGCCCAGGCAGGCCAGGGCCGGGCCGGCAAGTGACAGGCTATTTGAAAGGGGCGCCACTGCCGCTTCCGCTTGGCTTGGGCCGCTCGTGCCTCAACGTCCGTTTCGTGTTGCAGCACTCCATGATCTACTTCTTCCACCACTACGAGCTGCCGGCCATCCTGCAGCAGGCGCAGATCCAGAACATCCAGCTGCAGCAGGTGCTGCTGCGCCGCCCGATGGGCCGCCCTGCCGGTGCCGCCGGGGAGGGGGCCGCCCCCGGAGCCGCCGGAGCCCCCGGCCCGTCCGCCCAGGGCCCCGCGGCCGACGCGCTGCGCCGACTGCAGACGGAGAACGCGCTGCGCGAGCGAGCCGCCCGCGCCGTCGCCATCCTGACTGGCCTGTGGGGACGACCGCCGATGCCGGAGCCCGTCATCCTCGACGAAGCGCCTCCACCTCTAGCCCCCCAAGACCGCCAGGCTGGAGCGGCACCACCGCCCGAAGGGCCCCGCATCGAGCCCGTGCCTCGCGATGGCAGGTGGCCGACGATCTCCCGGATGCCCTCTGGGATGCCCTCTGGGATGCCTCCCGCTGCACCTCGACAGCAGGCCCACGATGAGTACAACCCCCTCGTGGAGGCCGCGGCTGCGGCGGCGGGGGCAGCGGCGGCAGCGGTGGCTGCGGCTGCAGCGGCGGCGGGGGCAGCGTCCGCGGAGGACCAGCCAGCGCGGACGCCTCCTGAAGGGCCGGCGACGTCAACATCGAAGCACCAAGTCGCAGCCCCGCTGCATGATGTCCTGGACGGCCCCGACGGCCAGGGCGAGGTGGCGGGCGAGGTGGCGGGCGAGGTGGCGGGCGAGGTGGCGTACGCGTCGTCCGTTGCGTCGTCCGTCTCGTCGGCGGGTGCGACGGCAGGAAGCTCTAGTCAAGATGGCACCTGGGACGAGTAGGTCTCGGCGGGCGATTCCAGTCTGTGATTTGGTGTGTTTGGATGGCGGTTTTTCTTCCCGTTTTCTTGTTGTTTTTTTTTTTTGTTTGTTTTTAGTTTTTTCATTCTGCGTGTTAATTCTCCGTAGACCCCTCCTGTGTGTATTTCTTAACATGGACAAACCGTTACTTTGTTGGGTAGAATGCGGTGTGAGTGGTTATTTAGTAGCTGTGGCGTTCTCCGTATTCTAATGGAAATCAACTTTTGAGACGCTTGCTAACTTGCAGCACTTAGACATCTCTTGATGAATTTTCCCAGAATTTTCTTAAATTACTCTCCGTTAGGGGACCAACCTTCTAGTAATTATCATGACTTTAAAGCATTTCAAAAGTAAATCAGTTTGGTGTATGCTTGAATTGAAATTGATTTGTCTTGGTCCAACCAGGTATGCACTTTAAAATGTGATTGAAAGCAATGTGCTAATATAAAATAAATTGTGGAACAACTATTTTATATTATATTTGTGTGGGTACCACTCGCACATTAAGAATCAGAACTACTGACACTAAATTAATCTTGGGTTTTATTGATGTGTGATGTTTTGGCTACGTTTAGTGTAATTAACCCATTAAGTCAGTAAATCTAACAAACCACACAAGTTCTTAATCCACAGCTGTGTACAGCACAGACTGAGTCAAGCTTAGTACACAGTACTGTATTTCTGATGTGTGTGAGTGGCATTGCTCGTGATTGAAGACATGCATAGCTTAAGGTTTGTTGCTGCTGCCCTTTTGTATGTGGGCTTGTTATAAATGATTTCTATCCCATACTGAGTGTAGCCGTTCTAGAAACGAACCTAATTCTAACATAAAGTAAATGAGTAGCTCCTCCCCTTTCCCTGCTGGTCAGGACTTTTGTTTTGGGGTCCTTAGGATGCCCATAAAGCAACACCCTCATCACGACTGATGTAGTAAAACATGATTATATTTATGTTTGTGTGTGTGACTGTTTGTACATGTGACTGAGAAAGTCTCATTTCCTTCTTGAATATTTGTTATATGCTGTGCATGAGTGTATTTTGACCATTAATTTGAAATCCCGTTTAATGTGGTTGCTCAGAGTAACCCTTAAGAGCCTGTATATTGCATGTAGTTATATTTACATATTATCTTAAGAAATAGCATAGCCTTGATGTAGATGAATAGGAGACAAAAATGTTGTGCAGGTTGCACCCTATTGGCTATAAATCTGTTGTAATTCCTCAATATGTCTTTACTGTTAGAAAAATGCACTTGTATGAAATGTCAACCTACATTCCCGGGGCAATATAGTTGCAATCAACTAGCAATTGGAAAAGAAAGAGGAAGTGCCATTTAACTTAAGGTGAATGACAAGAGCATGTTAACTTTTACTTAGCATGAGTTTTTCATCTCTCACATCTTTAATCAGTTTCCTAATTTGTTCTATCATGTTTTGTTTTTGTTTGATTGGAAATTTTGACTCATTGTATTTTATTGTTTTTATCTGTGGGGTTGTTAAAATAATCTCATTTTCTAAGTCAGTTCTTCTACAATTGTAGTATTGTAAATGTGTTAAAATGTGATGTGGTGAAAAATAGTAGTGATTTGATTGACATTTTGATCATCCTGTCTTTGACTTTTCTTGCTGTCTTTTGACATATTCTTTGTATATGATAGTATGTATAAAATCTTGTTAATATCTGCACAGACGATTTGCATAAACAAGCAAGCGGTTCTTATGTATATATATGATCAAATTGATTAACTGAAAATTGTGAGCCTGAGCGTAGATGAAGCATCAGGTTATCCACAGATAAGATCTGTAATTCATACTTTATACTGTAATAATTTATTGCTAAAACGCATTGTGAAGGGGGCATGATGTATTCAGTATACTTTGAGAAGAGTTAATTGAACTCATTGCCCTTTTGTTCTACATGTATGAAAGCTGTGAAGCAATGCATTTTCTGGTAGAAACAGCTTTGAAATTATTGTAAGCTTATATCATTTTATGGTGTCTTAGCATCACCAGACAGGAATAAGACAGGAAGCAACAATTTGCAAACAGTTACTGTTAATACATTTGATTTATGTGATAATTTAATCATTAGCACCCTCGCAGTGTTTTTGTTTAGAAAATAGTTTTATGTGCGAATGTATTTATTAGGCTTTAATGTACTGTATATTTGGTCAAGGTTGGTTCTGTAGTATTGATTGATATTGATTTGAATCAGAGTTTTCATGTAAACCGTAGCTTCAATAATGAATTGATCTTAGCTTCTATAATGAATTGTGCTTTACAATGTTGTTGGCCCATATTGCCATAGCCCTTTAACTCCACCCTAAACATTTTCATTCCTTTCGTCTTCTCTAAAAAGCTGTCGCCGGTTTTCATTCCGGCAAACAAAATCTGTATTGTAGCTTGTTTGGCGTCGTCTACTCTGCAATAAATTAAAATTACAAATGATGATTGCCCTCGTTTTATTCCTCGACGCTCCTTCCACCAAGCTCAGCTGCGTGACACGTCACTCCGTCTCTCTCGCGTCCCATAAGTGCGAGAGAGAGACAGCGATTCGGAATCAGTCGGCGAAATTTAAGCGGCGGCGGGCGCCGATGTGCAGTCAAAAGTCTTCATGAGGGGGAGAGAGGAGTTTTGTGTCAATCCACGGTTTGCAACCCGCGGGCACACCAGGTCACACACACACACACGCGACGCTGTGGTCACGTGTCCCGCGAGGTCCGCAGCCAGGCAGGCGTGACGACGCGTGACGACGCGTGACGACGCGTGACGACGCGTGACGAGCCGTGACTCGCGCGGCGCTGGCGGCGGCTTTCCCCTCCAGGTGTACACACCGGCACGGCGCGGCACGGCGCCATCCGCCTCCACGGGGAGAAGGCGTGAGCGCGCATAAAGACGTGGCTGCCGGGGCGGGGCGGGGCGGGGCGGGGCGGGGCGGGGCATCGGAAGGTGTCCGGGAGAACTCATTTAGAACCGGAAGCACGGCTGGGGCGGCGCGGGCGGCGCCACGCCGCGACACGGCGCCAAGCGCAGCGCCCGCCAAAGACTGAGAGGAAGAGGAAGAAGAGGAAGAAAACAAAAACTTGGGCAATCCGCTCGCCGGCCGGCCCCTCAGGTGGCTAATCGGGGCTCCGTCTCTCCCGCACCCCTACGGGACGCCCCGTGAGCGCGAGAGGGACGGAATCGACGACAGTGCAGAAGAGCACAGCGCGACGCCGCGACGCGCTCGTCCTTCGTCAATGCGATCATCAAAGGCGCCACCGCGCTGCCATGGCGCTGCCGCGGCCCTTTCGAGGGCAGCAGCGGAAAACAGCCAGATTGACTTATCGCAGACCACTGGCCCGGCTGGACTGGCTGGTCAGGCTCACGCCCCCAGTCGCCAGCCAAATTCCTCCGTCACCCAGGACCCAGACCGAGGGTGTCGCAAGCATGGCCGTTCCAGCTGCCGTCGTACCCAGCTCGTCGTACATCAAGTATCAATGTAAGGTCTCTCTCTCTCTCTCTCTCTCTCTCTCTCTCTTGCACACACACACACACAACACACACACACGACGCAGGCAAAGCGTTGGGCTGACTGTGGTAAGGGGGTGAGATGGGGGTGCAGCAAGGGCACATCGCCAAACAGACATTCGTTTTCATTACCACTTGATTACAGCTAACGCCGCCCCAAGACCCCTCACCTCCCCTCCCCGGCAGCGGGGAGACAAGCGACCGCCCGCTGGCACCCTCCCCCCTCCTCCTCCCCCTTCCCCTTTCCCTCTCCTCTGTCGCCCCCCCGGTGGCACTTGATGCGACTTTTCAATTGGCGTGGGTACGAGCCCCATCCCTCAATGAGCCACATCTATCCACTGTCGCTGACTCCCCCTGCCGCCGCCAACGCCGCCGCCACCATCACCACCACCACTACTGCCACCACAACCACTGCCACCACAACCACTGCCACCACAACCACTGCCACCGCCGCCGCCCGCCGAGGCGCCGTCCTGGCGGCGCGGTGCAGGCAGGCAGGGTGAGGACATCGGTATGGTTGGGACCCTTGCTGGCCGAGGAGGGACGGGGAGGGGGAAGGGTTGCAGGCCGCCATGGCGCGCCAGGCCGCAGGGGTCACTTAGCGCAAGTGGGCTGCATTATTTCCTACCCCTATCCTTGCTAACCAACATCCCGATGCCCCCTCCCCCTCCCCTCCCCCGATGCCCGCCTCCGTTTTTGGGGCGTGTGGTCATTGTCTGCAACGGGTCGGACCGGGTCGGACCGGCCGAGGGGCGTCGTCCGGTCGTCCGCGCCGATTCTGATGGCTCTGACCGCCGAAACGCGAAAACGCTTCGTCCGGAAAACGCCACAACGCCCCGTCCGGAAAACACGAATGCGGTCCGTCCGGAAAAACGCAAAGAAAACTCACGACGCGGTGCTGTTGACGTGTGCACGAGGCCGACGGCCGACGGACGCCATTAGCACTGCGACCGGCGTCATCGCCTTTCTCTCATTCCGCTCCCGGAACGCCTCACGGCGCCTTCTGGCCGGCGAGGGGGCGAAAGACGCGACGGCGGCGCGCTCTGCAGAGAGGCCGCAAAAACGCGTCGCGCGAGGCGTGGCAAGGCGGTGCCCCGACGGCGCCAAACGAATGTAGAGTGTGGAAGAGGGGTTGTTAGCACACAGTCGTTATGTCGCGCGCGTCTCTCGTGGCACCGCACCCATTCTCAAAGCGTGTGTGTGTGTGGGGGGGGGGGGGGGAGGGAGAGGGAGAGAGAGAGAGAGAGAGAGAGAGAGAGAGAGAGAGAGAGAGAGAGAGAGGCACCTGGCCGCACTAGGAGACGACGCAGACGACGCGGCGGGAAAAGAACTAGCGCGGTAATTGGGTGCCTTCCTCGCTTCTCCTCGCCTTTGCCGCTCATATTGGCGGCCGAGTCGGCCCCGGCGATTGCGTCGACGCCGTCGTGTCGTCCTCCACGGCATCGGGATGGAAAAGAAGAGAGAGGAATCAAATCCCCACGGCGGGGCGGGGCGGGGCGTCTTTGCGGACGCCCTCTGCTTGTGAACTCTGACGCCTACGACGTGCCGGATGCCCTGGCTGGCCCTGGCTGGCCCTGCAGACTGATTCCGCGAGTCTATTTCGTAGCTCTGTCTCTCTCGCACCCATAGAGGACACCCCACGAGTGCGAGCGAGACAGAGCTCCGAAAACGACTCTCGGAATCAGTCTGCTGGCTGGTCCCGGTGCCGTGATGGCCAATCAAGTCATCCCCCCCCCTTCCCCATCGCGACGTGAAAGCGCGACGCCACGCCGCTTTCTCGGGACACCACTACACTAGTCACGACGACACGGTGAGCCCCGAAACGGGGCGGCCCGGCACCTCCACTAGAAACATCTCGAAATCCGAGTCGACGAGAATTGCCCTCTACGGCAGAACCTTCAACACATCAGAACCACATCCTCGCAATATCCGTCTACTACCGTGCCGAGTATTCAACATTCCTCTGGGAAAAGAAATGTTTCTCGTAGAGGTACTCGCGTGGAGGCATGGGAAGCACTCCCCCACGAGAGCGCGCTGGGCTCTAGCCACCCGTCGCATTGCTTCGCGCATCGCGGTTTTCCTGTTTATCCGTATCATCATCACCCGATTACCCGTGCGGCTTTTATTTTTTCGCGTGAGGCTGCTCGCATTCCGCTCCGCAATATCGTCGGAGTTATTTATCCCGATCCGCTTCCCAGAAAGGCAGATACCAGTTATACGGGTTGGCGCGGAGGGGGAAGAAAATCAGTCCGGGGTTCGTCTGGGGCGCGGCGCCGCTGGACCGCGCCGTGCCGCGCCGTGCCGAGCAGCGCCGTCCTGTCACAACTTCCGCTCCAACGCCTATCGTAATGGCTAATTTCGATGACGCGGCACTCGGCACTCACCAGGACAGAAATAATTGGAAATGTTCTCGTTACCTCTCGGCCGCCCTCTGACTCTCTGCTGGGCTCTGCCTGCCGCCGCCTCTCCTCGGGAGAGAAACAGAAATCCCGGCGCCCCGCAGACTGATTCCGAGAGTCGTTTTCGTCGCTCTGTCTCTCTCGCACTCGTTGGGCGTTCCGTATGGGTGCGAGAGAGACAGAGCGATGGAAAGGACTCGCCCCGGCGCCAACCGAACCGACACCCCCTGCAGGCTGATTCCTCGCTCTGTCTCTCTCGCACTCGTGGCGCGTCCCGTAAGGGAGCGAGAGAGACAGCGTCGAAGGCAGTACTTAGCCTGCTGCTCGGCGCCCGCGCACCGCGGCAGCTCAGCTCGGCCGGCCCGGGGCCCGCGGATCAAACATCGGGATAATTTTATCAATTTTGGAATCGCAGGAAGTGGCAAGGCGGCCGGAGACCTTGCCGGCCGACGGCGACGTTCTAATCGCCCCTCCCCCTTTTTGCCCCTAGACAATGGGTGCTGTGTCATTACTCCGGACTACCCCCTCCCCCTCCGAACCGGCGGTTCCTTTTAAGGAGCGCCAGGCAGCAGACTGAGAGTCGTTTTCGTCGCTCTGTCTCTCTCGCACCCATAGGCAAGGCCCCATGAGCGCGAGAGAGACAGAGCGACTCTCGGAAGCAGTCTGCAGGGCGCAAGGGGCGAGGGCAAAACGCGCTGGATGGCGCGAGGGGCTGAAGGGGCGCTGCG